GAGGCATGGAAGAGACGCAGTCCTTGGAAGGCGAGCCACAGGTTGATCTTTCGTTTCTCATTTATTGCAGGAGAGGGAGCGAGCCCCCAAATGTTCCACACTGTGTCCCCAGGGCCTCCCTCTGCCCGCCCTCCTTGCCGAGTCCCTCCTACAACTCCACTCAATGGGGGTCCTGGCCCCCTCCCCCCAGAACCAGCCTCAGTTCCGCAGGCTTTCCCCCCTCTCGCAGGCCCTGGGGGGCTCTTCCCACAGCCAAGGCTTCCTGACCCCGTCCCCTCTGGAGGCAGCGGCAGCCCTTGTTTCCTCCCGCGGGGCAATGCCCCCTCCCCAGCTGCACCTCCTCCACCTGCTATTAGCCTCAACGCCCCCTCATACAGCTGGGGAGCTGCTCTCCGATCCAGCCTGGTGCCCCCTGACCTGGGCTCTCCTCCAGCCCCCCATGCCTCCTCCTCACCACCTTCGGACCCTCCTCTCTTCCATTGTAGTGATGCCTTAACACCCCCTCCCCTGCCCCCAAGCAATAATCTCCCTGGTCCCCCTGGCCCCTCTGGTCCTGCCACTCAGCCACCAGTGTCTTCAGCCACTATGCACCTGCCCCTGGTCCTGGGGCCCCTAGGAGGGGCCCCCACGGTGGAGGGGCCTGGGGCACCCCCCTTTCTTGCTAGCAGCCTACTCTCTGCAGCGGCCAAGGCACAGCACCCCCAGCTCCCCCCTCCCAGCACTTTACAGGGCCGAAGGCCCCGTGCCCAGGCACCCTCAGCTTCCCACTCCTCACTGCCCCGTCCCTCTCAGCGTCGTCCCCGCCGACCCCCGACTGTGTTGCGATTGCTAGAAGGGGGGGGCCCTCAAGCCCCTAGGCGGAGCCGTCCTCGGGCCCCTGCTCCCACCCCCCAGTCTTTTCCTCTCCCGGAGCCACCCCAACCGATTCTCCCTTCTGTGCTGTCCCTGCTGGGGCTCCCCACCCCTGGCCCTTCCCACTCTGATGGAAGCTTTAACCTTCTGGGGTCAGATGCACACCTTCCTCCTCCCCCCACCCTCTCCTCAGGGAGCTCTCCCCAGCCCACGCACCCCATCCCGCCCGCCCTCCCCGGGACCACCAGTGGCAGCCTCAGCAGTGTGCCAGGTACGTGAGTGCACCAGAGCCCTCCCAGCCTTCGGGTTCAGAGACCGCCGAGACACCGCAGGGAGAACTTGAGAGCTCTGTAGCGGTTTTCTGGGTTGGGGGGCAGGGAGTTTGGATTCTCTAGACACTGGGAGAAAGGGTCTCTCTAGAGCTGAACCTCTCTTTTTCTTTGCAGGTGCCCCTGCCCCACCAGCTGCCTCCAAAGCCCCCCTAGTCCCCAGCCCTGTGCTTCAAAGCCCATCTGAAGCGCTTGGGGTGGGGGCCGGCCCAGCCGGCCCTCTGCCTCCCCTGGCTGGTGGGGAGGCTTTCCCTTTCCCCAGTCCCGAGCAGGGCCTGGCGCTGAGTGGAGCCGGCTTCCCCGGGATGCTAGGGACCTTGCCCCTTCCTCTGAGTCTGGGACAGCCTCCACCTTCTCCATTGCTTAGCCACAGTTTATTTGGCGTGCTGGCTGGGGGAGGGGGACAACCTCCCCCTGAGCCCCTGCTTCCCCCACCAGGGGGACCTGGCCCTCCCCTAGCCCCAGGTGAGCCCGAAGGGCCTTCACTTTTGGTGGCTTCCCTGCTTCCACCACCCCCCTCAGACCTTCTTCCACCCCCTTCTGCACCTCCTAGCAACCTCCTTGCCTCTTTCCTGCCCTTGTTGGCCCTGGGCCCCACAGCTGGGGATGGCGAGGGACCTGCAGAGGGAGCCGGGGGTCCGAGTGGGGAGACCTTTTCAGGCTTGGGAGACCTGCCCCCCCTGCTGTTCCCCCCACTTTCAGCTCCCCCCACCCTCATAGCTTTAAATTCTGCGCTGCTGGCTGCCAGCCTGGATCCCCCCTCGGGGACGCCCCCCCAGGTGAGGATAGAGGGTGAGTGGGTGGGACAGAACAAGAGGTTGAATCAGAGATGGGAGCTGGGACTCAAAGGCTTTCAGTTTGATGTCTGAGCTCTTCCTTAGGGCCTTTGAGGAGGGCTTAGTTCTGAGCTGGGGGTAGGATAGACGGTAAGAACTGGGTCTGCATTTAATAAGCATGGCCTGCTTCAGTGGGGCTTCGGTGAGACTGTATATGTGAAAGTACTATAAACTTACTGAATACTTTACACATGTAGACGTTACAGCCGTTTTCTCTCCTCAGCCCTGTGTCCTGAGCGCCCCCCAACCTGGACCACCTACCTCCAGTGTCACCACGGCAACTACTGACCCGGGGGCCTCCTCTCTGGGCAAGGCCCCCTCCAACTCAGGGAGACCCCCTCAGCTCCTCAGTCCTCTGCTGAGTGCCAGCCTGCTGGGTGAGTCTGAGGGAAGACTCTGGCGTGGGAGAGAAGGAAGGACGCAGAAAAACTGGGAGAAGAGACTAGATGAATTAGGGAAGAAAGTCTGTGACCACTTGAGTCAAGCCTAAAAGAATAGGGTCTAAACAAAAAAAAATAATAAAAGAATAGGGTCTGCTCAGCCTAATTGGTTTGCCCAGGGAGACCCTTGATTTTACATTTCCTTAACAGGTGACCTGTCCTCGCTGACCAGCAGCCCTGGAACCCTCCCCAGCCTGTTGCAGCCTCCTGGCCCTCTTCTCTCTGGCCAGTTGGGGCTGCAGCTCCTCCCTGGGGGGGGAGCTCCTCCACCCCTCTCAGAGGCTTCTAGTCCCCTAGCCTGCCTGCTACAGAGTCTCCAGGTGAGGGGATGGGTGTGTGTGTGAGGGAGAGAATTTTTTTCCCAAACTGGAAATACAGACATTTCAAGTTAAAGTAGCTGGAACTGCTTTTGAAACTGACAGAAATGTGTTTTGTCTGCAGATCCCTCCAGAGCAGCCAGAAGCCCCCTGTCTGCCCCCTGAGAGCCCCACCTCAGCCCTTGAACCGGAGCCTGCCCGGCCTCCCCTCAGTGCCTTAGCCCCACCCCACAGTTCTCCCGATCCCCCAGTCCCTGAGCTGCTCACTGGGAGGGGGTCAGGGAAACGGGGCCGGAGGGGAGGAGGGGGACTTAGGGGCATTAATGGTGAGGCCAGGCCAGGCCGGGGTCGAAAGCCTGGCAGTCGGCGGGAGCCTGGCCGACTGGCCCTCAAGTGGGGGGCACGTGGTGGCTTCAATGGACAAATGGAACGGTCCCCAAGAAGGACCCACCACTGGCAGCATAATGGGGAGCTGGCTGAAGGGGGTGCTGAGCCCAAGGATCCATCCCCTCCTGGGCCCCATTCTGAGGACCTTAAGGTGAGTGTAGATTAAGCAATGGTTGTCTGGGCACAAAGGCCCTGAGGAAAGGTTGAGGCCAAGGTGCCTTTTCCTACACACAGTCCATCTTTTCTCAGGTATCCCCAGGGGTAGTCAGAAAGTCTCGTCGTGGCCGCAGGAGAAAATACAAGTGAGTATACTGGCTTTTTCCGGCTTCTTGTTGGGTTTATAGCAATAGTTAAAAGTGATTTGGCTTTCGAAAAGTACTTACTTGAATATGAATAAGGATATCATGCCTATACTATCCACATGTAGAAAGTTTCCCACCCAAACTCTGAAATTCCCCTGGCGCTCAGGGAGGTGTTCCTGATCCACCTGTCCCCTTATTGCAGCCCAACCCGGAACAGCAACAGCTCCCGCCAGGACATTACCTTGGACCCCAGCCCCACACCCCGCGTAAGTGTGCGTCACTGCGTCGGTGGGTGGGAGTGCACGTAAAGGATGAGGCAGGAGAAGGAGGTTAGCGGGAGTGGGGAGAAAATAAAGGACTTCCTGATACCCAGCTGTTTGATCACTTCTTTCGACTTCCCCTCTTGTGTAGGCGGCTGTCCCTCTGCCTCCCCGGGCCCGCCCTGGCCGTCCTGCCAAAAACAAGAGGAGGAAACTGGCCCCATAGCAGCCATACCTGGAGCTGGAGCTGACCCTGGCTGGGGAGAGCTGAGTGCTGAGCCTCGGGAGCCCCGCCAGCCACCTGCACCTGTGGACAGTGGGTGGGGGCAGTCCTCCCCACTCAGAGCACAAATGCAACCCCTCCCCCCACAGTCCCATCCTGAGCCATTGCAGGGGGTAGGGAAGCTCACCCCCTCCCCCCCAAAGCCATGTCACTGAAAAGGCCTGGGGGGGTGGTGTATGGCCCTCTCCCCACCAGGCTAAGGGGAAAACCCCCTCCCCCAGGTCTTTTATTTGTTTAAGTTATTTTTGCACAAATGACTCTTTTATATTTAATTCGACTTCATTGCCTCCCTTCTTGAAGCCAGCAGGCTCAGTTTACAAACCTGTGAGCTACTGTTGGCTGCTGCCCTCCTTCCCAATGAAAGGTACAAAGCAATAAGCATCATGCGTCCTCCCCTCACCCCTGCCAACACCCCTCTGCCTCTGGCTCAGGTTGCTCAAAGCACAGATCCCCCTCTTACCCCTGTCCCCAGGTTTGAAACACATAGCCTCATTTCAAGGTGTAGCCAGCTTCCCTCCACTTTCCTCTGGGGTATGAAGAGGGGGTAAGGGGGCAGAGAGAGCCCTCTGGGTCTCTCCTCCCACACACACTACACTGCCCCTTCTCCCCCATCAAAACGCTCAGAGACGTTGTGACGATGCGACTGAGGATTATGCAACATGGTCCAACCGGAGCGGCCAGCATGACCAGCTGTCCAGGGGCTGCCTCCTGCCTTTTCTTTTGTAAAGACAAGACCCTTGGGAGTTTTAATTCTGTTTTGTACTTGCCCTGTGGGGCCTCCACTGCTTTTCTATGGGAGACACTCTTAATTTAACAGATGAGAATATTTTGAAACTCTGGCTCTGACTCTGTCCTCATTTTTTCCTTGGTTCTTTTGTAAGAACAGATTATAATTTAAATCGTCCTTCTGTGGTAGAGAGCGCTCAGACTGTCTGTTTGGCTGTGTATGTTTCTCTCAGTGCTGCCTCTTCCCCAGGAAACAGCAGAGGCCACACAGAGTACAACAGCATTTAATGGTCAGAAACAGTTGTGCAGTGTTACAACCAGCCACAGAAGCTGTGCTGGAGGACCGGACGCAGTCCTCCCCCACACCAGGCAAAGCAGTTTTGGGCAGGAGCCGGCACGTGGCTGGGCCACGTCCTCATCCCTGTGGCCTAAGGGGAGACCACCATTTAATATCCCCAGCTTCCACTACTCTTCAGAGGAGGGGGTTTAAGCCCCACATGCAAGAAGCCCTTGCCCCAGTGTCAAACGGGACGCAAGAGTTAGATCAAGGGGAAACCCTGTGTAAGGTATGGAGCGCGACTGGGCAGGGGTTACCCCGTCCTCCGTCACCCAGAGCTGCTCACTTTCCCAGTTTCTTCATCCGTTCGTCAATGCTGGCAAAGTTCCCCTCAATTGTGGACAGGTTCTCACGCATCGTCGTCTGCACCTGGAAGGCGAGAGAGCTGCTTTACTGTCAGGTTCAGGTGCTAACCTGGGTGAGGACCGGAAGCGTTCTCTTGGAGAAGACAGAAGACATGGAGGAGAATTCCCTGGTGGTCCAGTGGTTAGAACTCTGCACGTTCACTGCTGGGGCCCAGGTTCAGTCCCTGGTTGGGGAACTAAGATCCCACAAGCCACACAACAGAGCCAAATTAGAAAAAAGAAATGGAAACAGCTTGTGGGCCCCAGAACGGGAAGGGGACTTGGAGCACCATGGACCTAGCATGGGATCTGCTAAATAGGCAGGCCTCTTAAGAATTCCCATCCTGATTTTAACCAGAACAGTTCTTTCATCTGTTTTATGTACTGAGGGGAAAATAGGATTTTGTTGAAGTAAGGGTTTCACTCGTCCAAAATTTTAGAAAACTGCTCTGGAGGAAGAACATATGCCAAGCACTTTATCTTGACAATGCTGGGATACCAGACTCCCAACTGTAGTGCTTCCCTCAGCACTGAGAACAGTGCCTCCACCAGAAACTGAGGACTTGCTATGTGCTGGGCACTGCTTAAAAAATGACGCTCAGCGTTAGGAAGGAAATGGCAAAACCAGGTGGGAGCCCGGCTCCAGACTTCAATGCCCATGTTCTGTCTAGTGTGCTGTGCTCAGGAACATCTGGTTGAGGACCCAGGGAGGATAAACCCAGCTGAGACTACAGAGAGAAAAGGTAGGTCTCATAGGAAGAATGGAGGCTTCCTGAGCTCTTACCCATTCACTCACATTACTTCCTCTAAGCCATGTAACTCTGAAGCAGGTACAATCTGCCAGATGGTGAGATGGAGGGTCACAGGTTAAGTAAGTTGTCAGGCGTCTCATGGCAACTGAGAAACCGTATGGAGACTCACACCAAACTCCTGCCACACCACGTGGGCCGAGGCAGGACCCTCCAGAGCTGAGGCTGGCGGACCTTGCCTGTGCGCGCTGGGGAGGGGAGGCAGCCGACCAGCAGAGGAGCACTCACCTGAGTCAGGAGGGCGGCGCTGTCCTTGAGGGAACATGCGATCATCTGCTGCGTGGTGTCCAAGTGTGTCAGAAGCTGGCCAAACTGCATGGCTGTAAAAGGCCAGAACGGCAGGCATGGCGTCAGAACCCAAGACCAGGGCCAAGGGGGCAGGGCTGCTCACTTTCGTGCCTCCTGACGCCCCTTAGGGCTGCCCCCCCACCTTGCTCATGCAGCTGCTTGATGGTGACGAGTCTCTGCACCAGCTCAGGAAGGGAGGTGGCGACGGGGCTCCAGCGCTGCATGGTCTCATATAGCTGGTGCACCTGGAGGGGCGGCAGGCGCCAGCCTTCAGCCACACACACCCTCGGGCTGGGCCAAGGGCCCCGGCAAGCGCGCGTGCGGACAGGGAAGCGCTGCCCGCGCTCAGCTGTGAGCTGAGGGTTCAGCAGGGACAGCACGGAGGGAGCAGGACAGCGTGTGCGGATGGGAGGGGCGATCTCCTCCTGACCTTGCTTTGTGTATCTGCATCCTCTACAGAAGCTTTATGCTTGGCAATTTCATTCACTTTTCCCAGCACGCTCTGAAAGCACAGATTTTAAGGTCCATAGTAAGGGCATCAAGGCCTTCCGAAGTCACGAGCTGCCTGTGATCCGATTTGCCTCCACTCATTACCTGTAACCGAGCCTCCACCTGGTCCAAAACCGCGAGGTCCAGCGCGCCCACCTTCGCCTGCAGCAGCTCCACAGTATCCTGGGGGCGGGTCAGGACAGTGTCATGAAGCAGACAGAATCAGACTAGAGGAGGCCACCTCATACTCCACTGAGGGTAATGAATAAACAGCTACAGATCCAAAAACAGTTTTCTAAGCAAACCGAATCATGATATCCCCTCTGTCATCCAAACACTCCAGTTCCTTTTACACTCACCATGAGGCAGGCTCCCTGCAGACCTGCTGAAAGGGGGTTCTGATGGGGAAAAGAAGCAAAGAAGTCAGTGGCTCTCATCTCTCCAGGTGATTACCACCTTCTCCCATCCTTTCTGGTTCCAGCAGGCAACTACTGGCTGCTCCTGTAACTGGAACCTGTTCCTGACCCCTCCCCAGATTCTGTGGAAGGCAGTGCACCCTAGGGCTCGGGATGTGAGGGTCGGAACAAGTGTAGGAGAGCACGTGACCTGAGCATCCTGATCACAGCGCACAGTGGCTTCCAGCTCCGTCAGGCGCTTCTCGAGTTCCGCCACCTAGGGGAGGGAGGAGGGGAGACTGGCCATCCGCCTCCCTCCCTCCTGCTGCAGTGGGAGGTCGATCCTGCTCTTTGCTGGTCTGCGTGCCCTCCCCCCCGCTCCACTCTGCCAAGGGATTTCTTTCTCTGGAACACAGCACTAATCACAGTCTTAAATGAGACATCAAGAGGAGGGATCAAGCATTCCCCGCACCCTCTCCCCAGATGTGCTTCCTTGGAGGGCAGCAAGAACGTCTCCAGAGCCACGCCTTCCCTGGCCCCTTAACCAACATCACACACACACACACACACACACACATAGACACACACACACCACACAGACACACAGACACACACAGACACACACACACACCACACACACAGACACAGACACACACACACACCACACACACACACCACACACACAGACACAGTCACACACACAGACACAGACACACACACACACACACAGACACACACACACACCACACAGACACNCACACGTACACACACACACACACACACACACACACACACACACACACGTACTTTGGCAGCTTGAGAGAACTTGTCCTGCTCAGGCCGAGAATGCAATTCGTAAGTGACCAGGCTGCTATCTGGGGGGCTCCCACTGGTGGTCTTGCCCCCTGAACCAGTCCCTTTGCTGTTCTTTGTTGCTTCCAGCTGCAGCAGTAGGCGCCTGGATCAAAAAAGCAGCACTATTATCACGACTTGAGGATGTGGGTCCGCCTAGTCACTTGCTTCTGCCTCAGGGTCAGCATTAAGGAGCAGCCGGGCCACCTCCCCCTTCACAGCCCTGTCAATACCTGGCTGGAGTCCCTCCACACCCCAATGAGCAATGATTTCCCAGCAAAGTCTGGCACCCACTTAGCCAGAGCTCCATCGGGGTCAGTAAGGTTGATTGCGGCATCTGGTCCCAGCAGCTTCTCCAGATGGGAAGCAACCAGCTGCTGCTTCAGGGCAGCCAGCTGTTTAGCCAGCACCACGGGGGTCAGCTTCTCCTCAGTGGTTGATTCCTTCACTGTTGTCTGGTATGAAAACAAATAGACAGTGAGGGGTGGTACGAGTGAGTCAAGGAAAAAAATAGATAAAGACCCTTAAAAGATAGCTGTGGCTGAAAGTCACTGGGCTGCTCCTTACCCACTTACAGCACTAACTATAAATTCACATCCATTCCCAAACTCTGAAAACCTCAGCCCCCTAGGGAGGAGCTTAGGGAATCTTTCTCCTCCTGCTGGGAGGTCTTCCTCTGCTATGTAAGTCAGAGCAAAAAGGCGAGAGGAGAGTCTATAGTCACCTTGATTTTTTCAACTTCAGCTGTGAGCTCCTGGACCTCGTGCAGCAGTCTCTGGTACTTTTGCTGGGGTGTCTCCTTCACTCCCAGACCCTCTCCAAGCTAGAGAGCAAGCACAGACGGTGACATCACACCTCCTAGAACAGGGAAACTCAAGAATGTACCCCCCCCAGAAAAACAAACAAGAATGTATCCAAGCCCAGTCCAAGTTTGTAAGGGTATCATACCCAACTAAGAATCCACTATCATCCTCACTCAGAAGACGTGCAAAGAGCTGGAGGCCTGGAGACGCTCCATAGCCAACAGCAGGGGGACAAAGCATCCTCCCCTGCATCCAGCTGGGCTCCTCAGGGCCCCCAACCAGAGAGGAACCTGGAATCCCAGGTATATCCCTGCTCTTTCTTAAATGCCCACTATTCACATCAACACACAAACAACAAACCATCTCATATTCTCCAGATTCATATCCTGTTCTTTTGGTTTTTCCAATTCGATCTGAGAAATCTGCCAAGAAAAGAAGATGGAATTGAGGGCCTGAGCAAGACCCACGGCAGTCATGGTCTCAGTGACTGTGAGGGCTTCCGTAAGACAGCTCTTTCCCCAAAGCAAATGTCAGTGAGGCCTGAGGTCAGGCTTCCCCATCCAATTCCCAGCCAGTCTCACCAAGTCCCTTTGTGCCCACTCTCTTGTCTTTGAACTTGTCATAGGCAGCATTGGGATTGACAATGATGTGCTCCACACTGGTACTCGTCAGCTCCTCCTGCAGAAACAGATGGTTCAGGCCAGGGGCAGATTCCTTCCCACCCTAGAACTTCCCAGAGCCCCCCAAATCCCCAAACCATTAGGAGCCTGGGCTCTACTCTCCCAGGGGGGAAGAAGGACAGCTCCAATCCAAGCTACCGACCCAGGTTCACCCTAGGAAATGAAAGCTTCCTGGTAAGTTTGGAGTCTCAGTTGTATGAATATTAACACCCTGATTCCATTGGGAACAGAGGCGGCATAACTTCCCCACCCGTTCTGTACATAAGCCTCCTCCTCCCCTCCCCTTCCCCAGTCCAACTGGGCCCTCCCAGTTATCTGGCAACACGATGCACTCAGGGCAAGAAACCAACCTGACCTCTTTTAACCTTCCCCTCCCAAAAGTAAATGTCCTTGCTGCTGAGGAAGTCCATCTGCAAGCTAACCTCCCGTCCGTGCTGGAGGGAGAGAGGAGCCATCAGGCTCCTGGCTCCCGTGCTGCTGAAGGGAAGGTAACCACTTTTAGACACGAAAGAAGGCTGGCAGAGGACCGGGCCAGATGCCGTTTCCAGACCGCCGTAAGTCAGGGAATTTAGGGGATACACAGAAGAGGCAGATATTGTGTTATTTTTTAAGGGACATCTCGGAAGCAACAGCATAAGCCGTATCTGTTTGCCAAAAGTGCCCATGGGCAAAGGCCACGCGTACATTCTGAAACAGACACAGCTGCAGCACTCGCCTCTTCTCCCTGACCCTCTGCTGTTTCTCAAGCACGAAGCTCTTCCACAAGGAGGGGCATGGTAAACGAAGTGAAAGAAACTTCACCCTAGCAACCGAGGCAGAAAGGCTCCCTCCTTACTACGTATCTGTTAGCGGTTCAGATTCTAGTAACGACACCAAAACCAAGTCCTCCAGACCGCATGTCTCTCCTTCTATGTCAGCAGTCCGACAGGTCTCATCATGCTACTGAAGGCAGTGGAAGGAGACCTGGAAAGCCTTTTCTCTTGGGGTGGACATCACCTTCTACTGGAGGAAGGCAAAGAAAGTCTTCTTTCTTTTAACCACAACAATGGTTTTCAACCCTGGCTGCACAATAGAATCACTTAGAAAAGGGGTGGGGGAGAAAAAAGGGATGGGCTCACCTCTGTAGATTCTGACTGAATTGTTCTGAGGTAGGGCCAGGGTAGTAGGCCAGTTTAAAAGCTACCCAGGTCATTCTAATATGTATCCAGGACTGAGACTCTCTGACTGTCAGTGGGTACTAGGGGTTGACGGGGGGCGGGGACAGGCTATGATGGACAGACATGGAGAAAGAGCAGAAGACACAAGCTCCACCCTTCATCTCTGCACTCTGACAGGAGGAATCAGTGTGAGTAGCAGTTTTATAAACGAGGGAGGGGGCGGGTAAGGAGAAAACATCAACTCTGCTTTTCACCTCTTCAGGGAAGTGCTGGGCAGATGGGCAAGAGCTAAAAAAGATTAAGGGGAAATAAAAGGTTTCCCGTATCCAAGTGCCTAGGGGAAAAAACAACTAAGCCACAAATTCTTCTCTCAAGCTTCTCTGAAGCGTTATGGCCAGAGCACCCACTGGTCAAACAAATGTGGTCTCAGGCCTCTAAAAAGTGTCTGTCTGAGATGGACTCACACTCAGGAGAGAACATCACCCTCTCTCAAGCTCACCCTCAAGAGTAAGAACATGCCACTCCTCCCTCTGACGGTGAGGCAGGAAAAAAAAAAACACCTCTTTGGAAGGCAGAGTCTACAGACTAAGGACAGAAATCACAGCTACCATTTTGTTAAGCCCTTACTATGGGCCAGACGAGAACATACTTTCTTATTTAGTTTTCTAAAGAGGGAATGTGTGGAGTGAAAAAGGGTCACCACACAGAGTCTGAGTGTCGGAGCTTCTGGACATAGCGGGCACAGCCAGTGCTTTCATCTTACTGGTCATGCGGCAGGAGCACGTCCCGGGGCAGAAGGCTGCCCAGCGCTGGCGCCCTCCCAGAGCCTCTCTGAGGGTGCGGGCTCGAAGGCTCAGGGGGACAGCACACTTGAGCCCTTCAGAGGCACCGACTCTGCCAGTGTCTTGGAGGTCTGGGGGCATGGGCTGGAGGTGGTGCCATTACAGTGATTCAGGAGATGGGGAAAGGTCAGCTGGGGTTGGGGCTGAACAGAGGGACAGAAGATTCAGTAGAGACGAAAGGCAGAGAACCACTGCCCGTCACAGCACACCCGTCAAAAGCAGATGGAAGGTCAGGCTGCTTACCAGCTCCTTGTGGTTTCCCCAGAGGTGAGAAAATCAAGAGTTAAAAGGGCAGGGAGGGGAAATGGGGGTGAGGGAGGGAAAAAAAAAAGACAAAATTGTTATTAGCAAATTGTCACATGCACTACATGACAGTCTTCAAATATACTGCATCACAGGGCCCAGGGGAGCCTAGCAAAATTTGGGGGCCAAGAAATCTCAGCTGGGGTCACTGCATACCCCAAGAGAAAGAAGAGCTTGGGACCCTTTCCTCTCTGGTGGTCAGGATGTCGTGAAGCTTTGCAGTGAACAGCAGCAATTCAGGATCACCTGGGAACTAAGGGTTAGGTGTTGCGAGCCAGTGGCGTGGAAGAAAGTGGGGGCAGAGAAGGCTGGGGGAGGCAGGGAGACGCTGTGGAGACGGCAGACTGTGAGGCAGAGGCTGTGGAGATAAGAGTCTGAGGGCCTGTAGCTGACTGAGGGCCCGTGATTATTAAGGTGGGAAGTTCATGGCTCAAGTCTTCCTGCCTCTCAGTTTCTCTAGTTTTGAAGAATTAGGCATTCGAATGGCAGAATCAATCATAATGCGGGTGCTTATGTAGGTGGTGTCATGTGACTTTGTGTTAAGCAGCACAAAATGAACTTTCTAGATTACAGATGGTAAGTTCAATGAAATGCAAAGTATCTAACTGCAGCCCCATCCTCATTCAGTTGCCAGAGGAGAGGCAGGGCAAATCCTGGTCCCTTGTGAAGTCTGGTGTGTTTGTGTCCATCTTGAGTGCTTGGAAACTCACCCTACACTCTGAGGGATCCAGAGCAACTCTGCCATGACGCGCTAGCACAGAGTCCACAAGACACCCAGATTCACAGCTACCAGACATGCGCAGAACATATTTCTTCAACCCTCTGTTCACAGGGGTTGGAGGGTATACAATGCGGAAAAGTGAGAGTCTTTCAAAAAGAGGCCTTATTTTAGCCCAAGCCACACAGATAAGGCTCCACTTCCAGGCAAGACTGGTTAAAGAATTGCCAGGAAAGGATGGATATATGTATATGAAGAGACAAGATGGGATAAAAACAACTACATTCTGCCCCAGAGATTTCAGCTAGATGCATCAGAACTTCAACCTCTTCATTCCCTTCTCATGCCAGGGTCCAGCCCAGCCAAGACTCCTCGCTCAGTTCAGGGCAGAGGAGGATCCAGGTCCTGTGGCCTAAGGCTGGGATGTCTCTGCAGAGAGCATGTAAGCACTTGTGGGGTGCACACATGCAAACACACGAGGGGAGGCGCACACACTTTCCTTTTCTCTTGCCTCACCAAGCTAGAGGCAGCTTGATTAAAAACTCAAGGGAAAAGAGAGGACAATGGGCCATAAGTCCAAGTCCAAGTCATGAGGAATAAGCAGAATGGGGGAGGACAGAAAAATTTAAACAAGGAAATGTGGTACATGTATATTAACTTGTAAATCATACATACCACCTCCAAGTCTGACCTACGGGTGGGTTGGGAAATGAGATTTTTGCAATAACGTCTGTAACCTGGAGTAGTTAACAGTCACCATGGGAGCCTACTAAACCCAGCCAACTTGATTAGAATTCTAAGTGCCTTGACCCCAGGTACATGACTCCCCAGTCCCTCTCATTAATAACCTCCCAGACTCCCCAGGGCTGTTTGGCTAAGTGGCTGTGCCTCAGAGGGCAAGACCTGAGGTTCTAGATCAGAAATGGGAAGAGGTCACTGCCGCTCCCTTAGCCTGTTCAGGCTCTTTGCCAACACCACAGCCAGGGGGACTTCAGAACCATGACGACAAGGAAGATGGATAGTGCTGTAGAATAAAACTGTCCAGGATGGACCAACACAGTGCTGACCATCCAACCATCTCTAAAGGAGGGGTACAGAAACAGGAAGCCTTGTGGAAGCACAAAGGATCCAAGTCAGTCCCTTAAAATCCCTTTCCTAGCCCATTTACCTTCCTCTAAAGGCTTAGCATAAGGGAATATTAAGATGAAGTTTTCATCTTAATCAGGTATAATCCACACTGCTAAGAAGTGAGGACTGCTGCTGTCCCCCTGTTCTTAACCCTTGTCCAGAATGGCTAAAAGCCACTCCTTTTCTCTTAACTCCAATTCAGTTTGTGAAGGAGAAAGGCAACCCCCTTCCAACTCCTGCTCTTAAATCCCCATGTCCAGAAGTGTTCCCTGTCTCCATGTTTCTATCCCATCCTCCACTGGACAGTTTTATTCTGCAGACCTCACAGGGGAAGAGACAATGATTCATGAATCATAGTTGTGTTTCTAAACATTGATTAAGAATCTTTAACCATGAGGCCAGCAGGCCCCTTAGTGCCCCGGCGAGAGATGCATCAGAATTTAAAACAATCAGCTGCGACAACAGCACAGTGAGAGCATGGCATGCGAGATGGCAAATGAAAAAAACATGCAGAGAAGAAGCACTGAATGGTCTTACTTGTGCAAACTAGTGTCCAGGCAGGGTGGTGAGGAGGGAGGATGGGGGAAGCATTAGGAAAAACTCAGGTAAGTTCAAGTGCGCCAACAGTCAATGAACACAATCAAGCATACTCTGTGATACCCCAAACAGTAAGGAAGAGAACTTACTATTTCCTATCTCAGGCTGGTGGAGGGTCTGGCATTATTTACCCTTTGGAGAACGGAAGCCCCTGCCAGGGCCCCACCAAACTAAGGCTAGGTCATTTTTCCCCTTTCACATGGCATCAGGATAGGTATGGCATAAAGGGAGGAACTAATCTTGTTTCTAGTGAGTTTTCTAGACTTACTCCCCCTTGCTCCAGCACTTAAAAAGCCGGGAGCAGAATGCCTACACAGACCCAAACGTAGGCTGTAGACTCAGTGGGGAGGGAATTCCAACTGGGAATTAGCTTTCCTGACAAGACATTTTAAGAAAAGCTTCCAAAAAGCTCATGGCCCAAATCAACCCAGGAGTGTCTGATACGCAGAGGGGATCCTCCTACACTGAGGAGGAAAGGGCTAGCCTGTGTGGTTTTCTGGCCCATTCACTTTAGAATATTTTAGCTCCTGCTAAAATTGTTTTAAAGGGATAGCAGGAAAATCAGGACCATTTTTACCTAAAATAAAACCTTCTACCATTTCCTCTTCCATCCTTCCCAATATGGGAATTGCAAACTTTCCCGTTTAAGTTAAACTAGCAATTACAATTTTTTGGGTATATTACAGGGTATTATTTCCTTCGGCAGCCCGATTTCTTCCATAGTGGAGCGATCGAAGGAAGGTGAAGAGACAGTGAAGGTCGTCCATATCCTTTGACTACTTCTTTAAATAAAAGTCTGGAGACTGCCCTGAAAGGTTCCATTAGGAAGCTGATCAAATTGGTTGTCTCCAGGGAGGAACTGAGCATTGGCAGGCAGCAATGGGAACAGACACTTTTTGTTCTATGTGCATGTATTACCTACTTTAAGAACTAATAAAATTAAAGTTCCAAATAATCTGGAGACTAAGACAGAGCATGCTCTTGCTGGAGTTAAGAAGGTGACTGAATTCACCTCATGGTTCAGCCACAACAGTGGTGGCGTGCACTGTGACCCATACTGGGTCTTGGGAAGGTAAGTGAGAACGGGACCAGCTGCTAGTGAGAATCCAGGCCTCAAGGAAATGAGGATGCTGGGTTGTCTAAGTACAACCAACTGCTCCTCAAGTTGCACACTTGCGTCAGTATTAAGAGCAGGGGCAGAACCATTAGTCAGCTGACTTCCCGAAAGCTGCCCTTGTAAGGCCCACAGGGACAGGCAGGGGCCAGAGACAGCAGCTGGCATCAGGAAACATCTCAGGCCTCCCCCACTCCCGCCGGGGCTCCCAAAGCTGCTGAGCGTCTCCGGACCCTGCCCACTCCCTAGTGATAGTGTCATTCTGCTGGGCCTTAGGTGATGGAGGCAACTGAGTTCCTCTTCTGTCTACCGTCCAGTTATTATCGACTTCTATACTGGCATTCTGGCTACACGCTGCAGGAAATGAACATCAGCCCATCAGCCACCCCACTAGGTGCTACTAAAATAGGCTGCTCAGGTTCAGCAGGGAGAGACAGCCAATCGGGGCAGAAGAGTCAGCTTCTTCCATGTCTGGGATGAAGGTCATGTCTTTTTATTAAGAGATAGCCCATGACTTTGAAAGGAAAATTACAATTTATTTTTTGGTTTGGAAAGGGGACTGCTACGATATTACCTGTCTGATCATGGTCAGTGACAAAGGGACAAACTTCCATTCATTACTTCACCATGGAGGCTTGCTATTTTATAGGCAGAGCCCTAGGCCAGAGCTGAACAGTCTCTGAACTATGGTAGCAGAATGGAGTCCTCGGTATATATACTCCTGTCCTCTGAGTCAGAGATAGCTCCCTAATAAGATATCTCTTGGAGTGAAGGTGTACACCTAGGTCCTGAACAAGGACACCATCTGCATTATCTTCAGATACCCAAGTGTGGGGGACAGACTGACATGCCAGCAAGGACAGAAGCAACAAGAACACACCACTCAGAGAGGGGACGAGGAAGGTGCTCCCCACAAAGAAGGAACCACTTCCACGTGGGGGAAATCAAATAAGGAATAAGTGAGTACGCCAAGCCATACATTATAAGCCAGCAACCAGCATTCTCCAGAACTAACCAGCCCCACAGATGTAGCCACAGGACTCACAGACACACATACAGAGCCTGTTCCCACTGACTCTTGGTCACCACTTTTCTGAGATCTCACACCATCAATGTGACCCTAGCCCAGCTCTCCTTGCAAATTATAGAACCTAAAATACATCCTATAAGACATGTGAACAGATCCTTGCTCCCCTTGGCACTTACACTCAGAGTTTCCACTATGTTCACTTCATTCACTCAATTATTTTCTTTCATGTTTCCTACATGTATCCTAACTCCCCCACTAGCCTGGGGGATTTTTGAGGGCAGGGACATTTCTTTCCTCTGTACTGCACAAAAATCAACACAAAATGAACACAATCAATAAACAATGCGAAGTGGTTTCCCTTATGGTTAAAATGTGTCCACAGCTAATTCCTTCCTCTTGAGTTCTTCCTAAATCTGAAAGTGCTATCAAGTCCTCTCCTCTGCTAATATGAAACATCTATGTTCTTCATCAAATTCGTTCTGCTCTGACCAGCTCTCTTATCTTTCTGAAGTCTCCAATTCATTTTCCTTGCCTGGTGGATTCTGGATACTCACGTAAAAGAGTATTCCTCTATACTTCAAAGTCTAGCTTGTTAGGATGTTAATGAACACTGAGTAAGCGATATATTTTATGAAACAGAAGGTCTAGGTCTTAAACTCATGCACTTTTAAAGTGCTCAGGCTTCATGATTCAATACCATGGACTAGCACTACTGGGGCTAAGTCACTAGCACCCAGCCTGTTTTGAGATATTTCAATTTTATTTAAAAGGCCTAAGTATCCGGCCTCTTAGTTTTAATTCCACTGACCTGACTCTCCTTCCTGGCATTGCTCATTCGCAAGTCCTGCAACCTACATACCACCCAGGCTGGGTTGGCATACCCGCTTATTGCTGTGGCTCGCCAGAAAAGGGAAAGGGCCTGCCTGGTAGAGAGAGATCAGAATTCACAGGAGTCCTGAGGCAGCGCATAGTCTTACCGCATCAAACTCTGCTTGATCATCCTCAGGCAGGTCGCTGGTTTCATAAACATCTGGCTCGTTCCTGGCCTGCAGGTAAAAGCAGTGACCATCCAACCTCACTACCCAGCACTACCCACGCACACCCCTGACCCCACTCCATCTGAACAAGTGAACAGAGAAGCCAGGCTGTGATGCCAGGATTCTGCCCCTTCTTTCACCTGCTGGGTGAACAGCACGTCACTTGCCATGTCTTAACAGGGGTGGGGATAACAGTGGGGATGACTGATGGTAAATGGTGTTACGTGACTGACAAAGATGTTACCCTGCATCTGAAGGGTGACGCATCCTCGGCAATCAGAAGTAGGAGAGGAGCCCACATTAGGCCCTGCACACACTACCCTGGCACAAGGGCTGAGAGTGACTCAGGACCTTAGTACACAAGGTCCTATTCCAAGCCCCCACCCCGGGAACGCAAGTAAGGCCATAACACAAAGGGAGGTGCATGCCGGCATGTGCGGCGCTTGGAAGGAGGTTCGTAGAGGACAAGAGTTCTCTATCTGGGGTTCTGTCACGGTAACCTCCTCACTCTGCGGAGTGAAGGCCATCACCAAATGACCTGGTTTGTGTGTCTCAGGTGGGGGTGGGGGGCTTATGGGAATATCTGGGGAGACACGGGCGGTGTAGACACGGATGGATAAGCACCAGACAACAGTGGTAAGTGCCTGGAGACCATTTCTGGGCCGAGAACCCGGTGACTGCCAGAAAGGGGCCTTGCAGGCCGTCGCAGAGTCCAGCCCAGTCGGGCCGGCGTCCGAAGGGCGCTGGGGCCGGTCAGGGAGCTGGCGGCAGGAACCCTGGGGGCTGAGGAGGGGGTGCAAGCGGAAAAGGCCACGGGTTGGTGTCTGTTGGGGGTCTTTAGGAGGTTGGGGGCGCGGTCTTGGGGAGCCAGGGCCGGCCGTGTACTCACAATGCCGGGAAGGTCGGCGTACTTAGGGTCCGCCATGGCGGCGGCGAGGCGGGGTTAGGGGATCGGGGCCTCGGCAGAGCCGGGACCGGTGCTCGGGCTGGGGAGAGGATGGGTCCTGGTCCGGGTTAAGGCGGCCGCGAAGGGAGCGGCGGAGGAGGCGGAGGAGCAGGAAGTCTCGCGACAGGAGCAGAACAGGGGAAGGGTGAAGCCAAAAGTCGCGAGAACAGCCGGCCACCACACCCCTGGAGAGGCAGGGATTGGCGAGAACGAGGCCGGGAATGAGGTAATGGCAGGAAACCGCCGCCTGGGATTGTGGGATATGCAGTCTTGGCCCACCGGTCTTGGGCGGGGACCGACGTTAACGTGCTTTGGGAGCTGTGTCACGTAACTTATTTTCTTTCGTCTTTATAGCGAGTCTGTGAAAGAGCTTTTACAATTCCTGATTTTTGGTGGATAAATTTGTTGTTCAGTCGCTAACTCCTGTCTGCTGCTAAGTCGCTTCAGTCGTGTCTGACTCCGTGCGACCCCATAGACGGCAGCCCACCAGGCTCCCCCGTCCCTGGGATTCTCCAGGCAAGAACACTGGAGTGGGTTGCCATTTCCTTCTCCAGTGCATGAAAGTGAAAAGCGAAGGTGAAGTCGCTCAGTCGTGTCCAACTCTTAGCGACCCCATGAACTGAAGCCCACCGGGCTCCTCCGTCCATGGGATTGTCCAGGCGAGAGTACTGGAGTGGGCTGCCATTGCCTTCTCCTAACTCCTGTCTAGCTCTTTGAAACCCCATGGACTGTAGTCCGCCAGACTCCTCTGGCCTCCACTATCTCCCACAGTTTGCTCACATTCATATCGATTGAGTCGGTGATGCTATCTAACCATGTCAAGCTCCCAGAAATTAAATGACTGGGTAAAAACAACACAACTAGGTATGCTAAGGCACAGCCAGGGCTTTGAAACAACAATGTGTAAATTTAACAGAAATTTAATTATGTCGGGAATGAGAAAGTTAACTAACCTCAGGTTAGGGCAGTCAGATAAAATACAGAGCACTTAGTTAAATTTGAATTTCATATAAACAACTAATAGTCTTTACAGTATAAGTATGTCCCATAGGATATGTAGGACATACACATAAAATAGACACATTTTACTATTTTATCTGAAATTCAAATTTAACTGGGCATCCTGTTTTTGAATCTGGCAATTCTACCACAAGTTCATAAATAAACACTTGGTAGCACCCTCTGTGCCCTTAATCCCTTCACTAATGGTTTTCAGACTTTTGAATTTCACAGTTTAGTACAATTAAAACAATATCAAACCTTTTTGAGGATAGGCATAGTATTGCTACTTTTTTATTTTGCCAAGTAAGTATTTGCCAAATCTATTCCCTACTAGTACCATCATTACTTAGTAGAAAAGTACAGAAGGACATACAGTACTCTCAGAATAAAAGATATTCCTTTGAAACAACAAATCCAGCTTTATGAAAAACCTACCGCATTCACATTGTGTTGTGTTTTTTTTTGCTGGGAGGGATCCATGCACAGTAAACTTTTGTCTGACCCTGCATTGACTAGCATTTTGAAACCCCTTCACTAAGGATGTCATCCTGGAGCCCCTGGGGGCCTAAGGTTGGGATATTTCCTGAGCTTGCAGGATGCTGCAACAATTAGAAATAGTGCCAGACCAAGTGACTGGAGAGATGCCTGTTTTCCTGAGTTTAGAACTCATTGTCATTCTGTGTGTACTCTCCTGGCTCCTCACCAAGCCTTTCTCTCCACAGTGTTACTGCCTTCCCATCCAGTTTCTTATGCTGAACCTCCTTCCTTCAGTTTCCTTAAGATTCAAGGTGGGGGAAAAAAAAAAGATTCAAGGTGGGTTAGGGGTATATGTCCAACTCGGAACCCTTTAGTTGTGTTCTGAGTGGTTAGGTCTTGTTTGGCCAGGCCATCATTCTCTCCTTCTTGGTTCAAGAGACCTTAGACACTTACCAGACAACTGCTAGGCAGAACCTCCCTCCCTCCTTCCTTCTTCTCCCATCACCCTGCTCCTCCCCCTGGCCTAGAGTCTCAACTCCTGCAGTCTGACTCTGTTGGCCAGCAGAGGCTGTGTGACGTGGAAGAAAATCAATCCCGCCAGCTTCTAGGTGGTTCTGCCCAGGGGCTGCAGCAGGAGCTGACCGGAGGGGAGGGAGGACATGGAATTTCTAGACTTGGCTCTGTCTCTGTCTCTCTCTCTCTCTCTCTTTTTTTGCCAGAGAAGGGGGAGAAACAGAAGAAAGGCCTGAGAAAGGGGCTGGAGTGTTGGGTCTGTTCAACCTGCCTAAACCTGCCTGAAGCCCAAATGCAGATGTCAGCTCTAGAGGGCCTTTCTTCAAGCCCCTCTGGCCTTACCCACCACCATCATCTCTCCTCCATCACTGCTTTATGACTTCCTCCCTCTTGCAAAAGTTCCTCTGGGCCACCACCATCCCAGCCCCAAACTATGAGGCAAAAATGAGAATTACCTGCTTTTGAATTCTGATAGACCAAAATAGGAGCCCTGGTAGCTCAGCAGGTAAAGAATCCACCTGGCAATGCAGCTTTGATCCCTGGGTGGGGAAAATGCTGGGGAGAAGGAAATGGCAGCACACTTCAGTATTCTTGCCTGGAGAATCCCATGGACAGAGGAGCCTGGCAGGCTACAGTCCATGGGGCCGCCAAGAGTTGGACAGGCCAAAATAGGAGACCACAGGCCAAAATAGGAGACCTAGTGGGGACCTAGTGTCTATGTGGGGGAGAGAGTAAAGTCCTTTTGGATGTAGGAGGGGAAGGGAAGAACCAGACCGCCCTTGACACTCCTCTTTGAAAAATGGACCCTGGACACGCACCTCCACAGGGGCACACGTAGCTGCCCCCGAAGGTCTGAGTGAGCTGAGGATCTGTGAGGGGGTTGTGGGGAAAGAGAGGAGGAGACGTGTGCCGCCAGTCTGGAGAGAGGACTGTGATGGAGGTGAAGGATGCCCTGGAATAAAGGAGGTGTCAGCGCTGTTGGCCGCCTCCGACGGGCAGACGGGCCCACCTCCGATCCCACAGCCCTTCCAGGGGGGTGGAGTCCGAGGCAGGGACAGACGGGTCAGGGTTGTGAGGGTGGGACCCAGTGAGTGACTTGGGTGGGGAAGGGCTGAGGACACGTTAGTCTCCGAGCGTCAGGAGTGGGGAGAGGAGGCGAGGAGAGAGCAGAGGTGCCGCCGTCCGTCGGTGGGCGCCCCGGGGCGGCAGCCCCGAGCCAGGGAAGCCCCGCCCCGCTCCTCCGCCGCCGCCCCGCCCAGGCCCGCAGCGCGGCGCTGCAGCGCGAGGGGCGGAGAGGCAGAGCGCCGAGAGAGGACCAGACGCCCAGGTCGCCGCATCCCGGTGCCGCAGGAGAGAGGAAGCGCGCCTCGGCCCTGCTCCCCGGCCTTCGCCCGCCTCAGCTTGCTGAACCCCCAGAGACCGAGCACCTGCCCTCCGCCCGGGCCTCAGCTGAGCCCCTCTCCTCCCGGCGCACACGCGACCCCTGCAGCCGAGGTGCCCCAGCCCCACGCCGGCGACCACCATGGCCGAGACCAACAACGAATGTAGCATCAAGGTGCTCTGCCGATTTCGGCCCCTGAATCAGGCCGAGATTCTGCGGGGGGACAAGTTCATTCCCATTTTCCAAGGGGACGACAGCGTCGTTATTGGGGTGAGTGCCGCCCCTGGAGGGAATTTCGGAGAGGGGGCAGGATCTTTTACCCCCGCCGAGCCTCAGCCCCCAGCCTGTCTCAGCTGCCTGTCCCCGCCGCTCGTCCTCCATCCTTTTAGCCGCAGCCCCTCCTCTCCCTGCATCAGGATGGCTGGGTGTGGCCTGGCCAGGCCGGCGGCCGAGTCCCGGCAGAGTAGGAGGGGGCTACTGTCCCGCGATCTGGGGACCGGATTCCCCTTGGCTGCTCCCTGCAGCGTCCCCACCCCTAGGGCCAGTCCCGTGTTTTTCCGACGTTTTCCCTGTTCCCTAGGGAAGGCGCATCTTCCCTTTGTTATTGGCTCAGAATCTCTACCCCCCACCTCCCAGGAAGGGAGGGGGAAGATAGTGGACTGGCTAGATGGGAGGCGGGTTGTCCAGGGTCTCTGCCGAGGTACACTTGAGGGTGGACCCTGGGGTCAAGGCCTCCATCACCCCCTGAAGTAGTTACAGCTTGGACTTGGGGGGAGGGCACCGGTTTGGTGAAGGGTTTTCAGAGAAGGAAATACATTAGTGCCACACCCAGTTTGGGGAGGGGGATCCTCTAGGTCCTAAAGAAATGTCTGCCTTTCCCTCCCAGGTATGGTAGGAAGAGGATTTCAGACTCCTCAACTCACCCTAACAAAAATAACCAAACCCTGAGATCCTATCAAGCAGTTGCTTATTCATCCTTTCTCTTGATCCAATACAAAGTAGCAAGCCACCTACCTTGTCTTGACAGCCCCTACCCGTGGAAGAGACTATGAAGAAGGAGAATTAGTATTTACTGAGCTTTTTGCTCTACATGTATCATTTGATCTTCAAAACAACACTCTGGAGAAGGCATTAATATTTCCACTTTACAGATGAGGAAATTGAGGCCCAAAGAAGTCAAATGACTTTCTCAAGGTCACACTGTTAATTCATGGATCTGAACCTAAATCTGTCACTCCAAAGCTCGCATCTTTCCTTCTGTATGACATTACCTCCGCAGATTTCGGTTCTGCACTTGTAGCTGTGGTAGCCCCCAAGGGATTTCTAGGGAATTCCTCACCTCCCCCTCCTTTCCTGGGCTGGTTGGGACTGTCAGGCTATGGGGTGAAAGGATTTGGGGTTGAGTCCAGTAGGGAGCAGGATTTGAGGGGTGCTGGGCCAGGACACTGTAGCTGGTTCAAGAAGGGAGGAGCCCATATAAGGGCCATCCTCAAGGTCAGGGGCACTGCTTATGTATCTTTGATCCATAGTGCTTGGCACAGGACTTGCTTGTTGAAGGAATGAAGGAAGGAAAGAAGAGGAGGGAGGCTGGGTCTTCGGAGTCGGTGAGAACGGGACTTTGAGTAAACACGCCTAGGAAGAGACTTGCCGACATGGCCTGTCCCCAAGGGCTCTGGTCTGTCACCAGTCTCTCTCACCTCCACTGTGGACTCAAATGGGTGCTTTTGCCTTGTGTATGTGCTTATGTATGTATGTTTGCCACATAGAGAGGGCCCCTGTCTCTCTTTGTCTCAGGAACCTTAGACCTTGCAGGCTGATCCATCTGGCCAGGCTGAAATAATGCCTGGATCAACCCTTGGGGCCTCCTTTCTGAATAGTCTGGACAGTGGGTGTTAGCCATGAGAGTTAGAGCGTGAGGGCCCCCTGAGACAGAAAGGCTGAGAAAGAGGACCAAGGTGGTTATGGAGGAACAAACCCACAAAAGGCTTCCACTTTTAAGCCTAACTTCCTTGCTCTAGGGTGTTTAGGTTTATCTGAACCCACTCCCTTAGGCTCTCTGGGGCATCCATCCTGGCATGGTGGGCGCGGGGCATGGGGCGATGTTGGGAGAAGGAGTTGTGTTGACCCATCTCATTCCCAGCTAAATAGGAGGGACCCGGTGGAGGTGGGAGGGAGGAGAGAGAAAGAGAGGCCCAGGGCCCCCTGCCAGTGCAGATTTTATCTCACTCCACAGCTGTTCCTTCTTTATCCATTTCGCCTGATGTTTGCAGGGCTGGACCTCTGTCTCGCTCTGCGTCTTGCCTTGCCCTAGCCCTTCCTGTCAGTGTCTCTTGCCAAGATAAGTGCTTATGGGGGGCCATTTTGTCTCAGGCAGCATCCTTGGTGCTTGCCTTCCCAGGCTTTCTGTTCATTCCTCCTTCAGGAGGATGAGGGTCGTAAGTGAAGTGATTGTGAGGAGCGCCTTGAGGGTCCCAACAAAGGGAAGGAAGTCCCCCACCCTCCTTCCTGTCTTCCTCCAGCTCCCTTTGGGGCCCGTGTGTGGGAATGGTGTGAGGAGTTAATGGAGGAAGCTGCTTCAGGATGTCTGGGAAGGCTGAAGGTGGCAGAGGCTCCTCTCTCTCCAAGCCCAGCCCCCTGCTCCTCCTGTGATGGCTCTCCGCTCTGCACTGCGGCTAGCTCTGGGCTACAGAGTCCCTGATGTTCGTGGGCTTTTCCTGCTTGGCAGAACGTAGGAGAAGAAGCTGGGAAGACAGCTCTGTGAGCCTCATCCCCCCCCCCCCACCCCACGACTTCTCCCTGGAATCTGGGGGATGGGGCTTAGCCCACGTTAATGGCCTGAGTCATAGTGGAAGGGTGTCGGGGTCACTGTGTGCTGTGTACCTCGCCTTGCTCTTTGGGTCGCGGGGAATCCACCGTGACTTTTAAAGTGTGCCCATCTGTGTGTCTCTCTGCCTGCGTCTTAGCTGTGCATCCATGCCAGACACGGGAGAATGGCAGTAAGGAAACCCGTAGCCTCTCTGCCTGCCACCCCTGCTCTGCTTCCCTCCTCTCTCCCCTCCCTGCCCTCCCTCATTCAAGTATCCACCCTATTCTGTCTCCCTTCAACTTCCCGATGGCTGGGTGGATTCTTAATGAGGCAGCAAACCGGGGCCACCAAGTACCTCCTTTGGCAAAGCCAGGTTGGGGCCAGCAGCATTACTGGAGCAGAGTCAGGATCATCTGAGGTGGCCCAGGATTCTTCTGATGTCTGGCCGAGAGGAGCAGTTCTCCCCGTAGCCTTGGGGGAGTCTTATCACGGAAACGGGGAGGGGAGGTGATGTTGCCTGTGGTCAGTGTCTCTGCAGCGTTGCCATGGCAACAGTCCCCAGGAGTGTCACTATGGAAATCAGTCCTGGTGCTGTCAAGTTCAGTCTCTGCCAAGTGCTTTAGTGAAGGCTGAAAAGGTCGGGTATCTGTGGACCCTGATCTTAGGCCCTTCCATTAGCTTTAGTCAGCACCCTTGGTGGAAAACACCAGAAAGTGCTGGGAGACACAATTGGACAGGCGACAGGGACGCTTGGAGTGGGTCAGAGGAGAACACGGAGTCCTGGGCTGTGGGACCCTGAAAAGAAGCCCTCCAGAGGGGCGGTTTACACTGCTGTGCGGAGAGAGAGAGAGGATCTCAGAGGCTTTCCTCAAAGGTGGAAGGTTTCCCTGAGTGTTTCTGACTTACGAGTCTTCTAGTCCCTGACTAATCAAAGTCATGGATTAGTACCTCCCTGGAGAGGATGGATGGGAGAACTGCCTTCTTCTGAAAAAGGGGTTGAGGTTGCAAAAAGAGGGTGATGAAGGGCTTTAGTTCTGCCCAGAAGTATTTGGAGGAACGCCCACATGGAGGGAGGAGGGGAAGGGGAGCCGTGATAAAGCTCTGACGCAGTGTTGGCACGTCGGTTATGGGATCACTTTGACAGTGTGGGTCTGGAATCAGATTGCTTGGTTTTGAAACCTTCTTCTACCTACCTTTGAAACCTACCTATCTGAACCTCAGGTTTCACATCTATGAAATATAATCATAATTATATTACCTACCTCCTAGGATTGCTGTGAGCATTAAGTGAGATAATGTATATAAACTGTTTAGCATAGTGACAGGCACATCATAAACTCCCAATCAGAGTTAGATGTTATTTTTACTTTAGATGGGCTGTCTCCCCACCAGCTCGCCTTTGACACAACTGGGAAGTGGTTAACATTTCCCCTCTTACAGGTTGTTTCATCCAGAGATTCAGATCCCTAGGACCTTCTTGCTCTCTTCTTCCATCAATATCTGTGTTTCTTCAACAGATACATTAATGAAGAGCCTCCGGTGGGCCAGGGACTGTGCTTGATGTTGGGGGTTGAGAGGGGAAGCTCTGTCTTCAGGAAGCTCTTGGTTTACATGGCAGTCCAGGCTGTGGAGTGGCCTGGCCAAAGTCCTGGGAGGGGGCATCGGAAATGGCTTTTGCTAACTGTGCATACACTTCCGCAGATTCTGATAAGAAATCCCCCACAACATACTACAGTCTGACTCAGAATAATTATGTGTCATGAGAGAGGTAAATAATGGTGACGTTTCCCAAGTGAGTAGTCTAGAGGCAAAAAAACGTGGAAAACCACTGGTCTAGTTATTCTTTTAAAAAGATCTGACAGTACAAATTCATCCTGTAATAAATAGAAAGCTAAAGGACGTTCCTTCTTTAACACATATAAAAATCTTAGGAAAAAGAAATGAACTAGGTTTGAAACTTAAGGACCCAACCAAGCGTAGGAAGATGGTAGCAGGCCTTCCCAGAAACCCCAGAATTGTAAACATGGCTTTCTCTGCTCATGAGATTACTAAGTGCATCCACTTTTAGCTCTTGGATATTTTTTATCCTCGAGGTTCCAAGAATGCCATGCATCCTCTCTCTGATCTCTCCCTGCCTAGGCTCAGGAAAATGAGTCCTCGGGCAGAAATTGCCTTCAGCACTTGGATAGCGCCCTCCCTTTTAAAGCGCCCACAGCACCCTCTGGAATCCTGTAGAGAAAGTGTTAGTCGCGCAGTCGTGTCTGACTCTGTGATCCCATGGACTGTAGCCCACCAGGCTCCTCTGTCCATGGAGTTCTCCAAGCAAGAATACTGGAGTGGGTAGCCATTTACCTTCTTCAGGGGATCTTCCCAACCCAGGATTGAACCCAGGTCTCCTGCATTGTGGGCAGATTCTTACCATCTGAGCTACCAGGGAAGCCCCTGGAATCCTGTAACCGGGAGTGTTAGAGCATCGATCCCCAGGTTCCCAGAAGGGAAGAAGGGAAAGGTGGGGTTGGCTTGGGAGTTATATTTAATCCCCCTTGGCTGCATGCCTGGCTTCAGTTAGCACGGATAGACATGACTGATGGAGAAGAGGGGAAAGTCACTGGCTGAGATGGACCTGTTTTGTTTGTTTCTGTTTCTTGGCAGCTGGATGGGAGAAATACTGAGTTAGATTACAATTCAGGAATCAAGGTTCAGTTAAAGAATAAAATAAAACAAAATTTTAAAAAAGATATTACCACTGGGAAGGAAAAGCATTAAGGCCACTTTAAATCTATTTATTGAAACACTGTATGATTTTATTCTATGTAGCAAGAATTTTATTCTTTGTAATAAAGTGTAATGATGAACTGTATAGATAAAAATGGTTTAAAAATGGTGAAAAATTTACAAAAGTCCTATGAATAATTCATAAACGCAGTCAATCTTAAAAAAAGAATCAAGGTAGATTTTTCTTTAACAGTAGTAAACATAATCTGGTCACAGCACTGTGCTGTCCTTAGTCGCTCAGTCATGTCCGACTCTGTGACCCCATGGACTGTCACCTGCCAGGTTCGTCTGTCCATGGGGATTCTCCAGGCAAGAAGACTGGGGTGGGTTACCACACCCTCCTTCAGGAGGTTGTCCCAACCCAGGGGTTGAACCCAGGCCTGGTTCTTTACCAGCTGAGCCCCCAGGGAAGCCCAGGAATACTGGAGTGGGCAGTGTATCCCTTCTCCAGGAATCTTCCCAACCCAGGGTTCTTGACAAAGTTGAAAACAAAGAAAAGCACAAAGAAGAGATTAAAACTCGCTGAAAATCTGCCCCCAGCAAAATAGTGTTAACAATTTGATGTATTTGTTTCCAGTAATTTTTTTTTCCTACATATATACATATAATGATTTTAATAAAAGTGTATCATAAACTCTACATTGTTTTATAACCTATTTTTCACCAACAAAATACCATGACTATTTCACCAGCATTAAATATTTTACATAATTTTATTTATTTAAAAAGATTTAATTTTTGAATGTCTTACATGCACATGTAACAAAATTCAAATGATATAAAAAAGATACACAGTGAGAAAAAAAAAGACACACAGTGAAAATTAAGTCTCCTTCCTACTCTTTCCTAGCCATCCAGTTCCCCTTTCAGAAGGCAGCCTTATGGCCAGTTTTTTATAGATTCTTCTAAAAGAATGCCATGCATTTACAAGCAAATGCATATGTATTTAATATATGCATGTACTTTTTTTTACACAAATGATAGCATACTATACAGACTGTTCCGTACCTTGCTTTTTTTTTTTTTACTTAACGAGGAGTCTTAGAGATCCTTCTACATCAGCATGTAAGTATCTATCTCATTCTTTTTAACTACTGTATGATTTGTTGTAGAGATATGCCATAATTTATTTAGCCAGGTCTCTGTTGATAGATATGGATATTTTGGTTTGTTCTAGCCATTTGCAATTACAAACAATTGAATGATCATATGTATTCATATATTTAAGGGCCCAGCCAGTGCAGTGCATCATCAGACTATTTTTGGCCAGGCCACTGCGGCATGTGGGATCTTAGTTCCCTTACCTGGGATTGAACCCATTCCCCTTGCAGTAGAAGCATTGAGTCCTAACCTTTGGATCACCAGGGAATTCCCCTAGAGAAGGCATCTTAATTGACAGGCCTCGCAGTTAAGTCCCATCATCAAACTGGTTTTTTTTGGCCACTTTGATAGATTAAAACGCTAATACAGTCTAATATTCATTTTTTCTTATTAACAATGAGTTTGTGCATAACTCATATTTTAAGGGCCATTATCACATCATCTTGTGATGTTATATTTTGTGACAGCACTTAGGTATAATTTACTACAGTGAATGCACAAATCTTATCAAACAGCCATATGAATTTTATAATGTATTTGGACACCTATGTAACCACTACCTAGGTTGAGATCTAGAGCATTTTGATTGCCCCTTGCAAGCTCCGTTTTGCCCCCTTCCTGTGAGTTATCACCCCAAGGCAACCGCTACTTTGAGTTCCGTCACTACAGACAAGTGTTGTTTACTCTTGAACTTTATGGAAAGGGAATAATACAGTTTGTGCTCTTTGAGTTTTGAGTTGTTTCAACTCATTTTTGAGATTTATTGGTGTTCTATCATGTCATCCTTTTAAATAGTAGCAAAGAATAAAACATATGTACATGCCATAGTATAATTAATTCCTTGTATTAACCAGTCCCCTAAATGTAACTTCTTTCTGTTGTTTTCAAATACTCATTACTATAAGCAGTGTTGATAATAAACATTCTTGTAGCCAAATATTTGCTACAGCTAGTTCCATAGTACAAATTCTTAGGAGTATGATATCTGGGTCTATGGATGTGTACAATTCAAGGCTTTTGATTATACATTTCTGAATTGCTCCTTAAAAGTATGGATATACTGTCCTACCAGAAAAGAATGAAGGTGCTTCTTTCACAGAAATTATACCTTCTTGAACCCTCATCTATGCTGGGTATTACAATTAAGTTTTTGTTTTCCAGTTTGATAGGTGGAAAATGATGTTACTGATTTTTCTTCAAAAGTGTTAAACATCTTTGTGTTTATTGAATATTTGTGCTTCTTCTGTTGTTAGTACCTAACTCTTGTCCATATTTTTCTGGTTAGTTTTCTGTGTTAGTTTTTCCTGTTAACTTTTTGTTGTTGTTACTAGTTTATGAGAATTCTTTATATAGTATGAGTATTAATCTCTTTGTTTTTAAAATTAAAAATTTTTCTTTTTAAAAGTTATATATTTTCATTTTAGAATACTTTTAAATCTAAATCAAAAAGAACAACAATAACAAAAAACTCCTAAAGTCCCACTGTCCAAGGATAACCACTGTTAACATGTTTCTCTATGCAAAGTATACATATATACATACCTGTATACATATATATACACATATACACATACATGCACATATACATACCTTGTATACATATATACACACATATACACATACATGCACATATACATACCTTGTATACATATATAATACAATGCATGTTTACTGAAATGGAATAATCCTTCATATACTTTTTTGTGTGTTTGTTTTACATGCACACTCTTTTAAAAACCACCTTTTCCTTAAAATTATTTTGTGTGTACCTTATCATATTATTATACATTTTTCTGTAACTCACCTGTACTAGTTTCTTTCTTTAATTTCAAAGCACTATGTCATTGTAAAATATTTACATGTCATAGAAAAAATGTCATAAGCATAAGTTCCTATGATCCTGCTTTCCAGTGATAATCACCACTAACAGATCTATATACAGTCTTCCATATCTTTTTTCTAAGACTATTCTATCTCTATGCTTTTTTTAAAATGTATAATTATTTTATACAAATTGTTTTTATTTTTTCATGTATTTGATCTTGGACATGTTTTCATGTATATGACCTTGGACATGTAAACCAAACTTGCTCATTGTAATAGGAGTAGATTATGGAGGTATCATAACCAATATCTTCTTGATGGGTGTTTGAATTATTTCATCTTTTTCTTTAATACAAATGGCTGCAGTGAACATCCACCCACACACCCCATTAAGTGCTTAAAACAAGTTGCAATATGAATTCCTAGCATTGAAATCTGTGGGACAGAGTATGATCAGTATGGACATTTAAATATTTAATAGAATTGTCCTCTAGAAAGGCCCTGTCAGTTTACAGTACTCCCTTCATTGCAGAGAGCACTTTCACAACTTTTTTCTCTTTATGAATTCTGTTTTTGGGACTTCAGAATCCCTCACCACAGAGAAACCAGATAAATAATCCTGGTTGACTTTTGTCATAAATCAGATTTTGAAAATCTTTTAAATATTAAAGACAATATTTATTAGTATAAATATCCTTTTTGCAAAGAATTAAAAAGAAAAACAAAAAATACACTATTTTCTCACTCTCTTTGGCATTAAAAAATAAAAAATATAATACTTGTATCTGGTTTAAAAATGTAAACTTTCCAGGATACAAAATGAAAAATGAAAGCCACCTCTCCCTTCCAGTTTCTGTCCCTAAAGTAATCATTGTTAATATTTTTTGTACAATTCCTCTTGGAAAAAAAATTTACCTATGTCAATGCAATATTGTAGATATGCCCAGACCCACATCTCCAGCCTTCTCCAATGCTTATGATTTGTCTTAATTAGTTAAAATATGTCTCCCAAACTCTGGTGTCTAGAGACTTGGAGGTTAACCTATCAGTTGAATAAAGGTGGATTTTGTAGCAAAATAATTTGACAACTATGTCGTAGTTTCTTTATATCAAATAATGGGAAAATATGACTGAAAAGTTGTCACTTATGATGGAAAGCAAGCAGAGTCTCATTGAATTGTACCAGAGATCTTCCCTTTAATATGATCAGATAACAAATCTATTCTCTTTGGGGTTGTAAATATTTTGTATCTTTAGCATTCTTATCAGCACACATGATATATAACATTACCTGAATTGAACAAGATACTTGTCGGTCTGAGTGATTTGCTTCGCAGTTTCACTATACTTAAAGCTGTCTCCCTAAAGGGAGAACTGTTTTTCTGATTTCATATATTTTTTCACAGAGAGAGAGCTTGTGTTAATATTTCCATTTGTATATTTCATTTACACAGCAGGCAACACACTGTACATCTGTCTCTAACTTTGCATCTCCCACTTGTAATACATCTTTAATAACTTTTCATATCAGAACATATGGATCTATTGAGGAAGATGTTTTTAACTTAGTGGTAGATTTTCAATGCCAGTGTATTGTTCTTCACTCTCTGCAGCCTGTAGTCCTGTTGTCTTTTCTCATTTGACTTCCCAGGCCGGGGATCTGCGATGGTGAGCTTGTCACACCAAGGCTGGGGTCCTCTCATGGTATTGCCATGTGACCTTCTAGCCCGCGGGTACAACTACTGGTGTCAGCACTAAGCTCTGCTTCTCCCTGGTTTCCCTCGTCCCCGTGCCTGTCCATGAATACAGAAGGCTGAGGAGCAGGTGCCTTTTCAGCTGCTTCCCCACACCTCCCTACTGATGTCTGCCATCCTTTATTTCCACTCCAGGGGAAGCCATATGTCTTTGACCGTGTATTTCCCCCAAACACGACTCAGGAGCAAGTTTATCATGCCTGTGCCATGCAGATTGTCAAAGGTAATGCGTGTATTTTGAGAGTGTACTTTTTCAAGCTCCCCATTCCCTACCCTGCTCCCCTCTACCAGCGGTCTTTTTCTCTGCCATCTCTTCCAGATGTCCTAGCTGGCTACAACGGCACCATTTTTGCTTATGGACAGACATCCTCAGGGAAGACACATACCATGGAGGTCAGGGTTCTGACTTTTCATGGGAGAGAGGAGCTGGGAGTGTTAATGGGAGGCCAAGGAGCCTCATGGGGGAGATCTGGGAATGAGGGTCCCTGGTACAGAGGGTGGGTGGAGGGCAGTGTTACTGTGGAAGTTTAGTGGACCCTCAGCCTGCTGCACTTCTCCCCCTTTCCACCACGCCAGTTCTCTTCTTTTACCTGGAAAAGCAGCTGCAATGACCGTTCAAAGGGCTGCTCAGCTCCCTCTTCCTTCCACTGAAGGTAGTGACCGTCCCCTAAGTTAGGATGGTCTTAGCGGCTGTTACCTCTGTGTCCCCCCCCCCCCGAACTGTGTGACTCCTCCTGAGCCCCAGCCTCATTCGGAATACGCTTCCTCCCCAGGGAAAGCTGCATGACCCCCAGCTGATGGGAATCATTCCCCGAATTGCCCGAGACATCTTCAACCACATCTACTCCATGGACGAGAATCTTGAGTTCCACATCAAGGTGTCAGGGCATGACCGCTGGGCATCCTCTTATGGGGCTGGGAGGGGAGGATCTAGCATGAACCCACCGAGGTCCTGGGCACCCCAACTTATTCTCCCCCGTGGTTACCTAAGTTCTTCTCTGCCAAAATAGTCTCTTCTCCCCTTTCCCTCCCACCACCACTGTTTCAGTGGGTCACATTAGCCTCTGATAACCTGAATCAGATTTAAGATAGGCCCCCATCACTTTATACTTCTTTCTTCCTAACCCAGGTCTCTTACTTTGAGATTTACCTGGACAAAATCCGTGACCTTCTGGATGGTGAGTGGTGTGTGATCCCAGTGGGTGGGTCAGGGGGAAGGGGTGAGGAGGGCAAGGAAGAGAATGATCACAACGTTTGTGGCCTCTTGGGCTTAGGTGCTGTTTGGTGAGAGAGGCAGCAGGCATACGAGGACACACACACACTTGTACTCGTGGCCCTTGCCTTCACTCACCAAGAATTTCCAAAGACCAAAAGGGTCAGAAGATGAGCTTAGATGCCCAGGCCCACATACAAACCACCTCAGCCTAGCTGGAGACCTGGGGCTGGAATCCTGCAGGAGGACGAACAGCCTTCAGAGTGAGCCAGGAGTTTAAGCTTCACAGGGGAGTCCTCTTCCCTTTTGAACACAAAGAGTCATCCATCAGCGCAGACTCCAGGGTCAAGAGATTGGGTGGGGGGAGTTGGAAGTGCTGGCCTTGCTCACCCTGAGTTGTCTTGATTCAGTGAGCAAGACAAACCTGTCGGTACACGAGGATAAGAACCGGGTGCCGTTTGTCAAGGTGAGCGTGGGGCCGGGGCAAGCAGGCGGGGCCAGGGCACGGTGAGTGTGGGCGCAGGAGGAGGGGAGGTCACAGCCCAGAAGCTGGCGGGCAGACAGCCTGGGCTGGGGGAGAGTCTGGGGCCTGGGCAAAGGCACTGTCTTGAAGGGTCATTTGGTCACCGTGCAGGCAATTTAATCTGTAGACCAAAGTGTATGGGGTCACTGTCCGTTTGCCGCCTGCAGGGTTGTACTGAGCGCTTTGTGTCCAGCCCGGAGGAGATTTTAGATGTGATCGATGAAGGGAAGTCAAATCGTCACGTGGCCGTCACCAGTGAGTGGGGGCCATCTGGGGCTCCTGAGTCTGGCGTCTGCCTCCCCTCTGTGCCCATGGGGGCTGAGGGATCGACAGTGAGCAGGGGAAGGCTTTGTCCTCCTCCAGAGGAGAGATGCTTGTCTGTGAGACCCTGCGCCCCTGCTGCCAGGGATACGTAGGGGCTGGGCTAGTCCCGGCGGACACCCCCTCTCTCAGCGGGTGGGGGCGGTGGTCCGTGGAAGCTGGGGACTGAGGGCTTCGTTCCACAGAGTTTGGTATAAGGACTGTCTCGTCCTGCCTCTTACAGACATGAATGAACACAGCTCTCGAAGCCATAGCATCTTCCTCATCAACATCAAGCAGGAGAACATGGAGACTGAGCAGAAGCTGAGTGGGAAGCTGTATCTAGTGGACCTGGCAGGAAGCGAGAAGGTGAGGGGTCCTGCCCGGGTGAAGGGGGCAGGGAAGGAAGCCTTGGGGGGGGTGGCCTTTTTAGAAATCAAAATAACTCTCATTGAGCTAGAATTCACATACCGTGAAGTTCACCGTTTTAAAGTATACAATTCAACGTGTTTGCGAGGTTGTGCGTCATCACCACTGATTCTAGAACCTTTTCATCACCTGTTAACAGTCACTCCCTAGCCCCCCATCCCCCATCCCCTGGTAACCACTTATCTACTTTCTGACTCTGGATTTGACTTTCTGGACATTTCACGTAAATGGAAGGTTGTATGATATTGTGTGTGTAGGGGAGACAGTCTGTAGCAAGAACATTTAGGGGACCATCTTCTTTTCCTATCCCCCTCTCCTTGGACTAAGCCAACTTATGTGGAGAAGAGGAGGGAGGAGCCCACTCGCTCTGCACCCACTCGTGACACACCCTTTGTGCCCTGGTAGGTCAGCAAGACTGGAGCTGAGGGAGCCGTGCTGGACGAGGCCAAGAATATCAACAAGTCCCTGTCGGCCCTGGGGAACGTGATCTCTGCGCTGGCTGAGGGCACGGTGAGTGCTCGTTGGGGTCCTCACCCCATCTTCTGCCTTCTCCTAATGCCCTCACCTCATCATGCCTGATTCATGAGTTGCTCCACCCCTAGTGACGCGGAGACCAAGTCGACGCTGATGTTCGGGCAGCGGTCAGTGGCGGGTCCCCTGCTCCCGGCCCCAGCCCCTGCTGTGCTCTCCGCTCAGGGCCTCATGAGCCTTAATGGAGGTCTCATCTCTTCGTTCCCCTCTCCAGGGCAAAGACCATTAAGAACACTGCCTCCGTGAATCTGGAGTTGACTGCTGAGCAGTGGAAAAAGAAATATGAGAAGGAGAAGGAGAAGACAAAGGCTCAGAAGGAGACGATTGCGAAGCTGGAGGCAGAGCTGAGCCGCTGGCGCAGCGGTTAGTGAGGGGTCCTGCGGATGCAGGGAGCCAGAGCGGGCTCCTCCGCCCTCCAGGGAGGTCTGTGCTTCTGGGGGGACGCGGCAGAGCAGTCTCGAGGGAAAGTGAGAGGGGGTTGGCTGCCTTTATTCCCCACCCCCAGAGAGGTGGACGTGGGAGCCAGGAGGGCTTTGCGGTGGGCAGGGCCGGAGGAAGGGCCTGCGGGGGCGGCGGCTGCTTCTGCCCCCGGCCTCCACCTTGTTCTGCCGCTTGGCCAGGAGAGAACGTGCCTGAGACCGAGCGCCTGGCCGGGGAGGATGCTGCCCTGGGCACCGAGCTCTGCGAGGAGACACCTGTGAACGACAACTCCTCCATCGTGGTGCGCATCGCGCCCGAGGAGCGGCAGAAGTATGAAGAGGAGATCCGCCGCCTGTACAAGCAGCTTGATGACAAGGTGAGGATGCCGGGCGGGGCCGGGGGTGAGCCTGGTGCGGTGGCGAGGGAGGGATCAAAGACGGAGCTCATCCTGACTGGTCTTCTGCTTTTAAAAGAGATGGATGTTTGTTATTGAAATGTGGAAGGTAAATAAAAACACATTGAAGAAAATTTCCATCATTCCTCCTCCCACCATTCAGAAATAAAGCCACACAACTGAGATTATACTGTCTGTGTAACTTCACATCTGATTTTTTCCTTCCGCATTTATTATAAAATGAGCAGCTTCCTGCTTTGTCAACAGTTCTTCACTGAAGTATTTTTAAATGGCTGCCGTACACTCCATTTATCAGAATGCATTTAACCATTTATTTATTTACAGGCCTTCTACGGTTTTGTATTTTGTTACTGGGTTATTTTTGCTGTTATAAATAACTTTGAAGTCACTGTTTTTGTCTCTTGTGCATAAGACTTTGCTTTTGAATGATTTGATTAGCATGGCGTGCTGGGGTAGGATTTCTCAGTTAAAGGATGTGAACATCTGAAGGCTTTTGCTGTGTACTGTCAAGGTTATACTAACTTCCAGAAAGAAAGGAATTAAAAAGTGAGGGCAGGAGTCAAGGAGAGAAGCTGAGGAAAAGACTGCTTTCTTTTTAGGATATAGAGTTCATTTCTTTCCTTTTAAGATACTTATTTATTTATTTGGCTGTGCTGGGTCTTAGTCGCCCCACTCAGGCTCTCTGATCCTCATTGCGGTATGAGGGCTCTTGAGTTGCAGCATGGGAACTCTTAGTTGTGACCTGTGGGATCTAGTTCCCTGACCAGGGATTGAACCCAGGCCCCCTGCATTGGGAACATACAGACATAGCCACTGGACCACCAGGGAAGGCCTGGGATGCTTTGAACTCAAAGCCTAAACTAGCTGGGTTTTTAATCAAGATCCATATCTGCCCAAGCTCCCAAGTCTAAACTGGAACGAGCAGCTTCCCTTCATTCCGTCTTATCCCCTTGCCTCCGACAGGATGATGAGATCAACCAGCAGAGCCAACTCATAGAGAAGCTCAAGCAGCAGATGCTGGACCAGGAAGAGGTAATGGGAAGGAGGGCAGGATGTGAGAGGAGAGGGCTGTGTCTATCCCCGAGAGGCACGCAAAAGACCTTTTCTGGAAAGATGGAAAAAGGGGCATTCTGCTTAGCGGTTAGTCACCCCCAGAGACAACAGAAATCTGGGGGCTTAATTAGGGTTTTGCTTAAAGCACAGAAGCTGGAGTCTGGGTGCTCCTTCATTATGGTACCCTATTTCTATGAAGCTGAAAGCCCCGTTCCTCTTGACTCTGGCTTTGGCCCTTGCCTCTCTCCTAGCGCTATGCCTGGGTTGAGGGGGGCTCAGCTTCCCCAGGCCAAGGAGCCGGCGAGCTGGTTACTCACAGAGGACTCCTGCCCATGACCTGCCCCTCCCTTGCAGCTGCTGGTGTCCACTCGAGGAGACAATGAGAAGGTCCAGCGGGAGCTGAGCCACCTGCAGTCAGAGAATGACGCCGCGAAGGATGAGGTGAAGGAAGTGCTGCAGGCTCTGGAGGAGCTGGCCATGAACTACGACCAGAAGTCCCAGGAGGTGGAGGAGAAGAGCCAGCAGAACCAGCTTCTGGTGGATGAGCTGTCTCAGAAGGTGGTGAGTGGCCAGCCAGGAGCACCCTGACCTCAGAACACCCTCTGCGTCCGAGGGAACGCTGCTTCCTACGAGGGTGGCACCGTGTTGGCACCTCTGTGCACCTCCTGCGCTTTGCCCTCCTGACCACGCTCTCTTCCAGACCCTCTGCAGGGCTTGTGTTCTCTTTGTAGCAACCGTCAGGGTCATGCATGAAGGGGGAGGCCTCTGCCTAGGTGGGGGCGGGAAGCAGGAAGATGGTGCTGGCATGACCTGCGGGACTGTCCCCAGGCCACCATGCTGTCCCTGGAGTCCGAGTTGCAGCGGCTGCAGGAGGTCAGTGGACACCAGCGAAAACGGATTGCTGAGGTGCTGAACGGGCTGATGAAGGACCTGAGTGAGTTCAGTGTCATCGTGGGCAACGGGGAGATTAAGCTGGTGAGTGGAGAAGGACGTGGCGGCCTTGTTCAGAGCTTTCTTGTTCTGGGCACTGGTGGGAGGTGTAGTGAGACAGTCATGTCCTCAGAGATACTGAGGGAGGGGGACAAAGATCCCGGAAGCGCACCTCCAAACTAGACACAGGAAAACACGCAGAGGTTTGCATAGACTCAGCTGAAACACGCATTTCAGATCTGCATACCTGGTGGGATTCACACTGCTCGATAAGGAAGCGGTGGAGATGTGCTTTCAGCAGGATTTGGAGATGGGGGCACAAAATTAGGAATGATACAGACAGATCTGTGCCAGTGATGATGCCGCATCTGGGTGATCAAGTGGATCAGTCTGACTACAGAATATCCTGCTTCTCTTTAGAAGGGAAGAGGGTGACTGTCAGAACAGATCGTTGAATGCAGACAGGGGGATTCAGTATGAAAAGCCAGGTGGTACAGAGCTGCTCGAAGTTGTTTGGAACCTACCTGGCCCGCTGAGTCCCTGGGCCTGGGGGTGTGTGCGGGGCTAGGGCGAGTGGAAGGGAATGGACCAGGGGCGTCCCAGGAGCAGAGAGGCACCTCCCTCCCGTGTTCACCGCACAGCCAGTGGAGATCAGCGGGGCCATTGAGGAGGAGTTCACGGTGGCCCGACTCTACATCAGCAAAATCAAATCTGAAGTCAAGTCTGTGGTCAAGCGGTGCCGGCAGCTGGAGAACCTTCAGGTCGAGTGTCACCGCAAGATGGAAGTGACTGGGCGGGAGCTCTCATCCTGCCAGCTCCTCATCTCCCAGGTGAGTGCCAGAGGTCGAGCGCCTTTGGGGGCCTGGGAGAGGGCGGGCACTTTTTTGGTTTTGGGTGGCTTGTTGGCCCCCTTTTTTTTTTCGGGGGCTTGGGTTCACTTGAGTTCAGGGCCGGAGAGCTAGGGGAAGCAGGGGAGGGTCCAGGCTAGAGAACTGAAGGCGCAGGGGGATACTGCCCTCTGAGCCAAGAGTCTAAAGCAAGGGTCTCCAGAGGAGTGGCCCTCGACCCTGCGTCCTGGTGGAAGGTGTAGCAGCAAGCGGGGAGAGCTGGAGCTGGTGGAGGTCTGTGCTGCCTGGAGTTGGGTCCTTGCTCTATCCATCATCTTCTCACCACCACCCCCCCACCAGCATGAGGCCAAGATCCGCTCCCTGACAGAATACATGCAGAGCGTGGAACTCAAGAAACGGCACCTGGAAGAGTCCTATGACTCCCTGAGTGATGAGCTGGCCAAGCTCCAGGCCCAAGGTGAGGCCTGCTTAAACTTCCAACCCACCCATCCTGGGATCTGAGATCAGAGAGAGTGTTGGGCGGCAAAGGGACAAACACCCCAGGAAGCTGCCTGTCGGCACACTCACCAAAGCGTTAGACTGAAATCCTGGAGTCCCGCTCACATGCTGCTTAGCCTGCTTTTGCATGTAGCTCATTTTACATGAACCATAAACCCTCCATCATCCTCCTTCCCTGCTATATGAAGTTAGGCTGTCCTCACCCAGAAGACCATCCCTGGGGGCCCGTTCTAAGGGTAAATGTGCCCTGCGCGCCTGGCTCTCTGGTCACGCTGAGGTGACGGAGGTGGTGGTCACGCTCTCTGTCTGGAGGTGGCGGGTGCGACATAAGCTGCTTCCTCCCGCTCCCCCAGAAACTGTGCACGAGGTGGCCCTGAAGGACAAGGAGCCAGACACGCAGGACACAGAAGACGTGAAGGCGAGTGGGGAACGTGCTGGGGAGACCGGGGCCTGGCAGGCCGTGCTGGCCCTCAGCGAGCCGGGGGCTGGGAGCCTGGCGTCGAACTCGGGTGGGGTTGTGTTGCAGAAGGCCCTGGAGCTGCAGATGGAGAGCCACCGGGAAGCCCATCACCGGCAGCTGGCCCGGCTCCGGGACGAGATCAATGAGAAGCAGAAGACCATCGATGAGCTCAAAGAGTAAGAGTTCCTCAGGGTGGCTCCAGTCTCCGCCTGGTCCCCTCGCCTCGCTGGGCCCACTCACACACTCCCTCTTGCACCAGGATCCAGTCTTTTAACTTACATGGGTCATGCCCCAGCAAAGACACGACTTTGCAGCCCAGCTCCAGGAGGCACAAGGAGTGAGGACTAGTCCTTATGCTCCAGGCTTCTCTGAATTGATAGCTCAGGGCCCCTTATTCTGCCATGGAAGCAGTAGCCTGAGTCTGCCTCTGATACCCCAAGGTAGATGCGTCCACCCCACGAGGACTCGTGTGTACGAGGAGGAAAGTGTTGAAGGAGTCAGTCTTCTCTTTGTCCCTCACTGACATCTCCTTGTTCTCCCCAATACCTCCTTGCCCTCCACAGCCTGAATCAGAAACTCCAGTTAGAGCTGGAGAAGCTCCAGGCTGACTATGAGAAGCTGAAGAATGAAGAGCATGAGAAAAGCACCAAGCTCCAGGAGCTGACGTGAGTGACGGGTCCGCCTGCAGACCTGAGACCACAGGGGCTCAGACGGCTGCTTACACATACTGCAGGGACAGGACACAGTCTAGATGGGAATATGGTGACCACAAGAAGCAAGGTCCTCAAAAGAACAACGTGATGGAGAAGCGGAAAATAAAGGAGATTTCTGTTTGGTATTAGCTGACATGGAAAGATGTGGGTGATGTTCCGTGAAGTGTAAAAAGGAGGTCATCACCAGTAGGAATGGTATAATCTTGTAACATTTATGTGAGATCCACATGCATGGAAGAGTCTGGAAAGATGGATACCAGAATGTTCACGGTGGTTTGATCTGTAAGTGGTAGAATCATGGGCTTCTTATGGAACTCATCTTACTTGTCTAATTTATGCACTGTGAACATGGGTAACTAGTACAGTAAGTAATAATAAAATATAGACCAAGGAATGGAGGAGGAAGGCCAGAGGCGCAGGGTGGCCCCGAGTGGTTTTTCCGTCTCTGTCTCCCTCCAGATTTCTCTACGAGCGACACGAGCAGTCCAAGCAGGACCTCAAGGGTCTGGAGGAGACAGTTGTGAGTGACTTCCCTTCTGCAGCAAGTCAGCGGTGGTGGGCGGTGGGGAGGGGCAGCTTTAGTGTCCAACCCGCCCCCTGATTTCTGCTGCACCCTATTCCTCCTGCCTTTCTGTGAAGTAAGTCTGTGGTATGATCAGGACACGCCTTTTTGTAAAAAGATGAGTGACTCACTTGCTTGGGGGGTTTGAGGGTTCGGTTGTTTTTGGGGGGGGACGGTTGCCCCTTTTTTTGTTGGCCCCGGTTTTTTCTTCTTCTTTGCAGGCCCGGGAACTCCAGACCCTCCACAACCTTCGCAAACTGTTCGTTCAAGACGTCACGACTCGAGTCAAGAAAGTGAGTGCTGCCTCGGGGTCTTCCCGGCCCCCATATCCCCCTCCTGTCCTCAGGTTTCTCCAGCCCCTGCGGCCTTCCCTGGGGCTTCTGGGCCCGGCCTGAGTGGGGCCTGCCTGGCCTCAGGATGGCCGTATCTTTCCCCGGCCCTGTCTCTTCTCAGAGTGCAGAAATGGAGCCCGAGGACAGTGGGGGGATTCACTCCCAAAAGCAGAAGATTTCCTTTCTTGAGAACAACCTGGAACAGCTTACAAAGGTTCACAAACAGGTAAGGGTGAGGGCAAGGGGTGAAGAGAACTCTTGAGGCCTGGGATCCCTAAATCCTCAGAGGCCCTTGGATTTAGAAAAATCTTATTGCATGTTTTCCTTCCCTTTCCCTCTTCCCTCTTCCCTCTCCTACTGACCCCTTCTCTCTGCTGTATTTGGTTCCACGTTTACCCTCTTCTTGGTTCTATGCCTGTTTTCCCTTTCCCAAAGCTCCCAGCCTGCCTCTGCTCAAGTGGAATTCCCAGGCCTGTGTTGTTGTAGGGTGAGGTGGAAACCAATAGAAGTTTCAGAGGCATGGGCCTGGGACTGTGTGAGGGGCGCTGGGCAGACCTTAGCCGGAGTGGAGAGCACTGAGCTAGAGGCAGCCAGGGGAGTGGGGCTTTCTCTCGCGGTGAGGCCGCCCATCTGCCTCGGCCTGGGGCAGGCATGCAGAGAAGTGGCGCGATGTTGTCCCTGAGGCCCCGGCAGCCCCTGGTCGGGCCAGTGAAAGCTCTTGTGTATTAAGTCGGTGCCTCTCTGTCCCCCTCCTTGCTGCGGTTCCTTAGGTGGAAGCCTGGGTTTCAAAGGTATGGGGTGGGGAGGTGGCAGGGGCAGTCCAAAGGAGTCAGGACAGGAAATGTTTGGTGCACACAGCAGGTGGCCCTTCCTAGTGCCGGACCGCCGAGCCTTGAAGACCGTGTAGCACACTGTCAGCTGGCTCTTCAAACAATGCTGAAAATAAACCCTGACCCAGTCTTCATTCCTGTCCTTTCAAATCCACCTTAAAATGCCTTTTACGCTCATATTCTCATTAAACTGGGGCTTCAGCTTTTCTTCTTCCCAGTGCCATACCCAGCATACACAGTTAATACCCAGGACACCTTCTTATTTTTTTAATAATGAAAAAAAAAAAAAAGAATCCTAGAGCTGTGGCCCAATGATGCTTCACATGCTTTATTTTATTTGGACCTGCAGAAGGCCTTACTACCATCTTTTCCCCTGTGCTTATTATCCAACAGTGTGACAACGTTATAGAAGAGTTAAAAGACAGAAAAACATTTGTAATAAGTTTTGCCATTCTTTTAAATTTCTGTGTTCATTTTCTTTCTCTCTCCAAGTACATATTACATTGCCTCCCTCCCTACCCTCCAGCAACTTTTTATTGTGGTAAAATACACATAACATAAAATTTGCCACCTTTAATCATTTGCAGTGTACCATTCAGTGGTATTAAATCCATTCGTAATGTTGTGCAACCATCCCTACCATCCTGCTCCATAAGTCTTTTCATCTTGTAGAACTGAAACTCCATCCCTATTAAGTAATAACCTCATTCCTCACTCTCCCCAACCCCTGCCAGCCCCCATTCTACTTTCTGCCTCTTTAACTTTGACTGAGAGTCTCAGTAGCATCTAAGTGCAGTAACCTGGAATTTGTCCTTCTGCAGCTGGTTCACTTGACTTAGCATAACGTCCTCCCAGTTCATCTGCACGTGGCACACTTCAGGACACCACAGGCCGTTTTCTCCCTCCCTCTCCTCCCCCCACCCCCATGCCTCTGGTCTCAAAGACCAGAAACTACTCACCTATAGGCCAGGACTCCTCCTAGTTTCATCCTTCAGGGGACACAAGACTAGAGAGGGAAGCACCAGAGATGTAGAAACCTCTCAGTTAAACAGGACCTTAAATAGCCAGGGCTGCAGCCTGTGACAGATTGAACTGAGTTACTGTCACAGAAAAACATGGTTTATGATCTGGAAGTTGTCCAAAATGAAAGGGACAATTCTCCCAGCGTCCCCTGCTGCATCGATGTACCTGATATCTCCCAAGGCCGGCTCCTTCTGCAATCTGTAGGCCCCTAGTCATCGTGTGAGACCTTGTAAAAAGGTCAGGCAGTCTCTTCTGGCTGCAAACTGGTTGCTACTGTTGCTCTAGCTTAATTGTAATGGGGAGAGGGCCAGCCCAGGAAATCCTCGAACGTGAAGGTAATGAGCACAAATGTTTGTGAGACCTCAAACATTTTCTTTCCTTCCTGTGGGGCAGCCGTGTGGATGTGTGGATGTGTGTGGGGGGCGCCTGTATTCCAGCTTCTGCTCCTGCTCTGCGCTGCACCGAACCTGTGCTCAGCCCCACATCCAGCCTCCAGACTGCTACTGTGCTCTCGCTGACTTGCCCTGTGCATGCCTACATGGCCATCTCTGGGGAAGGGGGTGCCTTGTCCCCACGGTTGCCCTGGGACACCAGCTGTGAGATCCTGGGGGTTTGGCGGTGTTTAGGCCAGGAAGAGACAAGAACAGGGCATGTCACAAGAGTTCTAGGCGAAAAACTGAAGATTAATCTGTAGCATGGATCATCCCTTGGTTCAATTTTTTTTTTTTAGTTGCTTTAAAAAAAAAAAGAGTTCTGGGCTACAGAGGAGTTGACAGGTTTTGCTGCTCAGAAAACGATGTAACTTTTTAATGCCTGACCCCTGTTTGCTGAAGGAGGAAGGAAAGAACTTTGCAGAGCAGCAATTAGGTAAAGGGGATGAGGCCTTTGGAGGAAACATGGTGTCCACCTTCCCTGATGGGACTTTTCTGTATCCTCTCTCCTGCCTGCACCTCCATCTCCGGCACCTCTGACCCGGGGCTCACCCCACAGCTGGTACGTGACAATGCAGATCTGCGTTGTGAGCTTCCTAAACTGGAAAAACGACTTAGGGCTACGGCTGAGAGAGTTAAGGCCCTGGAGGGTGCATTGAAGGAGGCCAAGGAGGGCGCCATGAAGGACAAGCGCCGGTACCAGCAGGAGGTGGACCGCATCAAGGAGGCCGTGCGGTACAAGAGCTCCGGCAAGCGGGGCCACTCTGCCCAGATTGGTGAGTGGGCAGTGGGGTCACACTCCGGGGGGTCCTGGCACATTTCTCGATGTTAAGCAACCCCACCCCAGCCTCACCCCACCACTCCCGCCCCCAAAAGTAGGAAGTGAATTGTTATCTTATAAGCAGCTCAGTTCAACTGTAGCTCTGGTACAAGAGCTCCGGCAAGCGGGGCCACTCTGCCCAGATTGGTGAGTGGGCAGTGGGGTCACACTCCGGGGGATCCTGGCACATTCCTCGATGTTAAGCAACCCCACCCCAGCCTCACCCCACCACGCCCGCCCCCAAAAGTAGGAAGTGAATTGTTATCTTATAAGCAGCTCAGTTCAACTGTAGCTCAGGGGCCCAGGGTGACCGCAGAGTAACAGGCAGTCTCTTCACGGTCATTTTCCTTTCTTTGCCGCAGCCAAACCCGTCCGGCCTGGCCACTACCCGGCATCTTCACCCACCAACCCCTATGGCACCCGGAGCCCCGAGTGCATCAGTTACACCAACAGCCTCTTCCAGAACTACCAGAACTTGTACCTGCAGGCCGCGCCTAGTTCCACCTCAGACATGTAGTGAGTGACTGTGGGCGCAGGCGGAGCCCCAACCCGAGGCTCTCTGCACTTTATAAGACATAAGGTCGGGTTAATTATTGGGTGGGATGCAATTCTTTTCCTCAGTAGCTTCATTTCTAACCCTTTCTCAACTTCAGACCTTTGATTAGAAGGTGGGCATCTGCCCTCCTAATCTTTGGCGATGTTTGTTGTCTTCTGGTCTTGGGGGCAGGGTGGACGGCTCCATCCCTGAGGGTGAGTGTGGATCTGTGGTCCTTGGAATAGTGGAGGGTGGGTATAGATGTTGCATCTCTGTCCTCTTCTCCATCCAGCTTCGCAAACTCCTGTACCAGCAGTGGGGCCACATCTTCTGGCGGCCCCTTGACTTCCTACCAGAAGGCCAACATGGACAATGGTGAGTGGACAAGATGGGAAGCCCAGTCTTTGGGAGCCCCAGGCCACACTGGAAAGTATCAGAATAAGTGACCCTGTGCCTGCAGCTGACACTCTGCACCCCTTCAGAGGCTCGGACTCTTAGAAGTGGGCCACGTGCCTGTCCCCACCCTCCCCTCCCCTTCTCCTCTCCTGTGTGAGGGCTCAGGGAGGCTTTCTGTCAAACAGAATAATGATGCAGCTCAGAGTGGGTGAAGACAGAGTGCCACAGACCAAGATGGCAACTATGTTCCCAAGACTCTTACCTTTCTCTTCAAGGAGTTAGGATGAGAGGGTTTGAGGAGATTGTTTGTAACACATCTCTTTTTTCCCTTCTTCCAATCCTGTGTTCTCCACGGTGATCTCTGCAGGAAATGCCACAGATATCAATGACAATAGGTACGCCAGTCCCCACTGCTCTTGGGCTCTCTGGGTGAGAACAGAAATTTCCCTTGTGCCCAGTTTAGAGGTTCCCCAGAGGCTCTGGGGAGAGGAGCAGGAAATGAGAGCCACTCTCACCATCACCACGTTGTCCAGGAGGTCCAGTCCTGCCCCTGCGTCTGTGTAGAACACTGTCCCCTCCTCCAGTCCGCCCGACGGCTCCTCGCCATTGCAGCTGTGAGGGTTGGGGGGGCGCCGCCCTGGACGCCTGATGACCTGGGTTTCCCTCCTGTGTTGGGGAACTTTGTGACCGTGGGCAGATCAGCTCCGTCTCTCTGGCCTTGATTTGCCTGGTGTTGCTGTCCTTGGTTATCTCACAGGCTGGCTGGGAGAGCCAAGTGACGGGAATGCTGTCATGTATATGGGAGCTGACAACGCTGATTGTGCTTGGTCTCTTCTTCCAGGAGTGACCTGCCTTGCGGCTACGAGGCTGAGGACCAGGCCAAGCTGTTCCCTCTCCACCAAGAGACGGCGGCCAGCTAATCTACGGGGGCTGCCGCGGACCTGCACTTTCAGGTAGCTTCAGGCCGCTTCCTCTGAGCAGCCTCGGGTTGCTTCCTTCCTAGCCCTCGGCTTCTTTGTTTCTCCCGCTTTTTTAATCATCTCAGAACTTTTACTAAATCGTTGTCCCTCCACTCCTGCTATCCCCCTCCTAGGGGCTCCAGCAGAACTGCCTGGCGTCCCCTGCACACGGGCCCCTCCCTTCTGCCTTGGGCCTGGTGATAGCGGTAGCCACAGTACTGCCTTTCTGCCACTAGGGGTCACTGCAACATGTCAGAAGAAGCGGGCAAGGGCCGTGTCCGTCTACAGCACCGGCAAGGGTCACAGAATCTATTAATGGTAGATACTAGGAGACCTTAGGGACAGGGAGGCCTGGCGGGCTGCAGTCCCTGGGGTCACAGAGAGTCAGACACGACTGGGCGCCTGAACAACAGCAGTGATTAGAAGAGCTCTGTGTCCCACGCTCTTCCCATCTGTATATCACCATCAAGCTTTAGGAAATGCACCGGGCAGCCTACCTTCTATTCCTCTAGCTGCTGCATCAGCAGTCTCCTCCCATCTTGCCAGTGGAGGTGGGAGAGTGTACATGCCGACCTTCGAGCCTTCCTCACCTCTGCCCCCTGCACCCCGCTGGCAGCGCAGGCCCCTTCCTGGTTCTCCCGTCTCACCAGGGCTGCCTTAGGCCTCAGAACCGAGCTCGGGCATCCTGTCTTACTGCCCACCTTGGATCCCTGGAGAATAAGAAACACGAGATCATGGCCTCCTACTGGGCGGCATCCAAGCTGAGCCCTTTCCAGGGGTTTTCCAGAATAACAGGCCAGGCGCACACACAGGNGGATCCCTGGAGAATAAGAAACACGAGATCATGGCCTCCTACTGGGCGGCATCCAAGCTGAGCCCTTTCCAGGGGTTTTCCAGAATAACAGGCCAGGCGCACACACAGGCAGAAAGGCATGAGAAGCAAGCAGTAGGAATGGGGGAGGAAGAGGGAAGGCCTGGGGGTGGAGGAGCAGGGGCTTGGGAGGGTGGCATCTGGTTGCTGGTGTCAAACGAACAGCTTGTAAACCCAAGCTGGCCTCGATGCCACCCTGTTCCTGTTCAGGAGCCAGGCTGCAAAGTGGTTCCTCACACTTTCTTTCTCTTTCTTCCCCAGTTTCTAAGAGGGACTGAGGCCTCTTCTCTCAGCATGCTGCAAACCTGTGGTCTCTGATACTCACTCCCTCCCCAACAACCCCTGTTGTTCGACTGTACTATGTTTGATGTCTTCTCTTCCTCTATCTATCTTTGTACTCTGTATCTATATATCAAAAGCTGCTATGTCTCTCTCTCTCTCCTCTCTGTCTTACTCTCTAGTATCTAATGATGTATTTAGCAATTTCTAAGCATAGTATACCCTCCTCATTTGGGGCCATAGGGAGGAGGGTCAGTGTTTCTTCTCTCTCTCATATATGCGTCTCTCACACTGAGTGGTGTTAGTCATGGAGATGATTAAAAAAAGGAAAATGGGCGCTGGAGGGCTGTGATCCTTCACAAACACACACACGCATGCACACGAAGCCTTAAGCAGAAGAATGTCTTAGCATCATAAGATACAGAAATAGCCTCTTCTTCCCTCCTCTTCCACGTTTAGCACAGAGGAGGATAAAATGGAAGGACTGCTTGAATTATACAGAGAATTTTCTTCAGACACCCCTCACCTGAACCGAGGGGTCTGGGTGTGCACCTCTGCCCCTTGAAGTCTGCCTTTTGCCTCCTTCCTATTCCTCCTAGAAAACCAAGAACATGGACTGCTCAAGGGACCACTTCCCTTTCTCCCTGAAACTCCTATTGACATTCTCTATCCCAGAGCTCCTGACTAGAAGCCAAAGCTGCTTAAAATGATTTTGCAAAGTTAAGGAGGCCAACCTCTTCCCAACAGTCTATCAGATGGTTGCTCACCTGTCCACAGGGATAGTTCTAGCCAAGCAGAAGCAGTAGGATTGCTTCTTTGGCTTTGGGGGTGTAGACAGGCTGGAAAATTACTAAGTTTTTTGCCGTAGTGATGAGCTGGATTCCTTTCTCTGTCCCATATTGGGCTGCATGTTCTTCCATGTCTCCACCTTTGGTGTGGGGGCTTCCAGTTCACTGGCAAAATAGCTATCTCGAAATGCCTTCCTTTCAGACTGCAGCCTGACTTTTCCCTGATGATATACATTAAAAAACTTTTTTTCAAAGAATTCCTTCTATAATGTCCTTATCAGGCATTAAGTGCACTTTAAAGAAAGGGGCAGGGCAACTTTTCCAGAGGTGGAGGAGCCCAAGGGCTGGACCCGGGATATGGTGGGGGGGCCTCCCCTGCTCCCATGTAATTGACAGGACTATGGTTTTGTTTTCATATCCTTTCCTACCACATGGTGCTAAGGGGGCTTTCCAGGTAACTGCAGGGGTGCAGAGTGGAGGTCACAAGCCAGTCCAAATCAAGAAAGAGTCCAGATAGCCTGTCTTATCTGGGATGGAAGAACAGGGTAGCAGACCACCCATCACCTAGTTTCTTAACCAGGAAAGAAAGCTCAGTGTGAGTGCCAGCTGGTAAATACAGGCTGTCGTGGCCCATGACTCTGTCAAGGGAAGGAGTCCCTTCTCCCTTTGCCTGTTGGGCCTTTCAGCAACTAAAGAGAAATGCAGGGAAAAAAAATATACCAGAGGGGTATGGAATAAATCCAAGGCGGTGATATTCAAATGTTTTTCAGAACCAATCTCATAATAGAACCCTGATATAAAGAGTAACTAGAAGTGACGCAGAGCTGGGCATTTTGCATTTCTACTGTTTGATGAAAAATGGTTCATTAGTTGAGGAGCCCTTGAACAGTCCTAAGAGACCCCAAGGGTTCCTGTAAAGTAGTTTGAAAACCACTGCTCAGAGGAAAGGGATGTAATCTGGCTCCCCTGCCCCAAGCAAAGAGGGAAAGAGTGGGGTCAGCGAGCCATGTCGTCTCCAGACCTCGGTAAAGAGGAAGGAAGATGCTGTGTACCTGGAGACTTGTGCTCATATCGGCCCGCAGGGCCCCCGAGGCTCCAGTGGGTTTTATGTCCTCTTGCCACCAAATGATTCTGTGTTGGGCAGATGAGGAGAGAGGTGACAGAGGGAGCAGCCTTCTCTTGAGCAAGATGTAAGGGAAATAGAATTCACTTACGTAAACAAGGAACACACAAAGCCTTCACCAGAAGCTTCACTCGGCCATCCTCCTCCTTCCCCTCCCCTCGCCCCCTCGCCCCCTTCCTTTCAGAGAGCCAGGGTCTCCACTTGGGGCACCTGGCCTGCTCACTCACTTCCGCCAAAATGTTGCATGCCAGCGTGGACGACAAACCAAACCGCACCAACCCCCGTGTGTATTTACTTGATGTACATAGATATCTTTAAAATAAAATAAATTCAGTGATGACTCTCTGGTGTTGTGAATCTTTATCCCTTCCCAGTCTCCCTCCCTTCCCTGCAGGTGATGGCATTATGACAGTGTGGGACATTATGACAATCTTCCAGGTGTTTTTCCACAGTTACATGCAGGTTTCCCCTCCGCCCCCACTTGACAATATATCCTAGAGATCTTTTCATGTCAATATACATACTTCCCTCACTAAAAAATATACATAATTTTTTATACATATATACAAACTTACCCTATAATTTATTCAACCATTCAATGTTGGTGGACACCTATCCAGGTTGTCTGTAATTTTTAACAACAATGGGATCCTGTTTTCTTCCTTGTTCTCCCACAGACCACCGTCAGCCCCAACATCAGTTCCCTCCCTTGACAAGAGCTCCATTCTCTAGGCCCAGGATTGTTAACCACAGTCCCCCTTCTGACCCCCCACTCCAGGGCACAGCCCTACCCATGGTCTCTGCTCTCACTTAAAAGCCTCTGCGATGAACAGAGAAAACCCCGCAACCAGAACATGGGCAGTTAAAAGCAGAGTCACAGAGCTAACCGACCTTGCTGCTGGCTTAACACTCCTTCTGTGTATCTCCGCTGTTTTCTCTCCCGCTTCCCAGAGCAACTGGTCTAAACTCTCCCTTCTTTTTTTTTTTTTTTTTCCCTTCTTAAATCCCTTCTTACTCGCCTCTCTTAGGCAATAACTTTGTCTGTTTTAAAGCATTAAGTAAATTAAGGTGATGGAGTGTGAAATTCTTCATTCACCCCCCCAACACACACCCCTATACACTTCTATCTACACAGATCCCTTTTGTTTCTACTTTCTGACAAGTGATAAATCTCCCTTCTCGGGACTAAATCAAGGCCCTTCTAGATTTTCTTTCTTGAGGTACTTAACATAGACTCAATAGAGAAACTAAAAGCGATGCAGTCTTGGGCAGTGTGCATCTTCTTTGTTAGCTTCTGTTTGTTTGTTTTTTTTTTCCATTTTTATTAGTTGGAGGCTAATTAGTTTACAATATTGTAGTGGTTTTTGCCACTACACATTCATTGACATGAATCAGCCATGGATTTACATGTGTTCCCCATCCCTATCCCCCCTCCGGCCTCCCTCGCCATCCCATCCCTCTGGGTCTTCCCAGGGCACCAGCCCCGAGCACTTGTCTCATGTATCCAACCTGGGCTGGCAATCTGTTTCACACTTGATAATATACATGTTTCTATGCTGTTCTCTCAGATCATCCCACCCTCGCCTTCTCCCACAGAGTCCAAAAGTCTGTTCTATACATCTGTGTCTCTTTTTCTGTCCTGCATATAGGGTTATTGTTACCGTCTTTTTAACAACCATATAAATGCGTTAGTATACTGTATTGGTGTTTATCTTTTTGGCTTACTTCACTCTGTATAATGGGCTCCAGTTTCATCCATCTCATTAGAACTGATTCAAATGTATTCTGTTTAATGGCTGAGTAATATTCCATTGTGTATATGTACCATGGCTTTCTTACCCATTCGTCTGCTGATGGGCATCTAGGCTGCTTCCATGTCCTGGCTATTATAAACAGTGCTGCGATGAACACTGGGGTGCACGTGTCTCTTTCAGATCTGGTTTCCTCGGTGTGTATGCCCAGCAGCGGGACTGCTGGGTCACATGGCGGTTCTACTTCCTGTTTTTATGTTAGCTTCTGTTTCAATGACTTTGTCCCTTCTCCTTGGCAAGTTCCCCCTAAGAAGTGTGTTTCACCATGTGTTTCTCTATAAGACACTCCCTGCCAGGTTTTCTCATAACCAAATTTCCTGAAAAAGTCTTAAGCTTTCCCTCCCCTCTTTCTCACTTCCTATTGATCCCTCAGCCCATGCTGATCTGGCTCTTGTTCTGCTGAAAGTGCTTTCCAAAGGTTACTAGTTGTGGGACTCCCCTGATAGTCCAGTGGTTAAGACTCTGCATTTCCACTTTAGAGAGCATGTGTTCAATTCCCCTTCTGGGAACTGAGATTCCTCATGCTACATAACACAGCCAACTAAGAAGAAAAAAAGAAGCCCCTAGTTGCCAAAGACAACTAGTTGCTAAAGACAACAGGGGCACTTCCCCATTGTCTTGCATTGCCTCTCCAGGACATTTGACGCCGCTTTACACTCCTTCCTTCTGGAAACTCAGCTCCCTTGGCTTTTGTGACCCTGCCCTCCTGGCCCTTTTTATTTCTCTGGCCACCCCTTCTCAGGCTTCTCCCACTAGCCTCTCGCATGCTGGTCTATGCCAGGGTCCAGTCATTGGACTTTCCTTGGAGTTGTCATTCACGCCTACAGATTCCTCACGAAAATTAAACCCGTATTCCCAGTCCAGATGTCCTGCTGCCCTCAGGTGCCCAAACACTGTTAGGCAAAAGCCCGGGATTCGTTCTCAGCGTCTCCCTCCCCCTTAAAGCCCACATCCACTGACTTTTACGCACTGACATCAAACCGAACCTTTAGATCCATCCCCTTCTTTCTATCCCAACAGTCATTGTTTTAGCTTCTCACTTCGTGCCTAGACTTTGGCAATACTCTGGCCCCCCTCCAGAACGATGCCTGAGCGGTCTTTCTAAAAGCACAAAACCCACTTAAGGGATTTCCTACTTCGTAAACGAATGCTTTCAGGTTAGCCTCCGCCGGGAGGTTATTCCTAGAAACTGGGCCAAACCGGAAAGCGGTCACTTTACAGCTACGAAGCCCTCGACCATAGGGTTAGATCGCTCCAGCCCAAGCAGCAACCCCAACGCCTGGATGACTGGTCTGGGCCTCGCGGGCCGCGCGCAGCCCTCCAGGGAAGAGGTTTCCGCGCGCCTCCCCGCCGGCAGGTGAGCCCCTCGACCGCGCAGGCGTCGGGGCGCGCGGGCCGCCAGCAGGGGGCGGAGTCAGCCTACCCCGCCCGGCTCGCGCGCCGGCGGGCCAGCCTCCGGTCACGTGACGGAGGCGCAGGTGAGCGCCGCTTCCGGGGTCGGGAGCCCGCTTCGCAGACGGCTCCAGCTTCCCCTCGGCCGGGTTCCCGGGAGACTATGGCGTCCTCCTCGGTCCCGCCGGCCGCTGCACCGGCGGCGACAGCGGCCCCCGGCGCGGGTTTCGGCTTCGCCTCTAAAACCAAGAAGAAGCATTTCGTGCAGCAGAAGGTGAAGGTGTTCCGGGCGGCCGACCCGCTGGTGGGCGTGTTCCTGTGGGGCGTAGCCCACTCGGTGAGACCCTGCCCCGGCCCCGCTGTGGCCCTGTCCTCACCCCTCAGCTCCTCCGGGCGTGTCCATTCCCAGGCTGCCGCTTCCGGAGCCCGTCGCGCTGCCGCTTCTCCACCGGGCTGCCCCGGTCCCTGCCCACCTACCCTCAGGTGTCTCTCCCACCCTGCCTTCGGGCTGTAAAGCTTTTTTTTTTTCTCTTTAACTTAGGCTTTGTCCCTTCCTCCGCCCTTTACTCCTTCACTGTGTTTCCTTCGTCCTCGCGTGAAATCCAGCTCCCTGCCTCCTCCCAGTCAGTTCCAGCTTCAGCTCCAGGCCATGGAGCCCTGCCGGGACCTGGCTCCATCTGGAAGGACTTTAGGGGGAGTGACTGTAATAGGTTGCTGGCGGTGAGGTCTCCGGTGAGAGAGTGCGTGTAGAAGGGGAGCGGGAAGAGTAACTGAAGGGAAATAACTGTTTCGTTTACTCTCCTTTGCACCTTGCTTTCCAGCCGCCTTCCTTGACTTTGGAACCTTGGCTCTGAGGGGAAGCTCCAGGCTTCCTGGATCTTCTAATCGTGCATGTCCCTTTCCCTTCCAGAGGTAGAGCATTTCAGAGAGGTTACGCTGCCCTGAGCCTAGTGGTTGCTCTCACTCAGCACTTAATGTGTATAAGCCTTTGGTCTTACCTTTGCTGGCTGGAGTAATGGTATTTGGTGTAACTGAGGGTCATCTTTGAATGAAGAGTTGGCTCAGGAGTTCTGGTCATGGAGACATTATGGTGGTGAACTTTAGAATCAGGGAGCTGCTTAGACCGTGGGCCTGGGAATCAGGAGGAGACAGGAGAGGCCAGTGCATCCCTGGTTTCTGAAGATACCTCAAGTGAAGAAAGCACAGCCATTGCCCTCCCTTCTCTCATGGCTGGAGTGGGAGGAGTGCAGTGATCTTGAATGTGACAGGCAAAATTTTAAAAATTCAATTTCCTTGAAACGTTACAGTCATATGGAGTGTCGTATATTATAGCCATTATATAGTGTTGCAGAGATGGAAGGGAATGGGGAAGAATACAGATTTTGTCATTCTTAGTTTGGGGCTTAGGAAGTTATATGGGATCTGTCAGCTCCCTTTTGCGTTTGTGGTCCCCAGGTTCCTGGGTGGTGATGTCTTGTCGGGGAGTATTCAGTCTCTGCCACTTGGTATGGGCAAGGCTAACGGAAGTAGGGCTTCCCCTGTCATGGCTCATCCATCCATTCCTTTGGGAAGTTCGAGAAGGAGTGTTTTCCTTTGGTAAAGATTGGGGAAATTACGCAGAAGACCTGCCTCAGCTTCCCTAGGTCTGTCTACTTTAGTCCCAACACCCCACCTCCAGCCAGCACACATTTACTTAAAGGGTCTGGAATGGAGAAATTCCTTGAACATATGTCCTAGTGATGAGTCAGCCTGCTTAACAGCAGGTGGCGAGGAGGGGGCCACGAAGAACTATAGCTGAATTTTAGGCTGGAAATCTCTGGTGGCTTCTTTTTCTTTTTTTTTTTTTTCTGGAGGAATATGTTCTGTCCTCTTTTTCTACTGAGAATGAGAGGAGCTGCTTTTTCATGGCACTGTATGGGATTTAGGTTAGACAGAATTTCTGTTGCATGATCAAGTAAGAAAAGGCAAGGCATCCATTTATTCGGTTAATAAACACTTGGGGACCACTGAGTGGCAGACATTGTGCTAGTCAGCGGAGAGATGCAGATGACGAGAACTGGTCCTCTGGGGGCTCACAGCCCTGGTGGGGAGCTCACATAAACCAGCGGTTAGAGCCAAGTGTAAGTGGACTACTAAGGCTGTGAAGATGCTGCGGCACCCTTGTCAGTCCCGGGAGAAAGCACCCTGAGCATTTCTTGGTACAGGAACCCCCTTTCCACCCAGAGTTAGCAGGCTGCTGATTCCTGGGGCTGGGGAGAGCACGTGGTGCTTGCACGCTGTGGGCTGTGCTTGGCTTGACTTCCGTGAACAAACGAGCTCACATCCTCTGCCTGCCCGCATTCCCGCAGAAATCAGCTGTTTTTCTCTTACCTTACGTGCAGGCAGGTGGGGACCTACTCCAAGAACTGGGGCAGAGTGGTCTGGAAGAACAGATCCCGTTTGTAAGAAGATGCCTCCTTTAGGATATGGGCATTTCGTTCTTGCTGCTGTTGACCCCTCAGAGTCCCATTAACTCTCTGTACTTTGAAAACATCTTTTGTTTTGTTTCCAGCGGAGCATGGAACTGTTTGTCTTGAATGTCTTGAGTCTGCTGAGGGTTTTTTTTTTTTTTCTAGAATTTCTCACAGCTTTAAAAATAATCCAGAGTTGCTTACAGAGTTTGCCTAATATAAAATGACTGTTGTGAGCATGAAGTTCCACGGGGGCGGGACTGTGAGGGGCCGTGTGTGAGGGCTGCTTGCTGCAAGCCTCTTTGGGCAGCAAAGACAGCATACACTCACCTTTGTCAGGCATATGTATAACCAGGGTATCTAAGGGAAGGAGGTGGTTGCTGTTTGGTCTCCCAGTTGTGTCCGACTCTGCGACCTCATGGACTGCAGCACGCCAGGCCTCTCTGTCCATCATCTTCTCATGGACTGCAGCATGTCGGGCCTCCCTGTCCACCATCTCCCAGTTTGCCCATGTTCATGTTCATTGCATCGGTGATGCCATCTCATCCCCAGACGCCCTTTTCTCCTTCTGCCCTCAGTCTTTCCCAGCATCAGGGACTTTTCCAGTGAGTCGTCTATTTACATCGGATGACCAAAATACTGGCTGGAGCTTCAGCTTCAGCAGCAGTCCTTCCAGTGACCCTTTTCTGACTCTTTCCCAGACACAGTGTAAAAGTAGCTCTCCACACCCCTCCTCACTGCCTTCCCATTCTTATTCTGACTTATCAGATCAATGAGCTCAGCCAGGTGCCTCCCCCGGTGATGCTGCTGCCGGATGACTTTAAGGCTAGCTCCAAGATCAAGGTCAACAATCACCTTTTCCACAGGTATGTGGAATCCCTGCTCTGCTCTTGTCAACCTTCCTAGAAAAGAGAAGAAATCATTTTAAGAGTTAAGGTTGAATGAGTTGAAGGTTTTAGATTTCGAAGGCAACTTACAAGTTGTTATTGTATTGCTTAAATTTCTTCCCAATGCAGAAATTCAGTATTTTTGTAAAGAAACCACTAAAATAATTTCCAGTGTTCCCTACACACTTATCTACGTGTACTAGTTTGCCTCTCCTCTAGCCTAAAAATTCCACAGCGTAAATACATTAGTTGCCGTTACCGTTAGCTTCTGAGAGGTACTCCCTGAAAGAAACACCTGAGTCCTGTGAACCCTCCTAATTTCAGAAGATGCCATTCAAGACCTATTGCTGATTTAAGGATGTCTCTGACTTGCTTGAGATTTGGGAAATGCTGCTGTTTGGGTGGGCAGTGGATCCTGGCTCTACTTAAGCCACTTACCAGTCACGCGGTTTAAGCAGGCCACTCAGCCACCCTGAGCCAGTCTCCCTTTCCATAAAACGGGAACAACACGCTTAATAGAGGATCTCACGTGGGTTCTATGAGAATCAAATAAGGTGATATGTGTGAAGGTGTTTTATAAACTGTAAAGCCCTTTATAAATGTAAGATAACATTGTTACTTTGTTTTCCTATCTTGAAAACCCCTATTGCAGGGAGAATCTGCCCAGTCATTTCAAGTTCAAGGAGTATTGTCCCCAAGTCTTCAGGAACCTGCGTGATCGGTTTGGTATTGATGACCAGGATTACCTGGTGAGTGTCCATTTTGGGGACAGGGTAGGCCTTTCTCCCTAACAAGGGGAATCCTTGGGACAATCATGTTTGGAGGAATGAGGACCTTCACAGGTATTCTTTACCTTTCTGTGGTCATTACTATCCTGTCGTCAGGCGTCTTCAAAAATCTGAAGAAAGGTATAAAGCCTGTCCTTGGAGAGAATTGTAGATGCATTAAAAATTTTGCCACTCATTTCATTCACTCTGTGTATGGACACTGGATTTAGAACCCTTTTTCATCCTCTTATGCCAAGGTTTTATATTCTTGCAGATGTGTTCAGTTGACCACTGTCCTATGCATCCATATATAAAGGAGGAGGAAAAGAGCTCCTAGTCTCTTCTGTGTCCCCAGGTATCCCTTACCCGAAGTCCCCCAACTGAAAGTGAAGGCAGTGATGGTCGCTTCCTTATCTCCTATGATCGGACTCTGGTCATCAAAGAAGTATCCAGTGAGGACATTGCTGACATGCATAGCAACCTGTCCAACTACCACCAGGTCAGACCTCTCTCAGCCCACTCTTCCCTTCCCCTCCCTACTCATAGCTCAGCTTCAGAGCACTTGGGACACTTCCTGTCCTTCTTCTTCCCTATAGCCTATAGCACTCAACATCATGTTTTTGAAAAACAAGGCATTTTAAAAAGAGAGCCTTTGCATACCTATTTGTGTTTGATTAAATGAGAGTTTAGACATGTTCTTCTCATTTGGTACTTCTAATCTAAGGCCGCTGTGAGTTGATAGATACATAAAGGGTACGTGAATAGCAAAGTGTAAGTTTCAGACTAAGTCAGAATTAGATGAAGTGCCAACATCAAATGTACTATCAGGAATAAATGCAGTTTGGGGAGAAAACCACGATGAGTGTACCATTGGGATAAATTGGAGGGGAGAAGCCATGATCATAACCAGCCCTAAGTGAGATTAGGGAAGCTATTCTGTCTGAGCAGATGAATTTGGAATATGAAGTTTCTGGAATATTTTGGGAATAAAAAATACCTGAACATCTTTCCACTGAAGGAAAATCTCACCAAAATCAATGAGCAAGGAATAAATGAAAGACTCTAAAAGAGTTTTTGGTTATTCAACAGCTAACCCATGTCTGTTGTTATTAGGTCCTATGTCAGACAGTAAAGAAAGAGGTGAATGAAATGGCCCTGGCCGTTGAGCATCTCTTGTTCTAATGGCAGAGACTGGTAAGCTAGCATCAGTTAACACACAGCAGGCTGTGTGCGGGCAGTGGAGGAATGTAGAGAATGCTCTGGGTGGGCAGAGGAAGAGCATCCCAGCTCATCTGGGGCACGAGGTGCTCCAGGAGAGTTTTTAGAGGGAGTACCCTGGGAGCGGAGTCGCGCGTGCTAGTGGGGACCAGGCATTGGGCATGGTGGGAGAGAGCACTCTGGGCAAAGGAGAGCAGCACTTGTAAAGGCGCAGAGCCATGAACGGGCTTGATGTTGCGGAGCTGCGGGAAGTTCCGTGTGACCAGGATAAGGTATTGTGGACGGACGCTTAGGCAGGAGCTAGGCGGCAAGGGCTTTATAAGCCATACAGAGAGTTTGGGCTTTATCCCGAAAGGTGGTTTGCAGGGGAGTGAGGTATATGTCATTTAGAAATAGCCCTGTGGCAAAATTTTAGAGAATGGATTGTAGAGGGGAAGTACTGAGAGTGGTGATACCAGTGAGGAGGTAAGTGTTACAGTCCAGGTGGAGCCTGGAGGGGTGATGGTAGTGAAGGTGGAAAGGAAGACCTTTGGGAGAATTGCAGGAATTAAGGCAAAGGGGCTCCAAATTCCTGGGTGCCCAGTTGGGAAGCAGGAAAAGAAACAGGTCTTTGGAGGAAGACAATTGTGATTTAGGCATGTTGAGTTTCTGGTTTCCACAGTTCATCCGGATACAGATGTCCTGTGAGTGGTTGGGATATGGAATTCGGGAGAAAGAATCAGATCTCTTTCTAATTTTAGATTTCTTTCTAGTCTAGATTTCAGAGCTACAGGTGAGTAGATGGTACTTATCACCATGAATATAGATAAGATTATGGAAATGTAGAGTGAAATGAAAAGAAGGTTGAGGACAGAACCTTGGGCAAGTAAAGAGTCCATAAAAGAGACTAAGGGATGCCTTTTTTTTTTTTTAATGTGATTGCCAAGTTTAATTCCACAGCTCCACTAACTCCCGCCTCGTAAAAATAACAGAACGCTCCTCTCTGAGGTACACTGTGATGTGAGGCTAGATTTGTTATTTTTGATATAGCTCTACAAAAAAGTTGGTGTGAAATGCACATTAAGAAAGTTTTAAGGTTTAAAAAATACAGACTAGTAATTTATCAATACACCTTGGAGGTTGAGAATAGGATACTAAGATTTAATAAATCTTCCAAATACAGGCAGTCCCCAAGTATAGAGCATTTTCCAAATACAAATGGCCTCCCCCATCGGGTTTAAAGGAGCAAAAACCTTTTCTTCTGCTCCTCCCAGTGACTAGACTGCCCAGGCTCTAAACCCACAACCATGACCCCAAGGAAGGAAAAAAGGAGGGGAGATGGGGACCAAGCAAGGCCACGTGGTCACTGCTGCCCAGAGACTCGGTTGTTTTTTCCTCCTTCTGCCAGGCCTCAGTCCCCAGCTGTGCCCCAGAAGTTCCTGCCAGGGGACAGATCTAGAGAGCTCCTACCCTCATGTGACCGGTGAGGCTGAGGCTGAAGCCCCAAGGGCCAGCACCACAGTTGGGTCTTCTTGGCTGGAGCTGTCGGATGCTCTTAGTGACTTATGCCCACTTCACTCCACACAGGATTTGAGGACAGAGAGGAGTGGTGTGATGGGAGCTCAGGCTGGTCAGTAGCGTCAAGTACCAGCCAGTTGAGATACGACAATGACAAGATGCCTGTTTGAGTTGGCAGCTGAGGGATTTGAGGCAGTGAAGAGTAGAGAAATTTCAGAGGAGAAATGCGAGTATAATCTGATTTCATTGGTTTGAGGTATGAATGAGAGAAAATGGACTGATAGCTGACTAATGTTCTGAGAAGGCTGGCTCTGAAGAGAAAGGCAGCAACCCTGAGAGACGGCAGCACTGAAAAGGGGATTTTCTTAGGAAGCCAAATTAGAGGCCATCATGCAAACGGTTTTACTGTGGGAATCTAGCCCACCAAGAAATACTAGACTAGGTAAAATCATTCTGTTGATGTAATTTCCGCTCCTGGTTCAATGAATAAAGAGGGTCAAAATGAGGATAACCGCACGTACCTTCCCCATCTCAAAGGATGACAAAGGAAAGAAGGCGCTTTAAGAGATATCATACATCTGAGATAAATCAGAGGAAATGAGGATTCAGAAACTGCATGGATAACCTGGGGCATCTTCAGAAAGCCCCTCACCACTTCTGACCTTCTATAACCTATCTGTGTGAAGTTCTCTGGCTCTCTGTGGGACAGGAGCATTTGAATGCCCGCCCCTAAGCTGTTCATCTCTCCTGCTTCCTCCCTCCCTCCTACCCCAGTACATTGTGAAGTGTCACGGCAACACACTGCTGCCCCAGTTCCTGGGGATGTACCGGGTGAGCGTGGACAGTGAGGACAGCTACATGCTTGTGATGCGCAACATGTTCAGCCACCGTCTCCCCGTGCACAGGAAATACGACCTCAAGGTCAGGAGAGAGGGCCCGAGGGGCGGGGCGGCCGGGGAGGGCGCTGCGTGCTTCGTCTTAAAGGAAGGAGGCTGTGGGCTTGCGGACTTGTCTTGGGAGGCGGGTTCCCACTGTGCCTTTAGCCCCTTCTGCTGACTTGGCCTTTGGGTCTCTCCACAGGGCTCCCTAGTGTCCCGGGAAGCCAGCGATAAGGAGAAGGTGACGTAATTCTAGACGACAGGGTGTGTGGGGGGGGCAGGCGAAAGGGATCTTAGCATAAAGAGGTAGGGGTCCTTGGATGTTAATTCTTATCTTAAACCACCAACAAAGAAGAGAGATGTAAACTTTTCCTGATCCAGGGACTTTTTGGAAGGGGCAGCGGGAAGGGCCTTCTTGTCACTGTCTTGGGTTTGGGAATGGGTGAAAATGCCAGACTTCAAGAGCAAACTGCTCACCAACCACCTCCCATCCTGAGCTTTCATTCAAACTAGCTGTCTTTGCTTAAGAAGAAGAAAGAAAAGTCAGAATGGAGTGTGTGAACTGAAACCCTAGGCAGAAAGCAGTGGGGTGTGATTTGGGATACGGCCGCAGTGACTGAGTCTGGGGGCAGCTCTGGCGGTAAGAGCAGACTCTGGGCAGCCTCCCAGTGAAGTCAGGTGGGCGGTGGTAAACCTGTCCCCTCGGGGCCGCAGAGCGAGCGACGGCGCTACGCAGAGCAGGGCGCACTGGCTGAGGTGGTCGGGAGGCCTGCATCCCAAGCCGCACCTTTGCCCGCCCTCAGGGTAAGGAGCTGCCCACCCTCAAGGACATGGACTTCCTCAACAGGAGCCAGAAGGTTTATATTGGTGAAGAGGAGAAGAAAGTCTTTCTCGAGAAGCTAAAGAGAGATGTGGAGGTGATGGTGGGGGTGCTCTGGGAAATGACTTCGCTTCTCTTCTTTGCTCCCCCGCCCCCCGGCAGCTGTCCATTTACAATATGAGGGATCTCATCCCCTTCCCTTGGGGCTCTCTGGCTGTAGGGGATTTTGGCTTCCCTGATAGCTCAGTTGGTAAAGAATCCGCCTGCAATGTGGGAGACCTGGGTTCGATCCCTGGGTTGGGAAGATCCCCTGGAGAAGGGAAGTGGCTACCCACTCGAGTGTTCTGGCCTAGAGAATTCCATGGACTGTATAGTCCATGGGGTCCCAAAGAGTTGGACAGACTGAGCAACTTTCACTTTCATGAAAATCTTCTAGAGGTGACCTTTGGAGGGGGTGGCTGGTATGAACTGAAAGAAGGATCATAAAAGAATTCTTTAAAAAACAATGATCTTGAGATAGCAGGACATTTAGGCAAGAAAGAGCAATGGTATGCTCCCCACCCTCCGTTTTTACACCCCCTTTCCCCAGGAGGGCCCTGGATATTCAGAGGGAGGTGTAAGAGTGGTGCGTGGGAGTGGGGGAGCCGTCTGGGGCCTCTGACCCGCCGCTGGGGTCTTCAGTTCCTGGTGCAGCTGAAGATCATGGGCTACAGCCTTCTTCTGGGCATCCACGACATCATTCGGGGCTCTGAGCCAGAGGCGGACGCGCCGGCGCGGGAGGAGGAGCCAGAGGCGGATGGCGCCTGTGGCCCGGCGGCACCTCCCGCTCCGCTGGGCTCCTGTGGCGCTTCCGCTGAGGGCATCGGCGGCTGCCTCCACCCCCACCGGCCCCTGGGCCCTGGAGAGTTCGAGTCCTTCGTCGACGTCTACGCCATCCGGAGCGCGGAGGGTGAGAGCGCGCCGGGACATGCAAGCGGCAGGGAGGGAGTGCTGGGGGACAGGCCCAGCGTGGTGCGGGGGAGGCTGGTTCCGCGGGCCGGGGATGGGGGCCGTCCTCGGCGCCCATCGCTGGCCTCTCCCCCAGGGGCCCCTCAGCAGGAGGTGTATTTCATGGGCCTCATTGACATCCTGACGCAGTATGACGCCAAGAAGAAAGCAGCTCACGCGGCCAAGACTGTCAAGCACGGGGTGAGGGCTCGGGAAGCCTCTCCTTCCCGGTCTGGGCTGTTCGGGAGCTCCGTGCCCAGGCGGTGGGGGGCAGAGGATGCAGGGCTGGGTGCGGAACTTCTCAAGAGTGCGCAGGAGGGGAGGGCGGGGAGTGGGGCGGGGCTGCGGGCGCTGACACCCTGTTCCACGCCTTCCTCTCACAGGCCGGGGCAGAGATCTCTACTGTCCATCCTGAGCAGTATGCTAAGCGATTCCTGGATTTTATTACCAACATCTTTGCCTAAGAGACTGCCTGACTTCATGGTGACTGCTGCTCTGTGTTTTAGGTGGTGGGGGTCTGAGAGGCATGGGGGAATTGTGGATGTTCTGGCCACTAACTTCTCTTCCTCTTCTGCTAACTTCAGGCTACAGGCTCCTTCCATCCAAATAACTCCATCTTGTTGAGTAGGCCCTTCCTGGCCCTCAGAAATACCGATACATTGTTTTCCCTCCCCTTCCTTCCCTTCTCTCCCTTCCCTCTTTCCCTTCCCCACCAAGTCGGCTTGCTTCATTAGAGTGTTTACTGTTGACTTTCTCCCAAGTGCCTTGATCTTTGTAAAATATCCTGTTGTTTCCATAACAGAGGAGGAGCTGGGGGAAGGGGGTTGTTGGCCATCTTCAAGACCTGACTGCACAGATGGACCTGGCTCAAGCAACTTAACTGATGCCCTTTGCTGTGTGGGATGAACTAAGAGTTTCTGGATTTTGCTGATAACTTTATAGAACTCGTGGCATGCTTCCTTCCTAGTAGGCCCTGGGATGGAAGATTTTCAAGACACTACAGATGTGGGTGCCAGCATGCACACATATATTGGGACAGGGCCAATCTTACCGAGGTGGGGTGGAGAGTGGTTGGTGGGCTGACCTGGGATGGAAGATTTTCAAGACACTACAGATGTGGGTGCCAGCATGCACACATATATTGGGACAGGGCCAGTCTTACCGAGGTGGGGTGGAGAGTGGTTGGTGGGCTGGTAGCTTGTGGAGGTGGGACCTTCGAGGACTCCTGTGATTATTTAGGGAATTGGAGGTCTCTTGAGGGTTGACTGCTCTCCCGTCTCTCCCCTCTCTCCACCGGCCCCCACTAGAGCTGGCCACAGTGTTGAATTCTGGGTGAAGTTGTCTGGCTGCTGCTGCTCTTCCCCAGGACCTCACATCCCTCCTGGGCTGGAACCCTCCAGTGGGGGTGTGGTCAGTTCTGGAGGCTGGACGGATGAGCCAGGGGTGTAAGGTTCACTCCCTGTGTTAAATTTCCTTTCTTCATGTCTAGCCATCCTGGAGGTTTGAGTCCCAGCAGAAGGGAATAACTTTACTTGGGTTAACCCTGGTCATCTCAAGAGAACGGGAGTCTCACATGGGGGAGCCGCCTCCACTCCTTGGAAGTGTGCCCCTAGCACACTTCCTCCCCTGCCCCTTCTCAAACCCTTTTCCCAGTTGGATTTGTTATTTTGTTCTTTTCTGTCCATCTTAACTGCCACTGTGTCTCCCGGGGGACAGATGGCCCTCTTTGTCATCTCACTCTCCACCCCCAGAGGAGTCAGAGCCATGACTCAGTCGCCCAGCCCCTCCAAAGAGAGTGGAGCTGATGCATGATGTTCTCAGAATACAGTGGACCCCGACTGCGGGGACAGTTCCCCGCAATGCCTTTGGGGCGCAGGCAGCCATTCTTGTGATCCTGCATCTCCCCTGAGGCTTCTGCGTTTATCTGGAACACAAAGATGGGGCACCAGCAAGTGGCCTGGAGGGATACAAAGACTCTGCTCTGTATCTGACTGGACTAATCTGTCTCACAAGAAGTCATGAGGTCATAAAGGAGAATTCCTCTTGCCCCTCCATCTGCTCCAAAGCAAGTAACAAGAGGAGTCCCCAGTTGAGGATTGGAGCCCCTATAAAATTTTCCTGTCAGGAGCCTCATGGATCTTTTTCATTCCACCGTCTACCTTTCCCTTGTTGAATGCAATAAAACTCCATGACACCAGCAACTTTGTTCTTTAGAAATGGGTTTTCTGACCCATTTCTGGCTGATGTATCGTAAGCATTATGGTTTTCATTTGTTGCTTCTGTTTTTCATCTTTTTTGTTTTATTAATAAAAAGATCTCGTGTATTTACTCCCATTGCTGTCACTATAAGGAAAATAAATTATTGAATTCAAATTCCTTCACAGAAATTCCTTTTTTTCTCCCCCCACTCCTCTTTTTTGGAAGCCTGGGCTTAGGGTGAAGCGACCAAGTAAAGAACTGATCTTTAAGGTGTTGGGTCCCTGAAGATGTGGGTTTCAAGATAGATGGCTGTGAGCTTAAAAGGTGGCTAGGAGTGTGCATGGGAATGGAAGACATTCCCCAGTTTTGCAGGAGTCAGCTCCGGGCGGGGGGGGGACAATTGAGGTGATATGACCCCCCCCCCCCACTTTCCCCAGGGTTCTGGGCTAGATCACACTCACGTCTCTAAAGGTGAGCGAGTCTTAACAGCACCGAGCACACAGGAGCTAAAGGAGAAGGAACCCAGTGTTTCCCCAGCTTCCTGGGAAAGATGGCCTTTGTGTGGAGGACAGGAAGAGTACATCAGGGTCCTGGGAAAGTAAAGAAGGGAGTGACCAGCCATCCAGCCTGGAGAGACAGTGAAGAAAGGGGGTGGATCAGCAGAGGTGGTTGCCAGTCAGAGATCCATCCAGTACTGTTTGGCCAAGGAATTCTTCTGACCGTTGGAAAAACCTGGCTTGATGTGGCCCCAGGGAAGTGAGTTGGACTGGGGGCGGAGACTGCTGGCTCCGCAGAAGAGGGTTCCCCCCACCCCTTTGTGAGTTTTTAACTCTATTTCAACCATAGACTTGATACCATCACTCCAAGGCATTTTTTTGGACAAAATGTATTCACTTCTCATTCTGCACCAGCCTCAGTGTAAAGAGAAAAATCAGAGATCAACACCCATCTGAACGCAGGTTTGACAGAAGGTAACAATCTAGGGAAAGGCAAGCAATAAAGAAGGGAAACGGCTTAGTCCTGGATTTATTTTTTAGAACCAATGCTTTTTACTACAACTCTTCTTCCAACCTCCTATTCCTCAAAGGCCTTTCTAGAAAAAGGATCACAGAGAAATTGCCCCCTCTTCCCCACCTACCTAAACCGACAGTCCTCACCCACCCATCTGCCACCAGCTTCCAGAAGCTGCTACGCAGCTGGCTGGCAAAGAACAGGGGGAGGGCCCCTCTTCGGAGGGGAAAGCGAGAAGGGTAGCGTCTTTAAGGGATTTAACCTCCCACCCTGGGCTCCACGACACCACCCCCCGCCTCCAAAGATTGGGACGGCGCCTCCATTTCTGTTTTGGGGCGGAAGGCAGGGGCTTGTGGATGGAAGCGGGTCAAAGGAAACGGTGATTATCACCTGGGAGGGGGAAGGGGGTGCCATCCTCCTTCCTTCCCTCTTCCTCAGTCTGCACCCCCGGCAAACTCTCCCCCCCACACACCTTCTCGGGGTCTCCCCCCCCCGCCCCCCCCCTTGTTGCTAAGGCCCAGACCGTCATCCCAGCAACAGCCTCAGTCATGTGACCGGCAATGGCGGCGCTGACGAGAGGTAGGTGAGCCCGGCGCCCCCCACACCCACCGCGCGCCCCCCGGACCCAGCTCGCACCCCCCGCGCGCCCTCCCGCTTCCCCTGCGCCCCCTCCTCGGTCTCCTTCTGCGCGGGCGCCGGGGGGGGGGCCCGGTCCCGGCCCTGCCGATCCTGTCTGTTACCCTCCAGCCTGGGCCTCCATTTGGGGGTTCTGGGGCCCGCGATCCGGCCGACATGCATCCCCACCCAGTGGTGGGGCTGCGGGGGCCCTGCCGAGCCGGGGATGCGGGGAGTTGGTTCCGGGTCGCGTCTGGCAGGAGGTCGTGGGGGGAGGGGGGGAGATGCTGCCGTTGATGCCCCCGTTGATGCCCCCACGGACCCTGGCCCTTCCTGGCCGCCCTTGTCGCCGGCCTGTCTCGGGCGGGAGGGACTGGCCCCGTGTCCGGCCTGGGCTGCCCCAGAGGAATCGGACCCAGCAAAAGCTGTGGCCCCGCCTCCCTTTTCTGTGCCAGAAGGACTCGGAGCAAAGGACACCTAGGTCCTGGCTTCTCTCTGATGGGGAGGGGGTGTTCCACCTGGATGGACCGAATGAGCCGCGGCTCTCGGGTTCCGATTTCGCTTTCTGAATCTTGAGGTGCATCTGGCCTTGAGGGGACTGGGAAGGAGGCACAAACGGAGAGCTGCTCCCTTTTGGATCAGTCAAGGAATTGAGGTCACACTAATGGCCCTTCTATCTGGGCCGCATTTGGAGGTGTTGTAGGGATAGCTCTGTAGCTGAACACAGCAAGACTGGGGGCAGGGAGGGGGTGGTGGTGGTGGTCCATATCAGGGTGCTCCAGCGGATCCCCTGCGTGAGCTCCACCCCTCCCGAAATGCAGCCTAGGTTGCTGGCAGGCCTGGACTTCGTGCACTGGGTTTAAAAGGTGACAGCGAGAACTTTGTTATTGCAGGGGCTTCTGCCACTTGGTCCGCATTCCAAATAGACTCCAGCAGAAGGGACTGGGTTAACACTCAAGGAAGGCTCTCTGGCACTAGGAGCGGAATTATTGGCAAAATGTGGAGCAGGGCGAGAAGCTGGGGAGCAAAGGAGATATTCTTGTCCTTGTGATCTGAGGGAGGCGGCAACACAGACCTTCTGTGTGTGGGCTTTTCCCTCCCAGACTCTCCTCTGTGTCCCTAGGCTTTCTTAAGAGCCCCAGAGCTGAGGAAGAGGAAAGTTAGCTCGTTGAAGTTCCTTCTTTAGGAACTTGGCCAGAGGCTGGGGATGAAATCCTGCAAAAGACAGGGAGAGGAAATGGAAGGAGGAGTTTTTGTTTTGCTTCTGGGCTGACTGGGGCAAACGGTAATGTTTGTCATCCTAACCCCTCCTCCCCCACGCCCCCCTCCCCTAGTCCTGGTCAGCTGAGTGTGGAGACAGGGAATTCTGCTGTCACCGTCCATGGGCTTCCCAGGTACCTGCCTTTCATGGAAACCCCAGCTCTCACCCTTAAATTGGTTTCCTCCATTCCATGTTCCTAGTAATCCCATTCCCAGGAGACTGACCCCCAGGCTCCGTCTGTCTCGTGGGCTGCTGGGTGGGGGCACGTGGCAATGGGAGAAGGGGTTTTCCACTCCTTTCCCTTTCCACCCACCAGGTCACACAACCTACAAGTAGGGAGTGAGGACAGAGAGCGCGCCTGCATGCCAATTCTAAGCTCTTCAGGATCAAAGTGAGCAAAAAGCGGGGGTCGAAATCGCCTTTCCTTTTACAGAACCCAGTCCAGACTTGGGGAGGGCCAGGATGCTTCTGTGACCTGGGGAGGAGTGTAGGAGAACCAAGACTGATGCTTACCTTAGATGACAATAATAAAGTTAGAGCAGCTTTCTTTCTCTTCAGGGGGTGCTGGAGTTGGAAAGGTGGGAGGAACATGAACTTGGGGGAGGAGTTGGGGGTTGGGCTCTGAGAGAGCAGAGGTAATATAGGACTGGAAAGGAGTGGGCAGGAGGAGGCACTGGTATCTGTGAAATGGGGACCCCCCACCCTGAGTCCCTTTCACCCTGGGGGCAGTGTCGTTCGTCCTGTCCAGAATGGCAGCCTGCGGAGGCACCTGCAAGAACAAAGTGACTGTCTCCAAGCCTGTGTGGGACTTCCTGAGCAAGGAGACCCCCGCCCGGCTGGCCCGGCTCCGCGAGGAGCACCACGTGTCCATCCTCATCGACGGCGAGACTTCTGACATCTACGTTCTCCAGCTTTCCCCCCAGGGCCCGCCCCCCGCTGCTCCCAATGGGCTCTCCCTGGCCAGGAAGGCCCTCAAGGGGCTGCTCAAGGAGGCAGAGAAAGAGCTCAAGAAAGCTCAGAGGCAGGGGGAGCTTATGGGCTGCCTGGCTTTGGGGGGTGGAGGGGAGCACCCTGAGCTGCACCGCCCAGGCCCGCCCCCTCTCCGAGCAGCCCCACTCCTGCCCCCAGGGGCCCGGGGGCTTCCCCCGCCTCCTCCTGCCCTGCCCCCTCCCCTCCCTCCCCGCCTTCGGGAAGAGGCGGAGGAGCAGGAGAGCACCTGCCCCATCTGTCTGGGGGAGATCCAGAACGCCAAGACCCTGGAGAAGTGCCGGCACTCGTTCTGCGAGGGCTGTATCACCCGGGCCCTGCAGGTGAAGAAGGCCTGTCCCATGTGTGGCCGCTTCTATGGGCAGCTGGTGGGCAACCAGCCCCAGAATGGGCGGATGCTGGTCTCCAAGGACGCCACGCTCCTGCTGCCCAGCTATGAGAAGTACGGTACCATCGTCATCCAGTACGTCTTCCCGCCCGGTGTCCAGGGGGTAAGAAGATGTCGGCTGCCCTTGCCCTTCGGTTTCCCCGGGCTCCTTGTGCTGATTGTTCTGATTTAGGAAGGCTGGGTGCGAGGGGTGTGTGGTTGTTAGATGTGACATAGTCGTGCGGTCTGTCTCCTGGGATGCCTTCCCGCTCAGCTCAGTGCCCTGGAGCAAGAGGCCCCCTTGAAGCCTAGCCTTTCCATCCCCACGACCCCAAGGCACCCATGAAAATCAGGTATGAAAGAAAGGAATCAAATTCTGTTTCCTTGATGAACTTGGATGTTGACAGCTATTGTCAGCAGAGGTGAAGTCTGTGAGGATGGCGGCTCAGGTGCAGGCCAGCACAGAGGGAAAACTCTGACCTTCCCTCAACAGTGCTGGGAGTGTTAACTCCATTCCAGATTTATGAGACAGAAAACTTTGTTGCAGACAGTCGAAGGTTAAAACAGGAGCGGCCAAGAGCCTTTAGGTGTCTTCTTGTTTGGCAAAGAGTAATGTCCAGTTCTGGTTTGCAGAAAGATGAGGGAGCTCTGAAAGAGAGGAACAGAAAAATGGAACAGGTTAGACAGTGGAGGACGCATGGGGAGTGCTTTCAGGTGGAGAAGGGAAAGCTGACAGATAAATGATTCTGTCTTCACATTTCTGCTGAGTTGTCTGGAGAGTAAGACCCAGCTTACCTTCCATCACTTTCAAGAATACGTTTGTTACTTGCAGGATTGGGAGAGCAGAAAGAACCTCTGAATGATGAGAATTTTGTCTGGAAACAGGCTTCTGGTGCCCAGACCCTAGAGCTGGTCCTTCTGTGGAAGGCTGTCACTGCCCCAGCATCATTAGCTGGGGGTGCACAGCCAGAAGGCTGGCCACCGCGACCCTCCATGGGCCTTAAGATGCACAGCTGCTCATTCTGCCTCCCCATTCCCCCAGGCTGAACACCCAAACCCAGGAGTTCGGTATCCTGGCACTACTCGGGTGGCCTACCTCCCGGACTGCCCCGAGGGCAACAAGGTGCTGACCCTGTTCCGCAAGGCGTTTGACCAGCGTCTCACCTTCACCATTGGCACCTCCATGACCACAGGGAGACCGAATGTCATCACTTGGAACGACATCCACCACAAGACCAGCTGCACAGGGGGACCGCAGCTGTGCGACATTCCTCCTTCCTTTCTCCTGGCTCTACCCCTTCTCCCCATTTCAACAGAGGGAACCCCTTCTCTGTGGGAGCCTCCTAACTGGAGAGGACCACCCCCAAACTGTTCAACCATCTTGTCCATCCCAGTGTCTCCTGTAATCATCCTGGTCGTGATGTGCCCAGCTTAACCTACAAAAATCAGCAGAATTGGGCTCAGTGATCTTGGGTTTGGATAACCTTAAGGAAGGTGGGGAGGGGCTAGAATGGGGCACCAGAATGAGGGTGAGCATGAGGGCAATATGAGTAAGCCTGACCCTCATTTCTCTTTGCTCCCAGGTTTGGGTACCCGGACCCCACCTACCTGACCCGGGTGCAGGAGGAGCTGAGAGCCAAGGGCATCACGGATGACTGAAGGACAGCCCCTCCAGTAGGACCCAATGGAAGCCTCTGTTCTTTCTCCCTCTGCCCCCCTCGCCGCTCTAGCGGGGACTGTCTGACCGGGGACGGAGTTTGCAGAGGGAGGGGCGATCCCTTCCCCAGCCCCCCACCGGCCGAGCGCTTCTGTGCAGTGTGAGCCACTCCCTGCTGGCAGAGGCGCCGTCCCAGGCTCTGCTCGCCTCCTCCGCGTGTACATACTCCCAGCCGCCCTGCCCCCTCCATTGCCCTTGGCTTTTTCTGGTATGTGCGGTGCTCCAGGGACTGCTGAGAAAGGGCCTGGGTGGGAAGGGAGGGTCTTCGGAACCTCCCACCCGCACACCCCGCTGAACTTCTGTGCAGGGGGAGGGAGCCGGCTGCAGGGAGCACCCTGGAGCCGGCTGCGTGCGTTCTTGAGTCCATTCCCCCTTCGCCCTGAGCCTCGTCCTTTCTCTCCTGTCTCTCTGTCTCTGTCAGTCTTTCTCCCGCTCTTCTCTGCCCCCTATAAGGAGCCTCCTCATCCCCTTCTGGAATCGCCGCCAGACTGTAGCTTTTAATTTAATAAAAATAAAGTAAAATATGCAACTCTATGCCGCGCCCCTTCTGTTCTGCGGGCCGGGGTAGGCATGGGGTGGTGGGGGGGGGGCGGTCTGGACCTGCTGAGAAGGGGCGGGGGCGGTGATGGGGCGCTCCCGGGGAGCCCCGCCAGGCTGCCTGCCTCCGGAGGGCCTGGGACAGCGGCAGGCACTCAGTGGGCTCCAGGATAACAGCGAACCCCTGGATCGTGCTTCGACGGAGGACTTGGGATTAACAGAGGTTTGTTTGTTGTCTAACGCCGGTTGCAGAGAAAGCGACAACCCTACCCCTTCAGAAAAGTTTGGCTGGGGTGGGAGTGGGGGCGGAGCCGGGAAGGGGGGCGGATTCGGCAGCGGCAACTCCCCGGACGCACGCAGGCCTCAGAGCCCCCCAGCTTCCGTGCCCCCTCGGCTCTGAAACTTGGAGGAGGGTAGGGGTCCAGCATGAAGCCCCCGGATCGCCCTGGCCCTGGCCGCACTGACCGGATACTGGGGGTCATGGGGGGCATGCTGCGCGCATGCGCCCTACCCGGGCAGGAGGGGGTAAGAAGGGGGACAAAGGTGGGGTCGGGGTCTTTAGCGGGCTTCAGGACGGCTGCACCCCACAACTCAATATACCCGCAGACAAGAATTCTGCGGAGTAGTCGCAGGAATTCAAGAGTTCCATTAAGAGGAGCGTAGGCATGTTTTTGGGTGAACTAACTGCTCTCTCCACCCTAGCCTCGGCGACCCTTTTGTAAAGAGTGGGTTTTGACAGAAGGGGAAGCGGGAGGTGGAGGCTGGGCGTGGAGGGCTGGTTCCTTACGACTGCTCTGTACCCGCAGCCCTCGAAGAGAAGCCCCCTAGGGCCGGGGGGTACCGAGCCAGAATCTAACTGGACGGAGGGGGATCAGAGAGGGGAGAGCGATCGTGAGGTCCCCGCCTGGGTTCCGCTGCTCGGTAAGAAGCTGGGGGTGGGGTGGCGCCCAGATTTACATCCTGCGCAAAGTGGCGAATTAAAAAATATGCTGCTTGTATTAGCATAAAGGTTCGCATCTAATTTGCATGAGACTCATAGAAACGTTGAGACCTCCACGCTTCTTCTCGCCCTCTAGTCGGCTGTGAGTCCTCCACCTCAGCGGGTCCCGAGCCCCGCTGGCGGAGTGTCCCCGCGCCCCACCCCTGGCCCCTCGCCAGCCCAGTCTCCAGGACTTCGCCTTAATTGGTGATTAGCCTCAGCTGGAGTCCCGGGGCCTGGAGGAAAGAAGGGTCCGGCGAGAGGGCGGCCCCTGGGCTGTGCTCCCCACAAAGAGCTCCCCATTCACGCACCCTCTACTGGGGGACCTTGTCCCCCGCCCGCCCTCCTCCCGCAAAGCTTGGGACAGTCCCAACCCCGGGACATCTTCGTGCAGGCCAAGGCCCCATCCGCCGCGCCCTTCTCCGCTGCAGAGGCCGAGGGGCCATCCTGGCAGACCCCGCCGCGGGGCTCAAGCCCCACCCCAGTGCTCCGCAGCCGGAGCCGGAGATGCGGGAGGGAGGGGGAACCCGGGGGCTGGGGAGCCCCGGCTAGAGGGGAGGGGCGGAGGCGCTGGGGACGTGGAGTGGGAACGTGGTGGTGCCTGGGGGAGGAGGGGTTCGGCTGAAGGGGGAACCGGAGGGAGAGGGCGGAGCTGGGCCGCGGAGGCCCCTCCCCGCGGCGGCCCGGCGGCGGGGCCTGTTATTCCTCTCGCCGCTCCGCCGGGACCCGCGCCGCGCCAGTGACTCGGGGAGTCGGCCCCCGCCTCCTCCTCTGCCCGGGCCTAGAACCACCCCCAATCCGAGAGGCCGGAGACGGAGCGGGAGCGGCTGCAGCATCCCGGCCCAGCTTCCTCCACCATCCCTCCCCTCCCCGCTGGACATCTGGACCACCCTGGGCCCCGCACCGGCTCCGGAAACCCTCCCCGCCCAGTTCGGCGGCTGGGCTCCGCGCCGCCCTCTCTGCAGAGCCCCCAGCCCTCTTCCAGACCAGACTTCCGCCTACCCCTGGACCCCCGCTCTCTATTCCCTCCCTCCCCCCCTCCCCCAGCCTGGAGCGGGGTAGGAGGGAGGGGGGGTGTGCACCCTGCGTCGTCCCCGCCCCCCGTGATTCCCCCTGCATGGCCGGCCCGGGTGGGAGGTGCGGGGGGGCCCGGGCGCCATGCGGGGGGGGCAAAAGGAGGGTCGCTGTGCCTGTCCCCATGTGATCCGAAAAGTGCTGGCAAAATGCGGCTGCTGCTTCGCTCGGGGGGGACGTGGTGAGTGTAAGGTTGCAAGGGCTCAGCGCTGAGTTGGGGGCGGGCTGAGGGGTTCAGGACTTGCGTTCGTCCCGGCCCTAGGGATTTAGAGGCTGGAGACTATACCTGTCTTTTCCAGGAGAGTGACTTAATAGCTGATCTCAAAGATTCTTCTCTGCCTTCATTTCTATCAGTTCAAGTTAAGGAAATTGGGGAAGGGGCAAGGGACTTCTCTCAACTGGGTAGGAGAAGAACCCATTCATAATCCCCTTAGGCCTAGAACCACATCTACCTTCAAATCCTTTTGCTGAAAACCGACTTCAGATCTGTAGAGGGATGGGGGGGCGGGGTTAGGAATGAGGGATGAGGGGGCTACCAGGGGCTCTTTGACAAATCTCAGCTCCTCTGTCCCGGAGCCAGGCCAAGGATAACTCTGATGAGCTCTCCTCACTTGCCCCCTTTGTTGGGTTTGTGCTCCTGTTGGGGAGGTGGGCTGCAGAAGTCTTTCCTTCTTATAGGGGTTACTGCAGCTGGTGGAGGAGGGGTCTGGGGATGGCAGATGGGCTCTTAGCTCTTTTTGTCCCCCCTTCAAGGAGAATGGTCTGTCCCCAGTGCAAGGGGGAGGGTTACAGGAGAGCAGATGGCCACCCCCAGCCTCCAATGTGCCCAGATGGCTGCCCCCACTGCCATGCTCAGATGTGAAGGAGCCCCCACATGTAACTGGGGGTGCCGAGCATAGGGAGCCGGGTGTTTACTGTCCTTCCCCCCAAGGGTGCCCTGGTGAAATTTTCTTCCTGGCCAAGTCAAGTGAGGATGGCGAGAGAGTGAGCCCTGGGGGAGAGGGGCCGAGCATCACAGAATGGAGCTTCTGGGAGCTCCCTGGGGACCCCGAATCTGGAGCTGAAGCAACATGTCATTCCCTTTCTCCACCCCCACCCCCACCCCATCAGAGTCCTACTCTATTGCTGGCAGTGAGGGGAGTATCTCGGCTTCGGCTGCCTCGGGTCTGGCGGCCCCCTCTGGCCCCAGCTCTGGTCTCAGCTCTGGCCCCTGTTCCCCGGGCCCCCCACGGGCAGCCAGTGGCCTGAGAAGATGGTTGGATCATTCCAAACACTGTCTCAGTGCGGAGACTGAGGCAGATAGCGGCCGGGCTGGACCACATGAGGTGAGCAGGGCCCCGCAGAGGCATGAAGGACGTCCACAAGGAGCGCCGGGAGAGGGCGGTTGGTGCCACTGGTCATGGGGAGACACAGCTACTGTCCCTGACCTTTGAGACTTGACCTTTGGCCCCTAGAACTGGATGCTGGAACCAGCCCTCGCCACAGGAGAGGAGCTGCCAGAACTGAACCTGCTGACCACATTGTTGGGGGGCCCCGGGGATAAGACACAGGTATGAAGAAATAAGGGCTTCCCAGATAGCTCAGTGAGAAAGAATCTGCCTGTCAATGCAGGAGACACAGAGGAGTTGTGGGCTGGATCCCTGGGTCGGGAGGATCTCCTGGAGAAGAAAGTGGCAACCTATTCCAGTATTCTTGCCTGGAAAATCCCATGGACAGAGGAGCATACGGGGCTATGGTCCATGGGGTTGCAAAGAGTTGGACATGACTTAGAGACTAAGCGTACATGAAATATGTCTGGGGTGGCTTCCCTCACCCAAGGGCCATCCATTCGCTTACTCTGACATGTTCTTCCTTCCAGCCCCCTGAAGAGGAGACTTTGTCCCAAGCCCCTGAGAGTGAAGAGGAGCAGAAGAAGAAGGCTCTGGAAAGGAGTATGTAAGTGTCTACACTCTCTCCCTGACCTCCCCCCTCCAATCACATAACTTGCGGAGGACCATCTCTCACATTTTAGATTTGAGACTTGGGATTTCCTCCGAGGTTGGCCGTGGTAATGAAGGGGCTCCTAGTCCAGGAGAGAGGAAGTGGCTAAACGTGTTCTCTCCCCAGGTATGTCCTCAGTGAACTGGTGGAGACAGAGGAGATGTACGTGGACGACTTGCGGCAGATTGTGGAGGTAGCTCCCTTCTCCCTTCCCAGCTCTGGCCCAGCCCTTCCCCTCTTCCCAGGGCTATGTTAGGAGGTGCTTCGTTGCTCCTCGGTCCCACCTCCCCAGTCTCCCAGACTTCCTAGACTTTTTGAGGTTCCCACTAGGATGGGCCCCACACACTCCTGCTCCCACCCCACCTTCCCACAGGGTTACATGGCAGCCATGGCTGCTCAGGGGGTACCCGAGAATCTTCGAGGTCGTGACAGGATTGTGTTTGGGAACATCCAGCAAATTTATGAGTGGCATCGAGAGTAAGTGATGGATCCCCTGAGAGCAAGGGGGAGGGGCATACGTCGGGCGGCCTCTGTGTCCTCCGCATGGGCCCACGGTGGCCTGAGGAATGTCTGGAGAGACTTCCTGGGGAACACTACGGGGCAGACAGCGCTAACTTGCCTGGGATGGGGTATTTGACCTGCCTTTCCCTGTCTACCCCTCCAGCTATTTCCTGCGGGAGCTGCAGCGCTGTTTGAAGGATCCTGATTGGCTGGCTCAGCTATTTATCAAGCACGTGAGGCTTGAGGGCGTGGCGTCCAGAAGGGGAGGGGCTTGGGAGTGGATCAGGCCTCACTACCTTGACCCTTTCTTAAAATTTACCCGTTAGGAGCGCCGGCTGCACATGTACGTGGTGTACTGTCAGAATAAGCCCAAATCAGAGCATGTGGTATCAGAATTTGGGGACAGCTATTTTGAGGTCAGTGGCTGAGGTACTTTGGGGAAAGGGGACAGAATCGTCAGTACGAGCGGGCTTTCCAGGCTGCAAAACCACCCCGTCTGTCCCTGTCCCCAGGAGCTCCGCCAGCAGCTGGGGCACCGCCTGCAGCTCAACGACCTCCTCATCAAACCAGTGCAGAGGATCATGAAATACCAGCTGCTGCTCAAGGTCAGGGCCACCTGTTTCCTGGGGGGCACAGCAGGTCGGGACAACCTTTTCTTCATTCATCTCCCCAGGGTTTCTGAGGCTCCCCCTCGACCTCCTGGGGGCCCTCACCTGTGTCCTCAGGGCAGGGTGTGAGGGGTCTTGAGGATGTCCTCGTGACCTCCCTGAGAATTTCTTTTCTGTGTCTTAGGATTTCCTCAAGTATTATAGGAGAGCTGGGATGGATACTGAAGAGCTGGAGGTGAGGGCTCCCATGTCTCATAGGACACACCAGTCACACCTATCTTCTTAGTCTCCTGGGTTCCTTTATAGCGCTGTCTGGTTTATAGGGGGAGGCTGGTTGAAGAGGTCTGAAGAGGCCTCTTTCCCAACGTTGACAACGCTCCTCTCTTTACCTGCGTCCCAGCAAGCGGTGGAGGTCATGTGCTTCGTCCCCAAGCGCTGCAATGACATGATGACCCTGGGGAGACTTCGGGGGTTTGAGGTACGGGGATGGAGCAGAGTTCTTGGCCCCAGGCTGAGCCCTCGGGAGTCCCTACGGGGAGCTGTCCTCCTCTCCTGGGGTTGACTGGAGCTGGCTGGTCCGAGTGTCAGGGGAAGGAGGGAGGAGCAGAGAGTTGCCCCCTCTTCTCTTCTGGTTTCTCTCAAAGGCCACTCTCCTGTGGTTGTAGGGCAGACTGACTGCTCAGGGGAAGCTCTTGGGCCAGGACACGTTCTGGGTCACGGAGCCGGAGGCTGGGGGGCTGCTCTCTTCCCGGGGCCGAGAGAGGCGTGTCTTTCTGTTCGAGCAGATCGTCATCTTCAGCGAGGCCCTGGGAGGAGGAGTACGAGGTGGAGCGCAGCCTGGTTATGTGTACAAGAGCAGCATCAAGGTGGGGAGGGGTCTGACTGGGGTCAGGGAGGCCTCTGAGAGGACGTCTGGCTCTGGGATATTTGTTGGAGGGGGCAGGATCCAGAGTAGGGGCTGAAGAATTTGGGGGCTGCCTCCTCTTTGCCAATCCAGGTGAGCTGCCTGGGACTGGAGGCGAACCTCCAAGGTGACCCTTGCCGGTTTGCACTGACCTCCAGAGGACCAGAGGGTGGGATCCAGCGCTACGTCCTGCAGGCTGCGGACCCTGCGGTCAGTCAGGCCTGGATCAAGCAAGTGGCTCAGATCCTGGAAAGCCAGCGGGACTTTCTCAATGGTGAAGCTCAGCACCTCACTCCTTCCCATCCTCTCTCAGCCCTTTGATCTCCCGAATCTCTCCCTGCCCAGTCTCTGATCCCTGCCCTCTCCCCTCATCTCCACTTTTCCACTGCTAACTCAAGATTGAGTAACTCAGAATCCCCCTAAAGCCTCAAGCAGCTCACGTTGGCTGACAGTCCTTGGGCGGGGAGGGCAGAGTGGGAGAACATGGCCTGAGCAGAGTCCCTGGAGAGGGGGTGTCTCCACTGTAACCCTCCTTCTGTGCCTCTCTGCTCCAGCGCTGCAGTCGCCCATTGAGTACCAGAGACGGGAGAGTCAGACCAACAGCCTGGGGCGGCCAGGAGGGCCTGGGGTGGGGAGCCCTGGGAGAATTCGGCCTGGAGACCGGGCCCAGTTCAGCACACATACACCCATCAATGGCTCTCTCCCGTCCCTGCTGCTGTCGCCCCAAGGGGAGGTGGCCAGAGCCCCCCTGCGCCCGGACACGCAGGTATGAGGAATGAAGCTCCCTGGCTGTGAGGGCAGAATGTGGAGGGCCTCCCTCTCGGTTCCGGGTCCCCAAACCCCCATATCATTCTTTTCTTCCACCGCCTTCCTTTTGTCTGCCCCTTCCTACTTCCCAGCTCTTGCCCTCCCCAACTCCAGTTTAACCCTGGGAGACGCTGATGGTCTCAGATGATCTAAGATGTCTGGCAAGAGGGCGTGACTCGGGGCTTACACTGACAAGACAGGAGTGAGGGTGGATGCCTGAACTTCTTTGATTCTCCGACTTGAGTCTCTTTTCAGGCCCCCAGTGCCACCCCCCAGGCTCCTCATGACCCTCCTCCAGTTCCACCAGTTCCAGACACTCCTCCCTGCCGAGCCAGACTCGCCAAGCTGGATGAAGATGAGCTGTAACTGGTGAAGGCCACGGGGGTGGTGCTGACTCAGCCACTCTGTTCCCCAGGAACTTCAGGGCAATCCTTCGGCACCGCTCCAGAATTCCTCCCTCTTGGTGTGTCTGGAGGGTGGGCAAGGCTGGGAGTGGTGTCAACTTGGAGGAGGGCACCTAGATTCAGAAAGACTTCTTTCTGCCCAAGGAACACAGGTTCCTTCAGCTCCCACCCCTATGCATGCATCACAGGTCCCCCCAAAAGGAGGATATGTGGGTGGGTGGGTGGGAGGGCTGGGGCAAGGGCCAGATAGAAATGACTGGTTTTGTTTTTGATTTTTCTGTTTTCTGAGAATAAAGGTTTTGTTATATCACTAAAGCTGCTGTCTTAGCAGAGGGAAGGGGAAGCTGAAGTTGGGGTAAAGGAGTGTGGAAGAGATCAGATGGCCCCTCAAATCAGTCGTTGGAGGCAGGGTCTGGTGAAAGGAGAAGGGTGCAGGATGTAAGATTAAAAAAATGTAGTTATCTCTGTCCCTCACTTGCAGCTGCAGCATCTCTCAGTCTGGGTCTTGGGGCTACAGGAAAACCCTAGAAGCTTGCATCCTCCCTTTTACCCAGCCCCTTTCCCTCCTGTCTGGTCTCTGTTCTAGACGCCACTGGGAAAGCCTGCTGTGGGCTGACTTCCCACCGTTCCCCCAACACCCAGATGCCAAAGCACTGAATGCCCACGGTACCTTTCTGAGGCCACCATGCTCAGCTGAGGGAACATGGGGAGGTGGAGAGGATGCTGGGGGGCTCTGGCCCCTTCTGGCTCTGGGTCCCCTTATTTTTGCTGTCTGGGAGGTCGCAAAGCATATCCATATTGAGCAGGAAGGGATTCTTCTTCAAGCCATAGACCTAAGAGTGGAGGTCTTCACCCCTCCCAACTTCGGGGGCAGCCCCCGGGACCGAGACCCGCAGGTGCAGAGACTCGCGTCCAGATGCCCTGTCCTGCCTGGGTCCTTGGGCATCGGTGTGTCCACTGTGTCCATTCGTCCCCTGGGCCCAGTCACGCGTACTTCAGCTTCCTCAGCAGACAATAGACTGCTGGGGTGGGAGGCTGAGGAGGAGCTGGAGCCTCCCTGTGGGCCTGAGGTCTCTCTGGCCACAATGGGGGGAGGGACCTCTAAGGGGGGGACAGGACGCACAGCCCAGATAAGACTTCTGGGGAACAATAGGAGGAATTGAAGAGGGGAGACCCACCCTCACTGCACCCCACACCCAGGGCTTTGGGGTCAGGGACTAGGGACCAGAGGGTGATGGGGAGGGGTGCTAAGAATTCTTGTGCATGGAGGAGGGGATGGGGCAACTGGCAGGATTCTGGTGCTCAAAAGCTTTGTACCTCTTCAGGGACCTCAGGGGTACATGACGTGGGTGGGCGACCCTTTCGTACTTAATTTAACCACATACGTATTGTTGACTGCCTACTTTGTGAATAGCACTGGAATGCAATAAATAGTGCTTCAGTGTTTTTGCCTTTCTGAGCCATAAAATCAAAACTTGCTATCTGTTCAGTATTCCCCCCTGAGGCCCTGAATTGGGAATTCGGGCCCAGCCACTCCCAGCAGAGGTGTGGGGTGGGAGGTCCCTCAAGGGAGGGATTGGATAGGGAGGTCCCTATCCAATGCATGTAGCTGCTTCCCATCTAGGTGGTCTGTGAGACAGCTGAGGCCAATGGAGCCCCTTACACTTTCTGGTGAGAAGCTCTGCCCGTGAGAATTAGGGTCTGGGGGGAGAAAGGGAGGTTGGAACACCGCTGAACTTTCTTGTGGGCCATTTTGCAGCCCTGAGGATGACCAGCAACCCCAGAGGAGTCAGCATCTGTCTGTGCCCCAGGTGCTAATGTGGAAAGAAACCACCGGAGTGAGAGGCGGGAGTCCAAAGACCTAGGAGCGGCAGTGGGTGTTGGGTGCGTTTCTTTTCTGGCCTATCTCTCTGGTTCCTCCACTGCAGGCTCCAGAGCCAGCGATCGGGCCAAGGATGTCTGAGGGAAACGCCTAACAGAGAGACGCCCCCTCCCCAAGGCGCAGCTGTCTCCTGACTGTAGAAGGTCCCCAAGAGAGGGCTCCCTCCGGGACGGGATTGGACTCTGCTCCAAGGAGGCGGGCCACGGGCCGGCGGGCCGAGGGGTATTTAAGGCTGGGCGGAGTTGGAGGTGGCCAAGGGCGAAATGAGTGGGCTACGGGGCGCCAGGACCTGCCCAGGTCCGGGAGAAGCCTCCGACCTTAAGTCCCCCCTGGGCGCCAAGTTCAGGGAACCTCTCACCGAGACCCGGTTCCAGCAGCTCTTCGGAGACGCAGAGCAGGAGCCCGAGCTGCTCGCGGAGCCGCGCTGGTCCAGGCTGTGGCGGCGGCGGGCCCGCGCCTGCTCCGGACCGGGGGCGTGGCGCCTGCTGCTGGCGCGGCTGCCCCCGCTGCGCTGGCTGCCCCACTACCGCTGGCGGGCCTGGCTGCTCGGGGACGCGGTGGCCGGACTGACCGTGGGCATCGTGCACGTGCCCCAGGGTGAGCGGCCCCAACACCAGCCTGGCAGGGGCCCAAGCTCTAGGGGGCTTCGGGTGGGCACAGGGCCCGGCAACCGGGAGCGAAGCGGGTGGGCTCGGCGACAGGGACCCGAGGCCCAGTTCTGGGTAAGGCCGGTGGAGCGCCATCAGATCCCCACCCCCAGCTCCCCTCATCTGTGCAATCCTGCGCGAAGTCTTGGCCACGGTCCGGCTCCGGGAACTGGAGAGATCTCTCAGCTTGAACGCCTGCCCCCCCAGGATGCCCCCCCTAGATGCAGACACGGATCTCTGACCTTGACCGCCCCACGACCTCCCACCCACCGAGGCCTGTTAACCCCTGAGTTCCCTCCTGTGGTGTGAAGTAGCTGCCTGTGCCAGCCTCCAAGAGTGCGGGAGGGGAAAAGCAGTCCCGGAGGGCGGGCCCCCAGCCCCTCACCCACACACCGAAGACCTTCCCTTCCACCACGCCCCCAGGCATGGCTTTCGCCCTCCTGACCTCTGTGCCCCCAGTGTTCGGACTCTACACTTCTTTCTTTCCCGTCCTCATCTACACCTTGCTGGGTACTGGGAGACACCTGTCCACTGGTGAGTGACCCACACACTCCTTTCCCTCTCTGTAGGGTGAAATGGACAGGGGGTTGAGGCTTTCCTTCTTAGAAGCTCCCTCTCTTACTCCCCTCTTCAGCCCCTCACCTTCCTTTCCCCCATCCCCTGCCGGACTGCCCTGAGCCTCTGACCTAGGCAGTGCCTGTTGGGGGTTTGGGGGGTGGTGGTGCAAAGAGGTGGGAGTTTACTCGGACTTTTCCTCTCCTTGAAATCTGGTTTAAAAGAACATCTCTACGACTTGAAAGAGGGGAAAAGAGATGCACTGTCACCCAGAGGAGGGCGTAGTCCGCAGAGCATCCGCAGAGCATCCGCAGGAGGGGCAGGGATGCAGTTGGGGGGGGGGGGGCAATTTCTCACAGTCGGGTGCTCCCTGGTTTCCTCGCTCCCCGCTGGATCCGGCTGCTGCCCCAGCTCTTGGCCCCGCAGTCCACCTGAGCAGCCAGCCTTTCGGAGAGGCGGTCCGACAGCAGCCTTTCTGGCAGTGCCCAGAGCCTGGCCAGCACATCTGGGGATCTGTGCGTTTCTCCCCTGGCCCTAGGAACTTTCGCTGTCCTCAGCCTCATGACGGGCTCGGCCGTGGAGCGGCTGGTGCCCGAACCCCTCTCGGGGAACCTGAGCGCAGTTGAGAGGGAACAGTTGGATGCTCAGCGGGTTGGTGCGGCTGCGGCAGTGGCCTTCGGGAGCGGGGCCCTGATGGTGAGGGAGGACCGGGGTGGGGTAGGGAGGAAGGCCTGGGGGGAGTCCACGCTGGGGGCCAGGGGAGAGGGAGGGACAAGTGTCCAGCGGCGGTCTAGGCAGAAGAGGTGCGCGGAGAAGCCGGTGGCCCTAGGCCGGGACTGGCCTGCCCTTCTCCCGTGGTGATCCGGGCATCTCCTCTGCAGCTGGGGATGTTCGCGCTGCAGCTGGGCGTCCTGGCCACCTTCCTGTCGGAGCCTGTCGTCAAAGCGCTGACCAGCGGGGCCGCCCTGCACGTGCTGGTGTCGCAGCTGCCTAGCCTTTTGGGGGTGCCCCTCCCACGGCAGATCGGCTGCTTCGCTCTTTTCAAGGTGGGGGCGGGAGAACAGCGAGGATGCTTCCAGGGGTCCCGGGAAGAGGGAAACCCGCCAAGGAAGGAAGGAGGGCCAGTGGAGGGCCCGTGTGTGGTGGTGGGGGCGGGCAGTGAGAGTCGCCGAGGAGGTGGGAGCCCTTCTGGGAGCCAGGAGAGAAGGCCTGGCCTCAGTCTGGGCATCAGGACTGCCGGCAGTCGACCCTGGCCCCAGGCCCGTCTGCTCACTGCCCTGCCTACAGACGCTGGCCGCCGTGCTGACAGCGCTGCCCCGGAGCAGTCCCGCCGAACTGACCATCTCGGCGCTCAGCCTGGCGCTGCTCGTGCCGGTCAAGGAGCTGAACGCGAGGTTCAGAGACAGGCTCCCCACCCCCATCCCGGGGGAAGTCGCCATGGTGAGGACGGCCCCCGGGCGCCAGCCCCGCGCGCCGCGCAGACCCCGCTTGCCCTGTAGGAAGTGGCCGCGGCCGCCCCCTCGCGGAGCGCGGAGAGCGGTCCTGCTCAGACGTGCGCTTCGCCAGAGGCGTCTTCTCGGAACGCTGTGAGCCTCGGGAATCCCCCACCTCGGGTTCGCCTTTCGCACCGAGCCTCTAAGGAAGCCCTCCTTCTCCTTACAGCGCCCCCTTGCGGTGTCGGTTGCCACAGCACCTCCACTCCCGTCTTTTCTCTCCGCTCACCGGGCCTTGGTAACTCAAGGCTCACCTCCCTCCCTTCCGGCGTCCACCTACATTTCTCTCTCTCAGTTAAACAGCATCCCACACATATTGCACAGATACCCCACACGTCCCTAGATGTAACCCAGCTTCCCTGCTTAGAATGGCTCGGTTGTACCTCTCGATATCCACCATCCCTCCTAGCAGTCCCCTCTCACTTCCTCTGGCCCATCTCTCTCCATAGTTCCAGGCACACATCATTTCTCTTTCCTTCATTCTTTTTTTTTTTTAACTGCTGCATGGCTTGCAGGGTCTCAGTTCCCCGACACCAGGGACTGGACCGACTCCTTAGAGCAGAGTCCTACCCACTGGAGAACCAGGGAATTCCCTCTCCACTCTGAAGCAGTTGTCAGGCACCCATCCCAAACACACCCCTGCTCCCTGCGTTGCCGGGCTCCTGCAGCCGCGATCCTGAGCACAGGCCTCTCCCACTGAGTCCCTTCTGGCCTCAGTGGGGGCCATCTCCACCCACGCGCCAGTTTGCTCTTTTCCAGGTGCTTCTGGCCTCTGTGCTGTGCTACGCCTCTTCCCTGGACACAAGATACAATGTCCAGATAGTTGGGTTGCTGCCCAGAGGGTAAGAGAGAGGGGGAAAGCACTTGTGTTCTTTTCTCACAACTCTCCCACCCAACGCCCCCTCCTGCTCTGTCCTGCACTATTTCCTCTCTCTTCCTCATATCCTTATTATTCCCAACCCACCCTCACCGTAGGCTCCCTCTTCCTCCAGATTTCCCCAACCTCTCCTCCCCAGCCTGGCGGAGCTGCCCAGGATTCTGGCCGACTCGCTGCCCATGGCGCTGGTTACCTTTGCGGTGTCTGCCTCCCTGGCCTCCATCTATGCCGACAAGTACAGCTACACTATTGACTCCAACCAGGTGTGACTGCGTGAGGACCCCAGCCTCGTTCGGGAGACAGACAGCCCCCGAACGTGATCCCCCCTCCTAGCCGTGCCTTCGTCTCTCTCCTCTTCATCTCACTGCATCCTTCTAGGAGCTCCTGGCTCACGGCGTCTCCAACCTCGTCTCCTCCCTCTTCTCTTGCTTTCCCAACTCTGCCACGTTGGCTACGACCAGCCTCCTAGTGGATGCTGGTGGGAACACACAGGTAAGAGCCTTGTTCTTGGGTGAGGAGAAGCAGGGAGGGACATCCATGCTGGGTGGTGGTGGAACAGGTGGAAGATTGGAAGACACCCAGGTGGCAGTCCTGTAGAGGATGATGGGGATCTGTGAGGGAAGGTGAGTGGGCAGCTGGGATCGTCTGGGAAGAACATAGAGAAGAAAGGTTCGTTAAGACCTCTGTAGATTCTAAGCACTGAGAAAGGGCATGTAGTTCAAGATAAGGACAATACTAATCTGGAAAATAAATTTAAGAAACAAAATTCTGGACTCTTTCCTTGTGAGGACATATTCTTTTTCAAAGAAATGTCACATATTTAAGTCTCTCCCTAATATTTTTGGTTTCCTGTATTTGTTGGTGTCCTAAGCAGGTGGTTAGCCTGCTTTTTAGGGTCATCCAACAGTGGGCTTTTAAAATGGAGGTAGGGCTCTTTCTGCCATCTTTCCGTGCCATCAGAATGGTGCGATTGAATGTCCTGGCTGATGCTCTCAAGAGTATCAACAATGCCGAAAAAAGAGGCAAATGCCAGGTCCTTATTAGGCCGTGCTCCAAAGTCATCATCAGGTTCCGAACAGTGATGATGAAGCATGGTTACATTGGCGAATTTGAAATCACTGATGATCACAGGGCTGGGAAAATTGTTGTGAACCTCACAGGCAGGCTAACTAAGTGTGGAGTGATCAGCCCCAGATTTGATGTACAACTCAAAGATCTAGAAAAATGGCAGAATAACCTGCTCCTGTCCCGTCAGTTTGGCTTCATTGTACTGAAAACCTCAGTTGGCATCAGGGACCATGAAGAAGCAAGAGGAAAACATACAGGAGGGAAAATCCGTGGATTCTTTTTCTAGGGATGTAATACACACAAATAAAATGCCTCAGAGGACTAAAAAAATAATAAAAAAATGGAGGTAGGCTACAAAAACAGGGATGTTGAACTATATCTTGGGGGAACCAACAAATGACAGGTGTTAACTGGGCGAGGGGGAAAGCAGGGCTTGCAGAGAGAGGAGCAGCAGCGTGGAAGGGGGTTTGGGGAGGAGGGGAGAAGGCTGCCGCAGAGGCAGGAGGCCGTCTCTCACAGCGGCGGGGGGGCCCCCCGCCTCTGCCCCTCTGCCCCCGCCCCCCAGCTGGCGGGCCTCTTCTCCTGCGTGGTCGTGCTGTCTGTGTTGCTGTGGCTGGGGCCGCTCTTCCACTATCTGCCCAAGGTGAGCAGCAGAGCGGGCGGAGGCACGGCTGGGGGGGCGGCCACCTCCCCACACATGGGGGCGGTCAGCCTGCCTCCTCTGCCCTCAGGCTGTCTTGGCCTGCATCAACATCTCCAGCATGCGCCAGATGTTCTTCCAGATGCGAGAACTCCCTCAGCTGTGGCGCATCAGCCGCGTGGACTTTGTGAGAAATGGCAGCGTGGCTCTCAGATGCCCCCTCCCACCTTCCTAGCGTCCCCGGCCTCTGCCCTTGATCAGAGCTCACTGTCCCAGTCCTGAGCTCTGCGGCCTACCCACCCTCGACTTCTGTACCTCCTAATGCCTTTACTCAGAGACATGGTGAAGGGTAAAGCCCGAACCTCTTCAGACCTGAGCATTTGTAACCCCCCAGGTGGTTCCGGGCGTGAGGTCCTCACACTTGCTGTGTATCCCCTATTAGGCCAACCTCACCCCTTCCTCCTGTCATTCTTTCTTTCTCCCGGGCCCTCCCTCCCCGTCGTTTGCCCTGGCAGTCACCTCCCCGGGGCCCTCCTTCCCTGGCAGTGAGGGCCGGGCATTTCTTCCGGGCACTTCACCCCCGCCCGTGTCCTGCAGGCTGTGTGGACGGTCACATGGGTGGCCGTCGTTGCCCTGAGAGTGGACCTGGGCCTGGCTGTAGGCGTGCTCTTCTCCCTGATGACTGTGATCTGCCGCACCCAGAGGTGGGAGCAGAGATGAGGGGAGTCGAGAGGAGAGGAGGGGAGAGAAGAGAGTGCTTGGGGCGACTCTCCAGCCAGATCAGGCTGGGAGTCTGACCCCCGCTTCCTGCCCAGGGTACAGTGCCTGGCACTTGGACTGGCTGAGGGGACAGAGCTCTACAGGCCACTCAGAGAGAGCCGCAAGGTGGGTGGGCTACAGCCAAAGAAGGAAGGGGAGACTAGACTTGGATGTTTCGCTGACCCGCTGACCCCTTAGCTCCTCCAGGTTCCGGGGCTCTGCATCCTGAGCTATCCAGCACCGCTTTACTTTGGGACCCGGGGGCAGTTTCGCCGCATCCTGGAGTGGCATCTGGGGCTTGGAGAAGGAGGCAAGGTGAGGGACCTGGTCAAAGGGAAGTGTGGCTTCTTTGGGGCTGGGAGGCAGGTGGGTGTTCCAAGGGGGATCCTTGGGGTTCACTGGGTGCACGTCTGTGCTCGTGACTCAGAGGTCGTGACTCCCCTTCTCTACTCACAGGAGGCTCCAAAGACAGATGGCCCACCTGGTGCAGGTGAGGTGGGAGGGTAAGGAGGGAGATTTGGCGCCACCCACGGAGGCATCTGAGTGCTCCTGCCGTCTCCCATTCTAGTTGCCGAGCCTGTCAGGGTGGCGGTCCTAGACTGCAGTGGTGTCACCTTTGCAGACGCTGCAGGGGCCAGAGAGGTGGTTCAGGTGAGCGAGACAGTAGGCTCAGGAGGAAGCCCCCTTGTGGTTTCATGAACACCCTCTGATATAGGACTTAAGTCCCTCCCCCACCTGCACCCCCACCCCCACAGCTGGCCAGTCGATGCCGGGATGCTGGGATCCACCTCCTCCTGGCTCAGTGTAACGGTGAGACGTGCAGGCTGGAGGGGTCTGTCTGGAGACAGGGGGGTGACCGGGCACTTGGCGGGGAGGGAAGAGGACACAGTGTGGACGCAGGACCGGAGGCCTGACCCCCTCTCCGCACAGCCTCAGTGCGGGGGACGCTGACCCAGGCAGGACTCCTGGACAGAGTGACCCCAGAACAGCTGTTTGTGAGTGTCCAGGATGCGGCTGCACACGCCCTGGAGAGGCTGGTGAGGCCGCAGTAGCAATGGGAGCGGGAGCTGGGAGGGGCTGGCCTATGGGAGGGGGGTTTGAGTCAGTGACTGAGACCCCGGCAGAGGGGTGTTCGAAGGGGGCTCAGGAGGAAGGTGAAGGAAAGGGATGGGGATGAAATGATTAGTCAATGTAAGACCAAGCTGGGGAGACTGGGCCCAGCTGTGGGCGAAGAACTGAGGAACTAAAGTTCCAAGGCAGGCAGTGTGCCCCTGAGAGGACTGCCAAATGGTGGGTGAGGGAGGGGAGCACCGATTCGACTTCTGGCTTGTCCCTTCCCTGTTCCAGGAGCTCAGTGGTCCGAAGACTTGCACAGTGTGGGTCTGACCCGGTCATCTGGTGCGTGGCGGGCCGCGGCCCCTGAGCCCCCTGACGTCATGTAACTAATAAAATGAAGCTGAGAGCCTCTGGGGTTCATGAAATGAGTCTGGGTGTCTGCACATGGACCCTCGGTGCCCTTCCTCCACTCCCAAAGCATTGCAAAGACACAGCTAAGAATGGCTTTCCCCTGTGTGTTCAGCAGCCCCCATTCCAACTGCGTTCTTTCCATGGGGGTGAGGCTGCAGCCAGTGCGGAGTCCTGGATCCAGAGAGCGGGGCACAGCCCTGGGGCTACATAGGGGGCTTCCCCAACCCCTCAGTACCAAGGAGGCGAGAGGAGAGGATTTCTGCTTTAGGTTTTTAGAGGCCCCCTTTGGGCTCTTTGGCACTTGAAAAGCAACCCCCCACTTCCTGCCCTAGGGGAAGGGGTAGGGGGGGAGGACTTGGCACTGGCTGTGGGACAAGTTATGGCTCCATCATGCCCCTGGGCACTTGCAGAAAGGAGTGACACCAGGACAAGTCCCTGTTTGGGATCAAGTTCTGAAGGAGACGGGGACAGTCAGCGGAGTGGTCACTGGCCGGTGGGGTTTGCTAGGAATTCCTGGCAGGGACAAGGAGGCAGGCCAGTCTGACAGCCGAAAGGCCCCAGGTGGCCATCACTCTGAGGTCATGCACTGGAGCCGGTGTTTGAAGAACAGCAGGCGATGTTTGGCCACCTGACTCTCATCCAGCGATCCTGGGTAACGGTAGCGAGCGTAAGTCTCTGCCTTCGCATCCCTTGAGGTCCAGGGCAACTTCAACTTGGATGCGTGGTCCACAACGACGTCTGAGCAGGAGCCCACTTGAAGAGAACCGAGTCCATCCAGGAAGAATTCTGGGGGCAGAGGGAAGGGGAGTACACAGTGAAGGGTCTTGAGGATACAGAGGCACCGCTGCCGCTGAAGGAGAACTGAGATTTGGGATATGGTGGGTGCATATGCAAAGACTCCATTTCTAAGGACCTTGGGCATGTAAATCAACCCTTCTGAGTCTTGTATAAAATGGGAGTCAATATCCTTACCTTGTGCTTTGAAAATTGATTCCCTCCCTCCCACAACACCCCCCCTCCCCCCCTCCCCGGCCAAAATTCAATAAATGCCGACTTGGCTGCTCCGAGGTGGCCTGAACTAGGAGATTCGGTTGGGAGCAGGATAGAGGCCGAGGTGCCAGTGTTGGGGAAGCTCAAGGCAAGACCCAGTGGCTGCACTGGCCGCTGTTTAAATGATGTTTGGGGCTGGGATGTTTGGGGCTGTCTCTGTGGCTGGGTCACAGGTCTTGGTAAATCTTCGTAGAACTGCTCTAGGGACCCCGGCGGCAGCTGTGGCCTCCGCGGGGTGGTCGGGCAGTAGCACCCGGGGTCCCAGGCACCTGACTGCCCCACCACCCCGCGGTCCCTGGGCCCGAGCCCCGAAGGGTCCCTGCCCGGCCGGGAGGGGGCGCCACTCACCCAGGTGCGCCACGCGGCTGAGGCGCGGGTCAAAGCCGACCTCGCGCACCTTGTCAGTGCGCGCCAGGAAGAAGTTGACCACGCCGTCGGTGACCACGCACCCCGGGAAGCCGACGAGCTCGTGGTGGAAGCCGCGCTTCTGCCGGAGGCAGTTCCCGCGGCCTGGCGCGCCGGGCTCCACGCTCAGCAGCTGCCGGTAGGTGGTGGCGAAGCCGGAGATCTCGCGCACCGCGCCCCCGACCTGCCAGGGCGGGAGGGTGACTGCAGGCCGGCCGCGCACTGGAAGGGGTTAGGTCTGGGCCCCCTCTTCCCCTCCAGGGGGCTTCCCTGCTGGGTCCTTCCCGCCCCACCCCCGCCGGGCCCAGACGGTGGCCCAGGCCCGGCTTCCGTCCCCGGGCTGGCTGCTCGCGGTCTCCGGCCTCGGCCTGAGCCTGCCGGAAGCCCTCCTCCCACCGTCCCTCCCGCGGCCCCTCCGCTACCAGGTCCAGCGGCGTCCGCTCCAACACGTCCACAAGCCTCTCGAGCCGCGTCCGCGCCGTGAAGACGAAGTCATCGTCCACCCACAGCACGTACTTGGTGGTTACTTGGGATATGGCCAGGTTCCGGCCTGCGAACCAGCCCTGGGGAAGGGTAAGTACGGTTGGCGATGCTGTCGAGAGAGGACGCAGCCCTCTGCCACCTGTCCTCACTCCTGACCCCTCCCAACAGCCTGTCTGTGCCTGTGTCCTGCGACCGACTCTGCGACCCCGTGGGCTGTAGCTCGCCAGGCTCCTCTGTCCATGAGATTTCCCAGGCAAGAACACTAGAGTGGGTTGTCATTTCCTCCTCCAGGGGATCTTCCCTACCCAAGGATCCAACCTGCATCTGCGCGCGGATTCTTTACCAGTGAGCCACCTGCGAAGGCCCTCAACAGCCTGTGCCCCTCTGCAAACTTTGCAAGTGCTTAGGAATGGCCGGGAGCTACGTTTAAAAAAATGCAGTTTCCCACTGCCAGAGGCTCTGAGTGGGTCTTCAGTGGGAGAGTCTTGGAATGCATTTGATTCATGCGTTCATTCATTCATTCATCAACTATTTATTGAGCCCCCACTAGGTGCTGAGCACCATTCTAAGAAGGCAGCTCAAATAAGACAGCACGATTCCTGCTCCCGTGGAGCTTACATCTCAGAAATCCTCTGCTGGATTCACTACCCTGGAGACTGCGGACTGAGGGCATGCCCCCTCCCGGTGCCCTGTGGCTCTGCACCTTGCCAAAAGGCATGAGATAGTGCTCGATGTGGGGACCTCTGATGCTCTCTGGCTTGTCACTGTCATCGGCGATCACCACTGTGACCGTTGGGTAGAAGCGGCGGATGCTGGTGATGAGTGCCCGTAACCGATTGTAACGAAGGAAGGTCTTGGTGGCGATGGTGACCAGAGCGCTGATGTTGTACTGGGCTAGGAGTGAGGCGCAGATGGAGGTGCCGAGGAGAGTGGCGAGTGAGGGGAAGAACACCTCCCAGGGCCTCCCGCTTCCAACTTTCTTCCTGTCATGCTGGGTCTATGCCCCGGAGCATACCAGTCTCCCCTCCCTGGGGTTGAGACCCAGGTGGGTACAGCCGAGGGTTGGGTGGGTGTCTTATGCGGATGGTGAAGGCAGCTTCGTGTCCCTCAGTGGAGAACCGGACTGGGAAGAAAAGACATGAGATGTGGCTTGGATAACATTCTCTTTTCAGTAAGTCAGTATTTAAGTGCCTGCCCTGTGTTGCACTTTTCTAGGCCCCGTTAGATAAGAATGCAAGGTTCTTATCCCCCTGGAACTTATATTTTAATGGGTGGGAGAAAGATGATAAAAGTTTTCATTAAAAGCTAGCCTTTATTGAGCATTTACTATGTACCAGGCACTTTTAAAATTACCTTAACTATATGAACTCATTTAATCCTCACAATAGCCCTATTAAGTAGATTCCTATTACAGAAAAAGAAGGCACAGAGAAATTAACTTTTCCATAATTACCCAACTCTTAGGCAAGAAAGCTGGGGTAGGAACCTAGTCCGTCTGGTTCCAGGTTAAGTAAATAAGAAAATTCAGATACAGATAAGTATTGAATAGAAAATAAGACAAGTATTGTGAGAGTGAAGAGGAGCCGTCTGAGCTGAGATCCAAAGGATAAGGCACCAGCCTTGCAAAAATCTAGGGGAAGAGTATTCTAGGCAGAGGGAAGAGTAAGTGCGAAGGCCCTCCAGTGGGAGTAGGATTGGTATAGAAGCCTTGGAGAGAAGCAGGAGGGCTGTTAAACCCCTTTTGCCAGAGGAGAAATAGGGGCTCTGGGAGAGAAAGCTCTTTGCCCTCTAGTAAGTGGTGGGCTGGGAATAGAGCTTGAATCTTCTAGTTCCTGGGTCAGGTCACTTCCTGGGGCCCCCATGGTTGGCCTGAAGGGGCAACACACCCAAGGCTCGGGTTTCCCTCTGGCCTGTTCCAGCCCCAGTTGAACAAAGGCCCCTTCTCTCCCTCCTTGGCCCTGCTGGCCCAGCTGAAATGTCCATTGTGTGTCTGGGCAGCTCTGGCCACTGCCCGGGTGTCTCCCACACCCTCTGCCATTTGCTCACTCCTGCCTTTCTGGCTTCCTGTGTTCGCCCAGCTTGTTACTACATCCACCCAGGCCTCGCACCTGTGTCTGCTGTGTTTGCCTGGTAGCTTCGGCTGCTGTAAGTGACCAGCTGCAGCTGCCGATTGAGTTGGTCCAGCCCTGGGCTGGCGAGGCTGAGATCTGGCTGCCCTTCTCCAGTGAGAGTCACTCCGGTTACTTCCCCTGCCACGTCCCAGGTGCCCAAGGAGGCAGTCAGGTTCACCTGGGAGAGGGGGTTGGCGAGTGCAGGTGACGTCCCTGACCCGCCTCTCGCCGCCCTGCTTCTTCCGCCCCTCCTTCGGCAGCCTCGGTGCCCTCCCTGCGTGATGACTGCCCACCTGGCCTCCCCACCGTCCTGTTTCTGCTCACCTGGTATACCTCCTGACCAGAAGTGGCCTGCAGGCCCAGTCCTGGAAGCAAGGGGAGGGAGCCGGAATCACAGACAGCCCGGGAGTCCTCCCTTTCTCCTCCGTCTCTCCCCTCACACAGGGCAGGACTTCTCACCCAGCCCTCCTGCTGAGGCCACAGCAGGGCCCACTGCAGGGCACAGCCCAGGGTAAGGATTTCTCACTCCTTCCTGTCAAGGCAGCAGGTCTTGTGTGGCCTGCCCTGCCTGTCCATCTAACTTCAGCCAGTCAGCAAGACACACCCTTCTCCCCAAACCTCTCCAGCAGTTCCCCACAATCCTCCATCTCCCACCTCATGAGCCCTCCCTGACCTCCAGTTTCCCTTCCATGGAACCCCCCACCTGGCATTCCATCTCCCCTCCTTGCTCCTCTCCCAGCCTGGGCTCTGCCACCCCCACAGGGGGTTAGCTCCTGCCCATGGACCCTCCTCCCCACCTGGCACCAAGATGCTCCTGAGGGGCTGGACCTCCACGCCCTGCAGGGGGTACTGCAGCGGGGAGTTGGCAGGGGCTATGAGCAGCTGGTCGGCCGCAGACTGGCTCCTGGCAGTGGAGGAGGGGGAGGGCAGGGGGGAGTCAGGGGGAGCCTCCAGCCTCCCACTGCTCCCCACAGGCAGTCACACCCTCCTTTCCGCTGGGTACCTTGAAAGGAAGGCCTGGAACTCCTGCTCCCTCGAGGCAGACACACTACTCAGCTCCTCAGGGTCAAAGGCCTTGGTGAAGTCAAAGGCTTGGACCTGCCGCTGGAAGGGGAGGTGAAGGCTCCCCTCACTGGACTCGCAACTGCAATTGTTGGCAGTCAGCAGCCTGTGGAGCCGGGAGGAAGGGTCCTCAGAGCCCAGCCACACAGTTCACTCATCCTCCGGAAGGTTGGCACAGCACCCGCACCTTGGCCGGTCCACCCTGTTCATCCAAAATCTGTCCCCTTAATCACTGCTCTTCAAATAGTCCCCCGGAGGAGGGACCACCGTGGGATGACCCGTCCTCTACATCTGGATTTTACAGAGGTGTAGAACAGACCAAATGCTAAGGTTTCAGAGTTGCCTACACACCATCAGGACCCCAGCTGGACTCCTTTCACAGGGAATGACCAGGACTCAGAAAGTCAGGGCCCTCCCCTGATTGCAACCCTCGCTTCCCCACCCCCGAAGCACAAGACTCAGCAGCCCCCTCCACCTCCCACTTAACCCCCCCCCCCCCCACCAGCCGCACACACCACCAATCCGGGGAACCGAGGCATCAGAGCAGAGGAAACAGAAGCTTCCCAGACTACCCCCCCGCGAGCGCCCGCTGTCACCCCGACTCCTCACACTCACCCCACCACTTGCTCCTTGATCCTGACCGGGATGTGTGCGTATCTGGGCTCAGGGACAAGACCTAGCAGTTCTGGCCTGGGCTTGCCCTGTAGGGGCGTCCACAGCGCAAGAGGTCCCCGGAGGCCCGGCGCGCCCCGGGTGCTCGCGTACAGGAGCCCGAGCGAGGCGCAGGCGAGCAGCAGGACGGCCGCACAGAGGGCCCGGCGGCCCAGCCGCATCCTGGGTGGGCGAAGGAGTGCGAGGGTGAGCAGGTGGTCAGCGAAAGCGTGGGTTGAGACTCTGGGCCCCCGCGGTTCCGGAGACTCCAGCCGGCCCGGCTGGGGCTCCCCGCATCTCGCGCGCCAGGATCTGTGTAGCGAATCGGTACCCTCGTGCCCCTCCCCTCACTCCCCGGGCCTCGGGTCTCCGGGCCTCCTTTCTTCTTGCCCTCCCACATCTCGCTTTCCTTTCACGCCCGAGGCCTGAGGTCTCGATGAAGCAAGAGACCTTCGGAGGTAGCGGTTTCGACGCGGCGGCTCGTAAGTAGAAAAAGCACCGTTTTATTAGAATAGCCGATGTTCCGGAGCCCGCCGCCTCCCTTGGCCCACGCACCCCCCACCCCCTCAGTCCGAGCATCACCTGGCCCGGGTGGGCTGCAAAGGGCAGCGCCACACCTCGCCTGTCATGAAAAATGCAGAATCACGCCCGCGCTGCTGGGTGGCCCCGGCGGAGGTGACCCCGTGAGTGGCCTCGCGAAGCCGCGCGGGGCGACCAGGTGGACCGGAGCGCGCGCCTCCTCCCGCCGCCGGCTCGGTCCCGCGTCCCGCCCCAGCACTGACCTGTCTTAACGCTCTAGGGCCGCCGCAAGATTTCGGTCAGGGCTGTGCCAGGCTCTCGGCCCCGGCCTGAGGGTCCTCATGGGGCTGGAGGCGGCCTGATGGGGGAGCCGAGCGTGAGTCTGAGAGTGAGGGGGATCCTCCTGCCTCCCGAGCGCGCACGACCCCTCCCGCCTCTGGACTCTCCGGGCTTTGTAAACCGCCGCGCTGGGGTTGTTCTGGGCGTTTCCTGTGGGGTTGGGGGATCGGAGTCGAGAAACCGCCGCACCCCAACCCCAGAAACAAATCCGGGGTTCCCTGGGACCCTGTCCCACTTGCCGGGCCGGGAGAGCCCGGGCCGCCGCCCGGCTTTTCAGATCGCGGCGGCTCGGCTCGGATGCTGGTTGCGGCGGAGAGTCCGGCTACACGCCGAGAATGAGAGCGCCGGGGCGCCTTCTGGTGGGCGCGGAGGACACTGCGGGGGCGCGAAGCCAGCGACGCACGAAGGTCCTTCTCTCCACGCCCCCTCCCTCCCCGCCAGCCCTTTGCCTCCGAACCCTGGCATCTCCCCCGCCCCACCGCGATCCCAGTCACTCTATTCCTATTCGTTCGGAGCCGTCTTTCCATCGAGACTGTAGGCCAGGACAGGCGACAAGGGCTTTGGGAAGCGATGGGGTGGGGACGCCCTGTAACCCCATTTCAAGGAAGATTTGGATACTTAGGGTGAGATAAAGGAACCCAGACGAGACTGGAAAATAAAGACCGCCTAGCTAACAAAGACAAGTTGACAGCCTGCCTCCCAGCCTCGCTTCCCCCGCCCTCCAGCCCCCGCATACCCCAGTTATCTAACGATACTCAATGATGTAACACACTCGGTGATTCAAGGGCCTGATGCTTCTGACTGCTCCTTGTTGCAGACTTGCAGAAGGGAAGAAAGCCCAAACTGTGCCTAGATTGGTGGTACTGATGCGTGCAAGCTGCAGACCTGTACTACCCTAGCTGTAGCTGGATTCTTGATGCTGCCCTAAGTTCTGTGGTTCCATGATTCTAATAAAAGATGTCACAATTTAATAGGGAAAAATATATAATAAGAAATGTAAAACATAATGAAAATGTGGGGGCAGGGGGGAGGGAAGGATGGGTTATTGGATGAACTGTGTGCAAAGAAATGACTAATCAGCTGGAGGGAAAGTGAGATTCTCACTGTCTACACCAAAGTAAATTCCAGATGTATCAAATATTTTATTATTAAAAATGTAGCCACAAAGCATAGTAAAATAATTCATGGAGTTTATTTTTTTTATAATCTTGGAGTGGGGAAGAGATCTCTAAGTAAGATATAAAAAGAAATATTAAGCTTGAGTGAAGAAGTTTCTATAAGCAAACTTGAGAAATGGCAAACTGTGAAAAAATATGTGCAACATGTAAGACAGATAAAGGTCTATTTTTCTTAAGAGCTATAAAACATCAATAACAAAAAATTATCAATCACCCCCAAATGGGCACAAATTGTGATTAGGCAGTTGAGGGAAAAAGTAAAAATGGCTTTTCAAATGTATGAATGTACACTTGACCCTATTCATAAGAAATAAAATCCAAATTAGAATAACAATGAAATGGTTTTTGTTTAGCAAGTTAGTAAAGGTCAGTTTGCTAACACGAGTGGTCAAGCATTTGAAGAAATAGTCACTATCATACACTGTTTGAGTGTAAATGGACCCAGCTTAGAGCCATTGGCCAATCTATTAACAATTAAAATATTAATCATTTAAATCTTAAATATTAGTAAGTTAAAATCTTAAAGATATGATTCAATCAGACAGTGGGACACTGGATTAATCTAGATCTACTGTTACTGGATGATATCCAAAGCTGTTAAGCAAAATAAACAACAACATATATAGTCGACTCCTGAGTGTGGGTTTTAGCTTCTAGGATTGTCCAAATACTAGAAATGAAGTGCTGCCATAATAAAACCCTAAAAATGTGGGAATGGATTTGAAACTGGGTCTTGGGTAGAAGCAGGAAGGAATCTAGGCGTGTTAGTGAAAGACTGAAGAATATTGAAGAGCATATTAGTAGAAGCCTCATGTCCTTTGAGGAGGCTGCTGATTAAAAAAAGTGAGGAAAGTAGGGAAATTGAGGGGCTTCCCAGGTAGCACTAGTGGTAAAGAGCCTGTCTGCCAATGCAGGAGACGTTAAGAGATGCAGATTGGATCCCTGGGCCGGGAAGATCCCCTGGAGGAGGGCATGGTAACCCACTCCAGTAATCTTGCTGGAGAATCCCATGGACAGAGAACCTGGTGGGCTACAGTCCATGGGGTCGCAGAGAGTCAGACACGACTGAGCGACTTCGCATGTATGCACACATACCTAATGAGTTGGGGATCTCACTGAGATTTTCAAGCAGAATGTTGAAGGTGACTCCAGGTTTCTTCTTGTCATGTTTAGTAGAATGTGTATGAAAAGAAAGAGATAAGCGAAAGAAAGGAATGCCAATTGAAAAAGTCCTGGGGATTGTTAGGTTTGAAATTTCCTAGCCCCTCCAAGGACCGGTGAGGCTAGAACTTTAAAAATGGCTTCCAGGACTTCCTTGGTGGTGCCTGCCAATGCAGGAGACATGGGTTTGATCCCTGGTCCGGGAAGAGTCCACATGCTGTGGCGCGACTAAGCCAGTGGACCACAACTACTCAGTCCACGTGCTGCAGCTGCTGAAGCCTGGGCTCCATAGCCGGTGCTCCACAAGAGAAGCCGCCGCAGTGAGAAGTCCGCACACGGAAACAAGAGCAGCCTCCTGCTCACTGCCGCGAGGGAAAGCCCGCATAGCGCAAGGAAGACCCAATGCCGCCAAAAGAAAAAACACGGCTTCCAGGGGAAGACCATATCTAAGGCCTGCTCAAGAAACTATTGTCTGAAAATAAAGCCAAGGTTATAAACATAGATCCTCCGTTAAAGAAAGAGCTGAGGCACTGCCTCAGAATGGTTCCATAAACAATAGGACTCTCAGTGATCAAAGAAGCCCAAGGAAGAGAAGGGTTTATCTCGATAATATTTCTGAATATGGCCTTCATGTGATGTAGTTAACATCAATAAGATTCACAGGAGAACTATAAAGATTTTAAGAGGATTGTATTTGCAGAATTTTATTGGTGATACAATAATTCTCTCTTACTATTCTGATAGATAAATGTTTGCTGTTTTAAACCCCCCGAGTTTGGAGTAATGTATTATATAGCAATAGATAACTAATTCAGAATATTATATAGTTGGCCTTGAACAATGAGGGGGTTACAGGCACTGCTTTATTTAAAATAAATTACCAAGAAAAAATTCTAATTAAGTTTTTTCTTCTTGGTTATTCATTTTAAATAAAGCAGTGTGTACATGTCAATCGCAAACTTCCTAACTATCCCTTCCTTCCCCCTCTACGTTTCCCTCCGGTAACCTTAAGTTCATTCTGTGAGCCTGTGAGTCTGTTTGTAAATAAGTTCATTTGTATCATTTTTTTCATTCTGCGTATAAGCTATATCATACGATATTTCTTTCTCTGTCTGACTTACCTCACTTAGTATGACAATATCTAAGTCCATCGAATTGCTGCAAATGGCTTTATTTCACTTTTTAACAGCTGAGTAATATCCCATTGTGTATATGCTCCACATCTTCTCTGTCCATTCCTCTGTCGATGGACATTTAGGTTGCTTCCATGTCTTGGCCATTGTAAACAGTGTTGCAATGAACACTGGGGTGCATATATCTTTTTCACCATGTTTTTCTCTGGGTATATACCCAAGAGTGGGGTTGTAGAATCACATGTAGCTGTATTTTTAGTTTTTTAAGGAACCGCTGTACTGTTCTCCACAGTGACCATACCAATATACATTCCAACCAACTCTGTAGGAGGGTTCTCTTCTCTCTGTACCCTCTCCAGCATTTTTTGTTTGTGGATTTTTTTAATGATAGCCATTTGACTGGTGTGAGGTGATATCTCATTATAGTTTTGATTTGCATTTCTCTAATAATTAGTGATGTTGAACATCTTTTCGTGTGCTTCTTGGCCATCTGTATATCTTCTTTGGAGAAATGTCTATTTAGGTCTTTTGCCCATGTTTTAATTGGGTTGTTTGTTTTGATATTAAGCCGCATGAGCTGCTTATAAATTTTGGAGGCTAATCCCTTGTCAGTCACATCATTTCCAAATATTTTCTCCCACTCTGTGAGTTATCTTTTCATTCTGTTTATGGTTTCCTTTGCTGTGCAAAAGCTTTTGAGTTTGATTAGGTCCCATTTAAGTTGCAGCAATATCTTTTTCAATCCATCTCCTAGAGTAATGCCTGTATTCTACTTTAATAAAGAGAATCATACAGAATGTGGTCTTCTGTTTTGACTCTTTTTCTTTCAGCATTATGAGTTATTGTGTATAGC